GTAGATCACGAGCTCTCATTTCGCATTCTGAGGGCCGATATGTGTTATCAAAGATAATGGTAAACACCAAATTTCAGTCTACTCTACACAGACGTGTGAGCTTGTGTTATCAGGTCGGATGCCTGCCCCAGTCAATTGCGAAATGCATATAACACCGTCTGATGCTTCGCTATAAATGGATACAAATGGCCCTTGGGAATTGAGATCAGCATTTCTAGACGCTTGCTGTCGCGGAGTGACTGGCGATACAAATTTCCCAGTCGACTGGAAGGATTAACTTCTGTTGCCGACGTTTGAGAGGAGGGCGCATGTGTGAGCTCACGGGAGAGTCGCAGTGATGCCAGTCACAAGGTGCAGCCATCTCAGGAAGCGCCTTGGAGAATTTGTTCTTCCATTGACTAAAAAGTAGGTACAGCACCGTATCATAGGAGAGAGTTGTGATACATATCAAGTTGAAGGTTTGTAAGCTTGTCTCGCCGCGGGTTGCACAAGTAAAAAGGGCCTGACAGCAGTCACACATTATTAGAATCCCATGTGTTGATAGGCCAGGAGTGGCAGATGCATAGGCATTCAATTTGTTGACTTGTTCTCATTTGTTGACTTATCAATGTGACTTTTTGTCTGGACTATGGTTCGACCTGTTTTAATCGCCCACCTTCGGCTGCTGCACATACCGACACACGTTTCTCATCTAAAGGGTTTATAACGGCCCATAAGCAAGATCTCAGCGTTTCAAGCATTTGTTTGGTTTCATATTCTCCAGGCTGTAAAGCCACAAGTTAGCTTAAAACCCGAGGCTCGAGGTATTTAAGTTCTCGATCGAAAAATTCAGGAAGTTGTCGGCTACGGACCCTCAGGTATGGCGAGCGGCCTTCCTCCAGCGGGCATGATTTTCGCTGTCTGTTTATTATTCCCCCCTCTTTTGTGACTCGTGATAATCTTGTTTTCGTCGAATCAACAAGAGGCAATTCTTCTGGTCATCCTGTTTAGAGGCATTCATGGTCCAATTGAGCTTCGCTTAATCCCGGTCTCCACCGTCAAGGGAAAAAGTGGTGCCACTTTTTATTTGATTTTTTGGAGCTCGTGCTCGTGTCCTATCGGCCGACATAGAGTACTAGCAGGGGTGAGCCTTGTGCGGTCGCCTGGTTTTGTATGCTTAGCCTCATTTGTCCGACAACCAAAGATCTCTCTCCTGTAGAAACGTTTTGAATCAGAGAAACTTATCTGTGTAGGTAGTCCCTTTTGTTTTTTGATTTTCTTCTCATGTTCCTTTTTCTTTATTTCCCTTAGTTTCCGCCGTTGACGTCAAGGAGATCGCGCACAATTTCGTTTCCCTACAACAAATGTGATGGATGATTGGGATGCACGCGACACACACGGACAGAACTCCTAGGGCGTGCTCTTTTTTTTGTTGTTGAGGTGTTGTTGAACCTCCACATAGCGGACAGTAAAGAGATGGAAGGGTCATACAATATCGAATCTCATGCACGGTGAGCACACTATTCAGAACCCGCGGCAGTTTCCTCGAAAATCCCGACCAATTTGAGCACAGTTTTGTTCAGGGTCTTTCTCTTTCTCTCTTTACTTCTCTTGGCACGCTCTCTCCACTTTTAATTTTGAATTTTTCTACTGGTGCTAGCGCACCTGGGAAAAACAAAAGGGTCCAAGGAAACTTCTTTAACAAGTGGCGGTTTAGGCCATCCGCTTTTTCCTCCCTACAGTACTTGTAGTTTATCGAAATGTTGAACGGCAGCAGCTACACGATAGCTGCGAGTAACGTGCAACTGGCAGGGTATTGCGATATTTTGTCCAGACAGCGTAGAGATAGTGAGTGTGTGGTTAAGTGATAAAACCCACATACGCCTTGTCCACCAATTGCTGTAGCCTTTGATTGATTGATTGATGGATGGGTGGATGGATGTACGGATGGATGAACGATCCCAACCGCGCGCTGTTTATCAGTATTTAAAGCGGGGTTCTTTTCAGCGCACCAGCCGCGGAGAGAGGGGGGGGAATGTTCTGTAGGATCCCTTCTGTGAGAACCATGCATCGCTACTCTACAAATAGCAAACGGGATGACCTAGGTCGCAAAATCCTTAAAATGAGGACAGTGAGGTCATGTCTAATCTCAAGGGAGAGGATCTTTTCCAGGTTACAGTTGAGGCAATGAAGATCGGTGCCGTACGTGCATAGGGCGGAGGAAAGATTTTTTTAAAGAAATCATTTTGGTCCTGTTGGCGATAATTGTTACAGAAAGAGGAGATTTAGGAGCCATATGTATTATTTTCATTATTTTGATTGTTATTATTATGTGCCATATTATTAAACGCCTCTTGTGGTGACGATCATCGGCCTTTGAAAGCCAAAGCCTCGTCTCAGCCCCGAATTCCGCCAAGCCGGTAGATATCCGGAAGAAAAGAAATGTCGGTGAGGAACTCACAAGTCAGGGACGGGGCGGCTGTTCTGGGCGGGGATTGGGTGAACGGGGACGATGAATAAGAAAAAATTTGATCGGATTCTGTGAAGCCGTCGGTCTTGGACAAGAGGAGGGAGGGTGGTAAGGAAGGGTAATTGTTGTGCATGAGGTCGTGGTGATGACGTCTGTGCAAGCAACGGTTGCCTTGGAGGGTTCATTTGTGGGGAGGAGTGACCAGGGCATTGGGGGGGGGGGGGGTCTATTGGATGACAACTGCGAAGTTGAGGGGACTAAGTGTGGCAGTGGGGTTGGTACAAGACAGAGAGTAGAGTACTTACCAGTAGGTACACATGATATACTTGTCTCGAGGCTGATGAAACCTGTATTCACCAGTCGTTTATTCGTATCATCCATCTAACATCTCCGTCTTCTCTTTCTCGTTGGTTGTTATACTGTTCCTGTTCGCAAATTTGTTGAGGCCCTCTGATCACGAGAACAGCCCCCATTGAGTCTCGTATGGCTGAGTAAAGGACCGGCTTTTCGTGAGAGAGAGCGATTGATGATCCTGGAGATCAAGTCGACATTTCTTTGCTCAGCCGAATACGGTCAAAATGTATTTTTTTAGAGGATTAGACATGCGAACGAACGGAGCGCGAGTTTTTCCTTGATGTTTATGATAATCGCGAAGGCTGTACCGTACCTACGCGTCCATTCATTCTTTTCTTTTCTTTTCTTGTTTTAATTCAAGAGTTCATAAAACAAGATTACCTTAACCGGCACTACAGTAGAGTACCGCAGAAACTCGCCAACTTGATTATCTCCGTGCAGGGATTTCTTCATTGATGATTGGCTGAAAGGCAGAGATCAGCTTCAGATATTTCCTCTACAAGTTAGTTTTTGGTCAGATCCGCTAGCAAAGTTCGTGAGTTTTTGCGGTATATCGAAAAAGTCTCAAGAGAATGAGGTGTAGGATGAGGGAAAGGGGGGTGGAAATGTGTTTGGTAACAGGTCACTGAGAATGGACGGGTTAGTGTTAGGACTTCTTGTTTTCGTGGAAGGGTTGCGTGGATCGATATTTCTTGGCAAATGTGAGGAGAGCATAAGAGCCGCTGGTATAGGGGTGCTTCCGATGCGTGGCTGGAAGTGTGAGTGGACCCTTGACGGGAGTGACGTTATCTGCTTCGGCTGAAACTGCGAAATTGCGTTGGAAGTCTGAACAGAAGCGTGAGACATCGACACAACAGCGGACCAGGGAAGCAAGCGCATGGCCTACCTCCCGGGAGTGAGGCTAGGAGCATGTATGTAGGGACACTGGTAGGGTTGGTCCATAGAGGTAAGATGGGTAAGGTATTCTAGATACAGTACATACCTAGCAGGACAAGAGAGAGAGACCTAGAGACTCAACTCAACTCAGAGTAACAACCAACCCCTGCCTTTCTTTCGTCACCACCATAGCAGATCCATACCAGCCGTTGTCTATTGGCAAGATCCATTCCACACCCACCAGACCTTTCCACCCACCTCCTGCTCCTCCTCCCCAAGTAAAGTAAAGCAAAGCCATCTGGCCAGCCCAACCCTTACAGCCATAATTCTTTTTCGAGGAATGAGTGTGTCTTTGTCCGTTCATCGTCAACTATCCCCCCGTGTATCTCGGGACGCGCCAACCTTGCTATAACAGGATTCTTCATATTCTTGATTGCTGCGGCTGGCTGTGTTTCACCCACCATTCCCATATTAGGGATTACCACTGCGCCAGAGTATCTATTGTTACTCCTGCTACCTAACCTACCAGTCTTCTACTTGCTGTGACCGTCAATCGTCAATCACTTCCAATACCTTCTCATCCGCTTCTCCCTTACGCCTTCCTCCTCCTGCCAGCTCCACTACACCCACCAACCACACCCACAGTGCTCGACGCTACTAAAGAGTAAAATAGCATAGCGTTAATAATATTCACACAAGAAGGGAGGGAAAAAAAAGCCAGACCAAGAGAAAAGGCTAGGATAAAAAAAAAAAAAAAAAGAAGCAGGCAGTAGGCAAACACAGATACCTCCTAGCGTAGAGTCACTACTGCCGGCCCCCCCCTCCCCCTCCCCCCCATTGGCCCCCAGTCCCAATTATCTCGCCCTCCACCATCTACCACCGCTCCCCCCCTCTCTCCGTCTCCTTCTTGGAATCGGTGTTTTGTCTTTTGATCGGTTTCCCTCCCCGTCTCTGTCCGTTCTACTCTTGCCCTTGCCGGGCCTTTTGCGACTTCAGTTTTCTCCTCAATACGCCCGGGATTGTTCAGGGTCACTCCCCGTTCGCGCTGCAAATACCAAGAAAGAGGGAAAGAGAGAGAGAAAAAGCCACTGATCCATCGACTGGTACCTACGTCAATCTACCACATATCATTTCGCTTTTAGGATACAGTTAGGAGTCGAGGCAAGCGGGACCACGTTTCGTCGTCGGCCAGACACCCAGCAGTGGGAGTCTGTCTACTCTGACCCTTTCCTCTCTTTGCACACCCGCGCACCCTACAAGCAACACAACAAAACCACAGACAACTCAGGAAGAAAGAACATCTGCTCTGAACGAGCAAAGTATGGAGTTTTCGACAGTGTTTCGTGGTATGCATCCTTTTCTTTATATCCTTCATCCGATGTTCCCCCTCATCTGGTTCTTGATGGAATTGCCTGCTAATACGTTAGGTGAACTGAAGGTTTTAATGGCGCCCAACCTGCGCCAAATGGTTCTTTAATAGCATCGATCGTTCACCCCAAACTAATTCTTCGATCAACAACCACTCTCCAGGTAAAGCGGACAATAAATCTAAATCCCGAGTTTGCATCACGAATAAACTTTGTCAGATGGTCTCCATACTTGGACGGATCCTTCTCTTCGCCAGCATGGCATGGCATTCCATTGATAGGGAAAAGAAGAAGCGGGATTGATAAGTCAGAGTCAGAAGGTGGAGGACGGCAAAGAATTCTGGTAGCAGACGAACAATCAATACATGTATATGATGTCGACGATGAGAAATGGACCGTTTGTATCAACCAAGGATTCGGAGGAATTAAGAATGTCGAGTTTGGTAGAAATGCGGATGAAGTGGTTGTATTTTCAGAATTTCAGGTAAGACTTATCGGGCAAGGGGGGTATTTGATGGCTTTCTCACCAAAGTGACCTTAAACTAACATGTATTGCAAGGAAAAGCTCAAGGTAACTGTGTGGAATCTGAATACATCAAAACAAATCGAGATTCTTAACCCCAAGTTCCCGACAAAGGGTGAGTACAGTCGTTTACGACATCCATCCTGTACCCCTCGGTATTAACCAAGTATGACGTTAGGTTATGGCTATCGCCCCTGCACCTCTCACTATGCCCTGCTTACGCGTTCGGCAACACACGACGTTATCAGTGTCCATCAACACACTACCTATAAACTGGCATCAAGCTTTCAGCTTCCTACCTTGGACGCCCAAGGCCTCAAATGGTCTCCATGTGGGCGTTGGATTGCGGTATGGGACTCTGCCGCTTCTGGATATAAGGTTTTGGTGTACACCGCGGACGGACATCTTTATAGGACCTATGAGAAGCCATGTGAGGGTTTAGGTGTCAAGAGCGTGGAGTGGAGTCCAGGCGGGGATTTTTTGACGATTGGAAGTTATGACGGACGATTGGCATTCTTGAGCAACTATACTTTTTCTCCGGTACATAATCGCTCGGGAAATTCCGTTTGGGAAAATTTGCAATTGGGCTAACATGTGTGGGGTAAATAGGTAATTGAGATGAATCATACGAGAACTATCCGACTCCCAGGGGTAACTGTATGGTCTGAATGTATCAAGTCTCCAAAGGAACGTTATTACGCCCAAGTTCAACAACCCACGACGCTGCCAATGATTACACCTAACCCAGGAGACACTCAGCCTAAGAATGGCATCTCTACAATTGCTTTTAATAAGCCTGATGGGAATCTTATTGCAACCCGAAATGACAGTATGCCAACAACGGTTTGGATCTGGTCCCTAAAACTACTTAGACCATATGCAGTTTTGGTCCAAATGAACCCTATTAAGTCTATTAGCTGGCATCCTACTATACCAGACCTTTTGATGATCCAGTGCACTCCCGACAACACTGCCGGAGAACAATCGAAATCGCAGGGTGTCGTTTATCTTTGGAGTGCAACATGGTCGCAACCTAGGGCAGTCACAGTTCCGATGGATCATCTTTCTGGGACTACATGGGCGAGGTGGATTCTCACAGCACCGCCAACAGGTAACGCCGCTACCACTTCAAGTACTGCGTCTACAAGTCCCCAACCATGGGGTAATTCTGGAATCGATAGAAGGAGTCGGAGTCCTGAAAAAGATGTTGACAAGAAACCAATGCTATTGTTTGGGGATAAGGATGGATACACTGTTGGATGGGTTGATGATGAGCCAATTCCCGAAGAGGAAGAGGGCGTAGATGGAACAATGGATGATCGATATGGGTTTCCGTTGGCTGGCAAGAGGTCATGGGACCCAGTTGACTGGGAATACTTTTCGCCGAGCCACGTTCTGCCAAGGCGTGCATTATCTTCTGCATCACAAGTAACGAAGTCTTACATTCGACAAGAAACACGTGGAGGTGGTAGCAGAGGAGGGTTAGGAAGCGTTTCTGGGGTATCTGGAGAGCCCCAGAATACCCGTTCCCAGTCAAATGGCAAGGAGGAAGATTCTTTTGATTACAATTCCCGCCACAATCTCAGAGTGAGATCATAGCATTTCATAACGGAAAATCCGCCCCACGGGCACTGTTTTATTCGATGATCAATCAGGCCTTCTCTTGAATATTTTCGACTAATGGAACTGGCCATTCGATATCATTCATTTTTTTTATTGTTTCCTTTGTCATATTCATGGGGGCTTTGGGCATGCATATTTTATACCCGCATTTAATCTGGTTTTTTTTCTAGTTCTATTTTCGATAGGACGGCTATTGCTATTATCTACTTCGGGCATCATTCTTGTATTTTTTTCCACCTTCCTTTTTCCATTGGTTTTCTTGAACTGCCTTGATCTATGTTTTGATATATGGTGTTTTGGGGTGTAAAGTGTTTGCTTTCGCGTTTCTCTTTTTTCCCTATTTTATCTCTTTTTGGCTTTTTTCCACTGTTTATTTGGTTTATGAAGGGGTTTGGTCTTTTTTCTTCTTTCTTTACTCGCCGATTTGATTACTCTCAGATTGAGCCCCTAATGAGATGTTGGACTATTCGTCCTGTTTCGTTTCAGGGTTCCTAACTCGTTAGTTGATTTTAAGACTAAGGGCCTTTCACTCGGGCGAGAAATTGTTTCAGTCATTTTAGAGTTCTGATGATGACACGATAACCATCTTGCAGGAGAGTCCCAGATTGATACGAAGGGGGACGGTGTGAAGAGAGTATGGAAGATGGTTTCTGTTTTAAGATGTGGTTTCTTTTTTTGCGTGGTTTTCTCCTTTCAATGTTTGGATATAAGTTTCTTTTTCATTGTTACGGGGCGTCATTTGCATTTTTGTTAGGCATCTTGCATCAGAGAGCTTGTCAATTCCACGTATTTGGGTTTGGTTTTGCCCAGTCTGCGGCGTAGCTGGGGCGGAAGATTTTCCTATTGGTGTATAAAAACAATTTGTAACTTGTAACTTGTAGGTTGGCTATTGTCTTGTTTATTTTTGATATTTTTGATATTTTTTTCCCCCTTTCCTTTTCTTTTCTTTCAGCGTCGGGTGGAATGGGAAAACCGTTACATATTACTAAAAAAAAAGTCTTAAAAATAAATGATCTCACTGGGAAAGCTTGAATCACATTAGCCATGGCATCTGTTCTATCATCTCTTGTGATTAACTGGATCTGCTGCCCTTGACATCAACACACCATTAATTAATTAACGATGTCACTTAACCCCATAACACGTCGTCTCACTCGAATTCGAGGAAGAAAAGAAGAAGCAAAAAAGGTCGTTTCCTACGCTCGTTAATGGGGACTCGGGAAGCTGCAGAGAAACAGAACCAGATTTCCAATCTCCTGACAATGATGTCATAAAAAGCAAAGCAAACATTCGACGTTATGCGATGTCCGGGTAACTGCCTTATACAGACGACGTCGGATCTCAAAGTTCAAAGATTTGTTCCATACCAGGTACACTGTCATAAGTGAATGGGGTCCCGTGGCCTTGGGAAAAAACCAGTCAAACCAGTCATCGTCGTCCGGTGTATCACCTGTGACTCTTGAAATTGTTATGTAGTTACATGTATGTATATAAACCTGGCCTGGCTGGGCAGCAGGTACCACTACTATATACTTAGAGTGCCAAATACATATACAAGTTACATCATCGACCCGCGGCCAGCTTTATCCCTTTTTCCTTTTGTTCTTTGCTGGGCTGACGATGCTACTGTTTCTGAATCTCACGTTTCTTCCGAGGGTTTCTGTGAAATCTGTGAAAAGTTTATCCCGCTGCAACGTTCGTGGTTTCGGCACTTTTTTTTTTTCCAACACACCCACCTCACACTGGAGTCTCAGCTTAGTGCAAGGTCCCGAAAGGAGTACCTATCTAATACATAAAGGAACCGGACGAGGTTCAGCCAGGCACTCCAGACGGAGGTGGAGACAAAGAAAGACATCTACGTACGTACTCTAAAAAGCCAATTTGAGAGCATACACAACGATAGCTAGCTAGCACACAACTACCGTTACAACAGCATCATCTTCATCATCATCAGCATCCAAGCAGGTGGTCCATTGTTCCGAAATCTCTCTCGGGAAACGGCAACAGATGCGGATGTAGAGTATCCTCTTTTTTCCCTTCCTTCCACTAGAGGTGCACGTTCACATCGTTGTTCCGGGGCTAGGAGGAATTCTACGTCATTGGTTTTATTTCGAACGACGGGGATCCCGAAATGTTGTTTGCAGGGATTTAACCATGGTTAGTTATGCTAGCTAGCAACAACATCCTTACTCTACTTTACTCTTTGGTATAGGGGGAGAGGGGGAAATGAGCCTATCGATAAGGTCCAAATCGAGGTCATGGGGGGAACAAAGAAAAGAAAGGGAGAAAGAAAATTCTTTAGCAGGGTTATGGGAGAGAAAAAAAGACTAAAAACTCCCGGGCCGACTGCACTCGCATAGCACACGTTGTTGTTATAACACGAATATCACCATGGAAAGTCTGTCAACTACAATAGAGTTCGGTTTATGAAAGAAATGCCTCACGGCTCTGAAATTATTTTACCTTCTAGAAGGATTGATAATGGAGTTCTGCGTTCCTAGTTTGGGAGGAGAAAATAATATATCTACAACGCTGATTAATAGCAGGCACGCGCGCATCAGACTTCCTACTACAGTGCAGCACACACTCCCATACATAATAATATCATGATAATCCTAATACTAGTACGAAGCCATAAGGGAACAACATGATCGTCTCTTGGCAGTCGGTTAACTAATCAACACATCGGAAAAGAACAGAGCGGTACTTTAAATAGAAATTGGGATCATTGGCGGCTCAAGGCAGAAAACGAGAATGTGACCTTCAACGTTAATGTTGCAGCGTTGGTAGATCAACCCCAATTGGGTGTTTTGGGCTCGGAGTGTTACCCGCCCCTAAAAGGCGTTCTGGAAATCTGGCTTGAAGATGGTACAAAAGTTTGTGATTGGGCCACCCAACGCTACCTAAGTAGGATACTGACCCGCTACTAGCTTTCGTGTCGGAGGGCCTCGGCCATGTAGTTTTATCCGCGAAGCATCGCTGTTTGTAGGCTGAGTACATGTAGTCGGGTTTTTTCAATTGTCTAATATGGCTGGCCTGCAAGTTGCGTTGCTTTCCGTTTTTGGAATGATGTGTGTTTAGTTTAGATTGACGAGTGATTGGCTGTGATTGAATGAGCTCCAGTACGTTTCAAAAGACTGATACCTCAACCATAGGCTGGCAAAGTATCATTCTGTTTCGGGCCCCGGGTTGCAGGATTGTACGCTCACTTAGGTTAATTATCGTCCGATCACAGTGGTACTCAGAGCATGGCAAAATTTAAGTAACTGAGAAAGAATGATTCTCATCAATCGATATGCGTGCTTGAGGTCGACATTCGAAAGCTCGGGTTAAATGACACGAACATTGGTGCTATCACTTGCATGAAATACTGTTATGAGACCCCGGGAGAAGAACACTTATCCTTTCGAAAACTAGTTTGAATGCTCCAAGTTGGACACGGTCTGGAGAGAGCTCCATAGATTTAGTTTCTCTAAAAGAAAAAAAACTCAAGGCGCAGTACAGTCGCAACTCGATATGCCGGATTGCCAAGATTCTAAGGGTTTCGTACGGGATAGTAAAAAATCCGGGATAAAATTTTTTTTTTTGTTTAATTCAGGGATAGTAAATCGATTTTGGAGTAGGAAAAATAATAGTCTCAGAGGATCTCGTACGGGACAGCAAGGGATCCGGTACATTAAGTTCCGGCATATCGAGTTGCGACTGTATATCATTCGGATCATCCGTCTGAAATCCGAGCAAAAAACATCAGACTATGATATCTAGGATTGCTAGGTCTTATATGTCTACTATTGCATGGTGGCTCTACTCCGAAGGGGAAAGAAAAGGTTACCGATTCAAGCCCAACAGTTTAGCAACGAGAGAAAGCCTGAAATAACATAGAGATGGAGCTCTCTCAGGTCACTGTAACCACGTAAGTCTTTGCTTCTTCACCGACTAATAACACTTACCATTGTTACTAATAGGAATAACACCCGCGGAACCTCTATAGTTTTTGTTTATACATTGTCTCACAATTGTTCTCGGAGAGTATTGGTGTACCATGATGAAAAAGAAATCTCTGCAAGTCGCCTCAGTCTAGTATTCTTATTATTATAATAGGATTTTCAAAGAATTCAAAGTGTTCTACCTGGATGGTAATTATAGCGCAGGCATTAGAAGCGGCAGCTTCGAGTCTGATCGCCTACGAAAACGCGATGATACAATGTGTTGCATCCAGCTTTCTAGAAATATCTTTCAAGGGCTATAAGAAGGGAATTTGAAAGAAGACATGGGGTTAGACCGAAGTTGGGGGTGGTGACTGGACGCACACATACGTCCGAAGAAACTCCGGTGTAGAAGGTGCAGGTGGTTTGGTGCCTACGTTTTAGAGATGAGAATATCTTTTTTTACTCTTTTTGAGAATTACACCACACGCTAATTTGCTTTTTAACATGTTCTAGAGGCAGTAAAGTATAAATAGTGTAACACAAACATGATCGAGTGATATCTCATGCATGACCAAGGGACCTATTTGAGTCTACGCAGCTCTAGCCAACAAACAAGAGAAAGGAAGGAAGGAACAACGAAGAAAGGTACTCAGATACTCTTTATTCCACCTCCTCGACTGGTGGGATGCCCTTTTTATCCATGTTCATTAGGCACTCCTTCTGCCAATCCTTTGGCCTCATCTTTGCTACAATTTCTTTAAACGCTGTCTATAACCCATGAGTTATTAGCATTAATTCATCAAGAAAAAACAAAACTCATAGATAAACTTACAAGGGTACAAAAGCTCTCATCACCCTCTAGATGGTTTCCGGGTTTCTTGCACCCCTTGACGACAACAGGAACTTCATTATACCTCAGCCTTACATAATAATTTTCGTCCTTTGCCCTACCACTGCCCATTAATCTTGCCCACAGCCCCCGACCCTGGCTAATCTCTTTCTTCCTAAACATCTCGAAGGCGATGCTACTGGTGAAGGGGGGCCACTTATTATCGAAAGCGCCTAACGACGCCAGCAGTCCTGCCAATGTAGTATCATGGCAGCCCATTAAAGAAACCTTCAGTCTTCCCTCCTTCTCTACATCCTCTTTAGCAGAACTTCCCATCCGGTCCACTATATCTCCCAGAAGACTGCCGACTCCTAATAGTCGGTACTCCGAGGACTGCGAGTACCCACGGTACCATTCATCGACATTGATTTTGTCCATAGCAGCTAGCACCTCAGGTTCATAGAACTCACCCGGAAGCTTTGTCGCAGGGCCATGCGCGAGCGTTGCGTTTACGGTATCCATAATTCCAGACAGCCGCGGCTTTCCGTCGACTTTGACGCCACCTTCAACCCACTTACCGATACGGCTCTGTATATGCTGCATCTCCGGTGAGTCGTTCCATTTTTGGGCCGCGAGAGAGGCAAACTCGCGAGTCAGCATGAGGAAGCGCCGGCAGTTGGCTTCATTGGGGAACAAGTTCTCCTGCGAGAAGGTGCGCTGGTAGATTATAGGTATCTCGGGAGTAGGACCCTGTGTCGAAGTGGGGTACAGGCCGGTGTAGACTTGTTGGAGCGACTCTAGAGCTCTTGGGACAGGGGTAGCGCGGAGGTAGTGGCTGGATTGGGGGCCAGGACTGGGAGGGAGGAAGCCGAGTTGGTTGATGTAGAGGTTTCTGGCGCGTTGACCAAGTGCGAGGGTGGTCTGTCTTCCGAGGTCGGTGAGTTCGCCAAATGAGCTGTAAACAACTAATTAGTTGGTCCACGTTTCCTTTCGACTTGTTCAGACTCACCAGATTGAATCCTCAGTACCGGTACCGGCACCACTAACAACTGCCTGCCCTTTATCCCCCACAGTCTCGGTTCTTCTTTTAAAAGCAAGCTCGCTCCACTCGCCAGTGTTCTCTACTACGGCCGCCTTAAATCTTGCCACAGAGTTACAATACGGCCACACTAATATCCCATGCAATCAGCTCAACCCCCAATTGGCCCAAGTTCAACCTATGGTATTAAGATTGACTCACGAGGCGCCAATCCCGTTTCCTGAAACCTCGCACCCACAGGTGTTCTTTCACCATGGCGAAATATAAGCTGTACAAGGTGCAATTCAAGGCTCTCTGGATATAGGGATTTCAGCTCCTGAGGACTGTACGGCGGGGGCGGGACGAAGGTTGTCATTTTGGGATTTTAAGGTGGTTATCTCTGGAGGTTGCAGTGTGGTATCTTCGGATGTGGGAAAGTTGGAAAGATGCCAGGATATATGTATCTACAGTGGCCCTAGCTTTGTTGACGTTGGCATTGCAGGTCACGGGAATACAAATAAGGCGTTTCTTGGCATCCACGTGGGTAGTTTGTGGTGTGCATCATGGAGTATCACTCTAGCCGGTAATGATAGGTGGGTAGGTTTTCGGAGTATGTGGTTGGGGGTATGTTAATAGATGGAAAATATGCCCGTGGGGAAAGAAGGAGTAAACCGGAGACAGATATCTCTCCTAGAAAGGCTTCTAGGAATTGGATAATGATGAATTGCGTGCTTTGCATCACAAGGTGTCTAACTATTGCATTGTACTCTTGATATACAACAAAAAGAAAGAAAAAGAAGGAAAAAACGCCAAACCCAAGACCCTATCTATGTACTCCATCTTTTTAATTAACAAACTAAAACTTTTTTCGATTACCACCCTCTTTCCTTCACCAAAGCATCTATACACTTTCCAACTCCCTCCAAATCTCCCAACAAACCAATATGACCCCTGTCTACGGCCACCCTCTTCGCACATCTGTATCCTTCGGGGAGCATCGCTTTTTTCGCCAGGCAGACACCATCCCCGGCACCAAATAGCAAATCTACATACGCATCTGCCCTCTTAATTCCCTCTAACCCATCCACTTTCGCACCTCTCACAGTCGGCGATGTTTTCGAGTATAGCACTGCTTGCGGTGGATACAGCGCTTCCTTCTCTGGGTTATACTCCAGCGCCTTTCTAAAGCGTAGTGTTTCGGCTAGAGTACGTTCGAGATACGGTATTGTGCGAGAGAGTGGGAGAGTAGGGTGTTGGTCGGTTCCTGTTGACGGGGTGGAAGACGTCTGTGGAGCTATGCTGCGGTCTTTACTCAAGTCGGCGGTGGAGGTGAAGGCAGATAAAGTCCCCAGAACAGAGGTGCTGGTTGAGGGCGCAGGGTATGGGGTAAACGTGGAGACACAGGGGGTCAAGCAGTAGTCTTGCCAGGTTTTGACGTTAAAGAAGTCGAGTGGAAGGGGTTTGTCAGTGTTACGGTCAACGAAGCATTCTCCGCTTTCAGGCAGAAAGGCGTAGGATGTCCGGAGAGTAAAGTTTACCTATCCGCGCAGCCACCCGGTTAGAGAAATTTTATAAAGAAGAGTAAAGACACGGGAACTCACCTGTGCGGTAAAAACTTTTGAATTCATCAACACTACATCCCCATTTCTCAGTGGTCCCAGGATATTGACACAGGTCTGCGGCGTCCCCGCAAACAACACACCCGAGAACAGGTCTGGCCGCTGGTTCATGGCATGCCTAGTAATCAACCCTCCGAGTGAATGCGCAATCACCAATGCCCCTTTTCGCTTTTCACCTCCCTCGGAGTTTCTAGAATTGCACTCTAGCCCCTCCAAAAATGCAATTAATCTCTTGGATAGCAGCTCCGGAGACAATCGCCAATCATATCCCCACTCATGTACTCTACGCCCGCGGGCATCTGAGTTTAAGCGGAGGCGTTTCAAGAGTTTCCTGGATATATCAACAGGGCCGATATGAGTAAGCATTCCCGAAGGTGCGATCTTGTCTTTCATATTCTCCTCGTCCTCTGGGTCTAGGCCAACTTCAAGGTTTATCTTGCGGAGGTTGAACCCCACTTTCAACGGGATCCAGACACGCCTATTCCCGGCTGTTTTATCCCGGAGGATCGATCCCCTATATCCGCCCATAATTACCACATCGCCAGTGACATTATCCAAGGCTTCCAATGCTGGGGAAACAGCGGTGTTGTTAGCTGCAGTCTCGGGTACTGAATCAGTGAACGGATTGAACTGCGCTAATTGTGGTAGCTGTGGGAAATTTGGAAAGGTTGGGAGCCCATCTAGGATGGCCTTGAATCGTGCGTTGGCCGGAGCGTGGATATGCAAGAACTTTGAATCATCACCTAGTGACGATGCGGCCGAAGGCATTCGGGAGAGTGGATCCATAAGTACGGACGGATGTGAAGATGATCGCCTATGTGCATGCGGTCTAGGCTTCTTCTGGTTTGCCAACTCTTCATTAGTAATCGCTGTGGCCGCCGTTGTTTGATCTAGACGGCCAAAAAATGCCGAAGCCCTGTCCGCAAAGAATGAGGAGTTTATGCCTCCCCCTCCCGTGGCCCCTGGTGCCCCAGAACGAGGATTAAATAACGTTTTAGAGCGCAGACGGGTGTTGACCCCACTAAAAGATGGCAAGCTAACGTTCGGTAGGCTCACATTTGGCATCTGCAGTGATGGAACCTGGAAAAATGGCCTTGACTTCTTCCCCTGGGCTGCTTGCGCCTGTGTCTTTTCCCTTGCCACGAAATTGGGATACACTCTTCCATAAGTTTGCGCGCGTTTGTCCTGTGCGCTTCCTGGCTGGAATAAGCCTGTGGGGGCAGTGGTGCTAGTAGGTGAGAGTGCATTTCTATATAGTGCAGTGGACTGGCTTCGTGATATTACAGGAGCAATAATGGACTCAGCGTCGATCTCCTGGACGTTGATTTCCCCTGGACGGATCACGTCATTGTAGGTAGTCTCTTCTTCTCCACTGGAGTCGTCTGTGGGAATTGGTGGGAGGGGTTTTAGCTGTGGAGATGTTTCTGCTGAAGGTGGACTTGAAGATGGTGGCGATAGAAGTGAGGGGCTTCGAGGAACAATTGGCGAGGTGCCAGTATGGCTACTTTCAGCGTGGACTGCCGTACTCATTCTTGCTGGTCGTAATGGCTTTGGGGTATTTATATATGTATTATATTAGGTGAGTGAGGTTTGTAGATCAGGTATGTAGGACGTAGAAGTACAGGTATACGGCAAGTGAGCGATAAGAGAATTCGCAAAAGCAGAAAAGAAAGAAAAGGAGAATCTGGTAAGCACGTGTTACCGAGAATCCTCGAAGATTATATATTCCAGCTCGCTCGCTCAACGGGCCCTGCTCCGCTCCCGCGGATGGCCGGGTGGGGAAGAAGGGGCATTTTTATATATATATATCGTATCCCTCGAGAACGCCATCGACCAGAAGCATAACCAACGGATAGATCATACATCATGCAGGTTTCACCGCACCACAGTAGGGCGTTGATAATCTACTCTATTCCTGCGTAAAAGTGACGTTGCATGAGTAACAGAAGGGAGTAGATGAATCTAGGGGGATTGGCAACCTTCATACGACATGTGAGTTCATGGTTGTGATTCGCTCCTACATGTACGGTGCCGCCGGAAGATTTGTGTTCCGCCCCATCGGACCGGGTAACTAACTGGCTGGTGTTACTCCGAATGTCTGCTTGGTAACATTGTTAATACCCTAAATAGATCCTGTGCCTGTATCTACTACTGAGGGGAGCCTGTACTTGTTGCCCTGGGTGGTAACTGATCCATGAATATTCCAGGCTTTAGTGATCTGTTATATAATGCATGCACTCAGGACACTATAATCCATAGATACTAGCACTTATAATATTATGAAGGCCGGCCTAGGTTTAATTAATTACGTGTATATCTAATATTGAATTCGGTCACAGATATCAAGAAAACAATACCCACTGAAAATAGTAGCGTAGCAAAAAGAAAAAAGCTTAATCTTAATTTCCGAGCCTAGCAACGCCCCGCCTGTCTCGCCCGGAGTAGGTACATACAGCGCTGTAAGCAGGCTCAGCCTCACTCAATTTAGGGGCCGACACCGAAGTCTTGGAGGATTAACTAAAAGTCATGGCAAGATTTATAAATCACAAAGATGACCCGCGCCGCGACAAGATTAACGAAAATCGCGCGCTACCGTATGTAAGCGTACTGCCCTAATATGGAGAACTCAAGCTCGGGTTAGTGGAAAGTCGCAGAGACGAGTGATGATATATATGAGTGCGCCGTAATAATTATAATATCCGGTTTCTCCTCATGCCTGTAGGTGGATAATGATCCTTCCTCAAATCCCAGTTTACTATAAGGCTGTGCACGTGTGTATTCCTTGATAGCTTTCTAGGATCATGATGCAGCTATACCATTTTAGACCTCCGAAACAACGAGTTAAGATTGAGACTATACATGTAGCCGTAACTAAAGGAAATGGAATGAAATCAAAAGGCCAACAAGTGCAATAACTATTTTGATAGCATTAAGCTCGCTCCACGCTAGCTGCTGAGCGTGATATTGTGGGATCTCCGGGTGGATACAAATCAGGATATTATCCAAGTGCCCATTATTATATATAATATACATGTATGTGTCTTCTTAAAGCGTTATTGACAAGTCACGTGGTATATTGTACTGATATATTACTTTGACCGGATCCAGTTTAGCCATAGTTTTGTCTACTATTCTGCACTCTAGCTTCTTGGCGGGTTTAAATAAAATCATTGAATTTGGGACGCACTTATGCGTCTGTTGCCGAGACTTAAGCTCCCCTTCAATAAAATAACCCGTAAAACCACACGACACGAAAAATGTTTTATGTATTTGATAAATCAAGAAAGTATGGTATGGAACTCAAGGGACACCAATAGAAAGAGAGCCAGATACACCAACCCAAGCCAGCAAAGAAAGCACGACCCAAATATCAAATATACCTAACCAACAAACGAGGGGAAACACCAATCTAGAAAAAGCCACCAGAGAAGATAAAATTTCATGCGAAGCCCGCAACCACAAAATGCAAGAAGCGAAATATAAGAAAAAGAAGAAGAAAATGACGCAACATTATTTACTTGCTCCCGCCTTCCCCTCTTCAACAGCCTTTATCTCCTCCTCCGCCTTCATTTCCCTCACCTTTGCCAACACAACTTCCCTAAATATCGCGGTTCTCGCCGCTCGTGACAGCCTTCTCGCACCTTTTAACTCCTCCTCCTCCTCTTGCGGCGGCGGTACTCTCGCAGTAGCCGAGGTGATCCCTTCACATGCTGCCTGCGCAGTACTGGATGGTATATCGCTCGTCTCGCCAGCTTCCTGATCGTCTTCACGAAGCTTCAGAGCCTCGATACGGTTTGCCAATTTTACCATTTCAACGCCGCGGCGGAGACGTGCTTTGGCCATATAGGATTTGATCTCAGGGAGGATATCTTTGTCAGACGCAGTCTCACCCTTAAGCCATGTGTGTTTCAACGCCTCCTATTATAAGAATTAGTAACAAACCACGTTTCTTTCGGCAAAAGGGGACTAACAGCACTAGAAGGTCTATCGTCCGGATTCGTCTGAAGTAAGGATCCAATGAACAGTTTTGCATCTTTACTAACTCCCTTCCAGTATCTCTCATGAAATATAATTCTTCCCTTGTTACACTCCTCTACTAGCTCCTCCATATTCTCACTCCTAAAAGGCGAATACCCGCACAACAGAGTATATGTGATGACACCTAAACTCCACAGGTCTACCGCCTTACCGTGGCCCTTCTTCATCATTACCTCTGGTGCAGCGTATCCAAACGAGCCCGCCATAGATGTGAGAACAGTTGTATCGGTATCGAGCATTTTTGCAATCCCGAAGTCGGCAAGCACTAAGGAAGAGTCCGGAGATGGGGTAAGGTAGAGAAGATTCTCGGGCTTGAGGTCACGGTGTACGATGTTGTTGGAATGGAGGTAGTTTACGGCGGTGAGGATAGAGAGAACAACTACGGTGGCATCTTTCTCGGTGAACTTTCCTTTTTCACAAATGCGATCGAAGAGTTCACCGCCGGTTGCGAGCTGTGTGACGATATAGTATTTGTCCTAAAGGGTTGTTAGTACGAGATCGAGTTCATAGACTATGATCCAAGATCACACACCCCACCCCAGGTAATAATCAGGAATTAAGAGAATCCCGGATCTAGTAAACGGAAAAGAAAACACAAACCCTTGATTCAAATGTATCCTTGAAAGAGACAATATTTGGGTGATCCAAACGCTTCAATAACTTCAATTCATCCTGCACCATTTCCTCGTTCCCCTTTACGCTCTTCTTCAAAATAATTTTTACAGCGACCTTCCCGGATGGGGATTCTGCCTCTCGTACTATCCCGTAGGTACCCGCACCCTGTTACTTGTTAGTGGATGCATTGTTGTGATTTAAAGGAGCTGTGATCACGAACTAGTGTACGACCCATTTTGTATTGAGATCTACAGCATAGGCCATCAGCTTCAAACGTGTATACCAAAGTGCAGACAAGGATTTACTCACTTCTTATCATAGCTCGCTGGCTGCCCATTCAAGCGATGGAACACCGAGGCAACCAGCTCCATCCCCGCGTTCAATGAGAGTCTGAATGAAGATTGCGAACGCACATGCCCTCGAGAAGATCCACTCTCGTGTCTCTCGCGACTTCGAGACATCATGGTATAAAGAAAAAATGGTGATAGATCTGTTTGCGGCGGTACGGTGGTTGTTGAGAGTAGCACCTAATGTATGTAGGAGGAGGCAGGGAGGGAAAGAGAGTTTACTCTAAATTACAGCTCATGATTTTTGCTATATATATAAAGGCAGGTCTTGGATTGGGTCTTTGAGGGCTCGTGCATCAGCGGGGATTGTGGTGTTTATTGGCTTCTCCCCCGGTCTCGGGATCTGCGGCGCAGTCTGTGTGTGTGTGCTGTATCGTACCGATGTTGTCGGTGTTATTTACATGTATTCATTCAAATCCGCCCTTTATTGATCTTATGTTCTAGTCCGAATACATCATAACTCCATTACTCGGTTATCTACTAATCATCTGCACCAAAGGTAAACTTAACAAAGTCGTCGTCAGTGTTTTTTTTTGCTTCTTGCTTGGTGTATCTCGACGTGGTTTAGTGTCAATCTGTCTGTGCATGGCACGCCGTACACCTTACCTTACCTTGTATCCCCTGGCAACCTCCAACGGCTTTCTGCCCATCCATTCTCTTCAGCGAATACAGGCCGTACTACATACATCAACTTCTCTTGCAAGGCTTCTTCCACCTTACGGAACAGCCTCGGGCACAAAGACGGGTTCACATAGAGCACTCTCTACAGCACATGTACCTACATACAGGAATTCAGGCCATACGTGTAGCTACAACACTTATTCAAACAGAGAATAATACGATGGCGTGCATAAGGGAAACCGCCTTTATGCCCGAGAGGCTCCGTTCTGCCCTGTAGCCCGCAATGCCTAGCCAGGCTGACAAGACATACATGTAGCGTGTATTTTAAACAAGGTACACATACATGTATGTAAAATTTACTTCCTATGTAAAGGCTAAAGCTGCCACAAGAGCCTCAACCTAAAGCTTGTCCTTATCACGTGCATCTATACTATACCCCACCCGCGTGTTTCTATTTCTGCTTCCGTCGCTGTTACAATCATTTACTCAGACTTCAGAGTATCTGCCAGCTGCTAAACAATACCCTCTCATACCACCATCTAACCTACAAGCGTTCGACTCTCACTATGGGGCCGGTACCCACGTTCTCCAGGCGCCTCAAGCGCGAGTTGCTCAACGTATATATTTGCCCCCCACTCTCCGCTCCTTGGATTTCCTTCCCTCTCTCTATCTACTAACAGTTTCACTATAGATGCAGAAAGAACTCCCCGCTGGTACCCCTTCCCCCTCTTTTCCCGGATCCTCCTTCCATTTATTGCTCCTTGACAGCTCTACAACTCTACAGCTCCATATACTAAGCGCGAGAAATAGGAATCCACATAGCCACCGCCGACGACCTGTCAACATGGGAAATGGATCTTGAAGTCCTGGACCAAAACCCGATCTATCACGGGAAAACGTTCCGTTTAAGGTTCAAATTTGGCAAAAACTATCCGATCGAGCCGCCAGAAGTTATGTTTGTAAGAACGGCAGATAGAGGTGAGACTAGATCTTTCATTCTTGCGGTTGTAGTTGGAGTTATGGGTGCTGGTAGTGGATAGCAGTAGCGTGTGTTACTGTTATTGCTTAGTACTAGGATATTTGTGGCGTGATAGTCAAAAGTGGCGGTGGGAATATGTTTCCCTGACATGTCCTACTGGCACTATTGTAACTATCATCACTACTAGCTTAACTCCCCCGCGATATACTTTTATTGCGATTATTTTACTTTGCTGACAGCCCCAGAAATACCAATGCATCCGCATGTCTATTCCAATGGCATAATATGTCTCGATCTCCTATCCACCGGTCACGGCTGGAGCCCCGTACAAAATGTCGAAAGTGTCTGCGTGAGCATCCAATCGATGCTTACTGGTAACACCAAGAACGGTTCGGCTCCACCTCCTCTCCATTCAATTCTCTCCTATAGACTAATCATGATAATGGGGATAGAGAGGCCAGAAGGTGATTCACAGTTTGTAATGACCCCTATGAGGAGCGTGAGGGATATCAATTTCGTATATGACGACCCGACTGTGTGAAAAAATTGTGAAGGGTCAGGTTTGTATCTTTTTCTTTTTCTTTTTATACGCTTTACTTTTGTTTATTTAATTCTTTCCGAAAAGATATGGACAGAAAAATAAAGTCTCATTCTTTTATTGGCGAATTTGGGCGTAGAAATTAACTACATGTAGCTCTAGGGTCGCGTATTTAGTACGTATCCTAAATGGTCAAAGACTTGATCGTGACATTTTATGCCGCAGTGAGTATATAAGGGCAAACAGTCGATGGAAAAATGAATGATCCCATAGAGTGAGCTGTTAATATCTTATGTATGCATGAATCTAAAGTTACATTACCCAAAAGCCAGGGTGGGACTACATGTATTTCCCCAGGTTCATGATAATTATCAGAAATAACAATCTCCATTAAACAGCCCTCGCCCACTTCAACCTCTACACTGATCCACATAACTTTTATTAATTCCAGTTTCCGTTTAAATGCGTTTGACAAACTCGATTTTAGACTTAATTCATCAGATATCACTCGCGTATGTTTCTAGATAAGACGTGGTGATTGTCAAATTGCTTTATATATAGATTTTCATAATTATAATGATACTTGACATAATCTGCAGGCATATAAGATACAAGCGGAGTGCGGCCTTCGGCCACCCAAATGTACTGAGGAAATGAGGTGCGGGCGGTACTGCGATAGTAATTTCTTAGATTATTGCTGTCATTCTGGATTATTGGGTCATCAAAACGTACAGGCATGCACTAAACCTCATCTCCATCTCTCCTTATATGTAATCTGTGATATATTAGCGTTAGTATGTACATGTAGTTCATGATAAAATGGTATCAGGGAAATTCGACCTTCATATATAAAAATATCGCTGTAGTTCTGTCAGTGTTTGTTCTTTTATATCCATCAATTGCAATAGCTACACGCCTTTTAATGCCAGTTCCCTTCCGTCTCGGGAGTAGTTCTTTGTCGAATCATGATATGCAATCAATATTAGAAATACATGTAGTGCGCTGTAACCAATAGGAGACGTTCCTGGTGACGATGAGGAAGACTATATAGTTTAGATACATAGAAACCGGCTTAAAATAAATTGACATTCGCCCCCCCCCCCCCCCTTCGAGCCCCTGCTAACTAATTCTTCGTCCTCGGAATTTCAATTGTCCAAATTACGACTTACGCTCGACCGTAAACCATTCGGTTTTAACGTCTCTCGGATCACGTTCTGCCCCGAGCCTCATAACTAGAGTCTGCGCACGTATCTGGATCTGTTACAGCGTTAGAGAACTATGACCTCCTTTTTTCCTTTACCTTATATTTTTAGGAAGCTGCAACCTGGATCTCTACTATACTCACCATATAGATATGTATTGGTGTACATCCATCCTTATTCAGCTTTATATATACTAGCGCCGTTCCCGAGAAGTAGCTAGATAACTGCCTGACTTCCTCCTTTTACAGCATTGGTCAATGCCGTTCCCCCATAGAGGTCATCGGCTAGTAAGTACATTAACACCCTTATCAAGTAAAAGCCGTGTTAACGTCTCGTTTCCTCTCTTTGTCGCTAAATGCGTGCAGTGCTGTCTCATTCCTGGAAAAAAAGTAGTGCCATTCCCAAACAGCTTGGTCACAATTAAGTCTCCATGAGGATTTAAAGCATGATTCAATACTTTTTGGACTCCAAGGGTATTCCCTAGAGCTGATCATGATGCTATATGAAGCACATGGATTCCATCATCAAGTATTGGATATGTTTTTGTATACGAAAAAAGTCGGTATATTCTTCTGAGATAGCGATAAACCTGCCAATATTATTCTGGCGCTTTAGAAACCCCCCATAGAACCTCCAATAGCTTTATTTCCTCACAATACTCAATATGCAGATATAAGTAAGCGGGGGCGTAACTCGTGAAGCGATAACGCAAAGGTGTATTTCCAGATATCTCCTAGGCCATATTTTTCTTCTAAATAGATACCTCTCCTGGTTCGTTTTTAACATTCGAGAGCGCCATATGTGATGATGTAGGTGGCCGGATTCGTTACCAAAACTATCAAAGGAATTAAAGATATTTCAAGCTGCAAGTTATGGCAACCTTCAGCTCCGGATCTTGGTGTATGATCGACTTTCCCTAGATATATTCCTGAACAGTCAAGTGCACCAGCCGAATATTTCTTTCACCATCAATTATTACAAGTCCAGAGCAGACTTCAAGGATCATTTCTCCCTCTGGTAAATCTAATTATTCGAATTTATCTTTCCCCTCATCGACGGAAAGTACCACTCGAAGCTCATCAAATTTTAGTAGTCGTTTAGCTATGCGAGCCAAGCAAGTATCATAATCGACAAATCTTTGCGTGCTTTAGGTTTCTGATTGATGTTTTCGATTACTCTATCATAGGTTGCGTCTAAAAGGGAATTCACACTTGAAGACCAAGTTAACCGCGTCAAATCTGACATGCATCTCAATGATGCAGAATGTCGTTCTGGGTATCGCTAGCTAGACGCGGACTATGGGCCACATAGATCACATATTTCACATTACCCGGATCAAGCGCAAAGCGCAAAACAACGTCAGTTCGATAGTCGGAAAACAGCCCAAAAAATATGCGGCTCTCGATGGAGAGGGCAGTATCCTTGAGAGGAATTGCTTTCACTAGATGCACCCTGGCTCCTTTGATCAAAGCATACCTTCGAGACGGACATTGGCTTCTCTTACAAACAATAGCAATCCGCCAAAACCACGGAGAAATCCGTCAGAGAGATTTGACCCAGTAAGCTTCATATCCCAAATTAACTACAATTTTAGCTTTCTAATATGCCATCCGCCTTCCTTTAGAAATCTATCGAAAATGGATGGTACTCTTATTGGACATCCCGCTCGCTTTTCGAGCCCCAAACACCTTCGGCCGAGTCCAAAGATAAAATTCGAATGCTTCTACCCCCTCCTAATGTTACCGGTCAGCTCCATATCGGACATGCATTGATGCTTTCGATCCAGGATGCTCTTGCTAGATATTATCGTATGAATTCTCATCCTGTGCATTGGGCACCAGGTACAGACCACGCCGGTATTGCGACACAGTCTGTTGTTGAACGCATGCTCAAAAAAAAGCGCGGATTATCAAGGAATGATCTAGGAAGAGAGAATTTTGTTAAAGAGGTTGAAAAATGGAGGGATGAGTATGGTGGCAGAATCCTGGGTCAAGTGTCGAGATTAGGTACCTCGACCACCGGGTCGTCCGAGTATTATACATTAGATAAAGGGCTGAGCGAGGCAGTTACAAATGCTTTTGTTAGACTGTATGAAGAAGGGTTAATCTATAGAGACACGAGGATGGTAAATTGGAGTGTGGGCTTGCAGACAGCCATATCTGATATCGAAGTTATCAGCGAGGATGTTTCGAAAGGGACAAAGATCGACGGGTATGTTGTTGTTTTAAGTAGTATACCATTAATTGGCTATAGCTAATTACACCATGACAGAGTGGAATTTGGTATTCTTCACTCTTTTGCATTTCTATTAGAAGATGGTAGTGGGGAAATTGTAGTTTCTACCACAAGGCCAGAAACGATTCCAGGTGACCGGGCAGTAGCAGTACATCCAGATGATGAGAGATACAAGGCATGCGCTCTTTATTCTTTTCCACCCTGCCTTGACCCCATTATCAATTAACGGTGACTCTACTCAGCATCTTCACTATAAACGTGTCTACCATCCCCTCCTCCCAGGTATGACTTTGCCTATCGTCCCCGACGCAGAACTGGTGGACCCCTCGTTCGGAACTGGGGCAGTCAAAATTACACCATGTCACGATATCAACGATTATGCATTCTGGCAACGTCACTCTTTGTCTTATGTATCACCCTCCAATAAAACCCAAGGTAAAAGAGTCGAAATTCCCCTGGTCCCCGTATTCTCTTCCACGGGTCATTATCTTCCTTCTAGTGGTATTTCTTCCCTGGTTGGAGTTGACCGTCTACATGCCCGTAAATCAATTGTTCGGCTCCTTGAAGAGGCGGGTGTATATCGCGGAAGGAAAGATCACGATATGCGTGTAGGAAAGTGCGAGAGATCTGGGTGCGTAATCGAACCTCTTCTCCAGCCACAATGGTATCTTTCCACAAAACCATTAGCCGAAAAAGCTCTAGCACAATCAGTATCCCAGGGCTTGATCATCAGACCCGAGACTCCGTACTCAGATGAATGGAAACGCTGGTTGGGGGTATTCAGGATTGGTGCCTGTCACGGCAAATTTGGTGGGGACATAGGATCCCCGCGTATCAGGTGCTAGAGCCAGGGAAGTTTAAGGAGAGATGGATTATCGCTACCAGCGAAGCAGATGCAAAAAGCCAGCTTACTGAGGATGAAAGGCGTAGAGGATGTGTTCTTGAACAAGATTCAGATGTGCTGGACACGTGGTTTTCGTCTGGGCTGTTGCCTCTGAGTACAGCTGGGTGGCGCGGAAATGAAATGGCAGAGGGTCACCAAGAATGGAAGGAAAATTATCCTTTGGACTTCATTGAAAGTGGTGGAGACATACTATTCTTCTGGTTGGCAAGAATGGCCATGCTTTGTAGGTTCATCCACATCCTCTGACCATCATCTCTATCATCAGAACCAGGGCTCAAAATACATTAACTCTTCTTAGGTACATGGTTTTCCGGAAAGTTACCTTTCGGGGAGATATTACTTCACCCCCTGGTCTGCGATGCCAGAGGCCGAAAAATGTCAAAATCCGTAGGAAATGTTCTTGACCCACTCGCCGTCGTTGAGGGGCGGACAATAGATAGGATCATACAAGAGATCGAGGCGGATAGTAAGGAAGAGATAGAACTTGGAAAATCATTGAACACCAACGCTGGAGAAAAGCAGGCAAAAGATGCTCAAACCCTTGTCCGAAATAAAATCAAGGAAGCCCGGAAAACCTTCCCACAAGGAATCACAGAAAGCGGGGCGGATCCTTTAAGAATGGCTTTAGTTGACTACACCAGGCAAGCACGACAGATCAATATGGAACTAAGGCACATTGATGCATTTCGGAGGTTGGGGATCAAGATTGATAATGCATTCAAGTTTTTCCATAACTTCCGGAAGCCCTCCGATAAGGCCTTTGGAACCGCAATTGAAGGAAATATTAGAACCCCTGCCACGATAAAATCCTGGATAGAGGGGCTAGATAAGGAAAGGGTGAGACTCCATGATTGGTATATGCTTTATCACCTACGAGAACTGGTGGGGGTCTGCAACACGGCATTTGAGGAAAGAAAACTCTACAAAGCTACAGAGGCGATTAGAGCATTCACATTCGATGTTTTATGTGACGTATACCTGGAGTTTGTTAAGGAGGAATTGGGAGATGAAAATGTGCGTGTTTCCATTAGTTCTCCATAACTGATGATCCCCACTAGTAGATACTAATTACCCATCTTTACAGAGACGAGATATTGCCATGGGAATGATGTTCCATGCGCTCGACGTCACATTACGTCTCACCCACCCTTTCATGCCCTTCATCACCGAAGGCCTCTGGCAAGAACTCGACCCCAAGAACAGGGCAGAAGTAGACGGCACCTCAATCATGCTTTCAACCTTCCCCAGCGCCAGCAATTTCCCAGATATTGAATTCTCGCAAGCAGAACCGATGAAAGGTGTCCTAGAACTTGTAGAAAGCCTGCGACGTTTCAGCCATGACGTCTCATCCTCCCCAGACAAGCGTTCTAAAAAGGTCGTATCGATTCTTCCACCACAGGACGGAAGTTTAACAGAGTATCTGAAAGAGAAGAAAGAAACTCTGGCTAGGCTTTCGAAGGTTGAAATCAGAACGATCTTTGGTGAGACTCGCTGGAGTGGGGTCGAAGCTGACCTGGTAGGTAGCGCTGATGGGTGGGTTGAACTCCCACAATCTATCGACGGCCAGGATGGAGTATTGGTTATAGGTCGTAGAACGAATACCCAGTAGACGTAATTAGCGTACGTTGTCTGGTTTTGGATTGGATATATGTAAAATAAAGCCTATTTTTCAAGTACAAACAACCCATACAATTAATGAATTATTCAAAAAAGAAAAAGTCCAATCAACCCCGGGGAATCCCAAATCATGGAATCTCACTCGTATATTTAAACCCACTCTAGTCATAAACATTGACAAGCACCCAGAGCCGTGCGCCCTAGTTACCATTACCACCCTAGGCTACCATCCCCCGTCCCTTAATATAAACTAAACAAACTCCACCCCACCAATCACTCGAATGATCCACTATGATTTCAACCCACCTCGCCCTAAACACAAATCACCTCCCCTATGCAGCATACATGTATGTCGTACATGCGCCACGCATAGATCCTTCATGAGCAGGGAAGGGGTGGCACGAGGCGCAGGGCTATTTGGAATACATAACCTAAAGTGAGACCTGGAGGCTTTTTCTTGGTATGTGTGTACTTGTTTACCACGAAAAGAACCAGAAAATGCAGTTGCTCAGGGCAAGGATTATTTGTATGGAGTGGCGGTGATCTCTCATACAAACTATCCCTGTTTCCGTCACTTGCATTTTCTGGTTCTTTTCGTGGTAAACGAGTACGTACTCTAAAAGTAATCTCCTTAACCCCTAGATAAAATATCATTTCTTTTTCTCTTATTCTCCAATCTGGAACAGGGGCCAACAAACCCGTGGTATGATAAGAGATGGTGTGTATTCCTATTCCTTTATTACAAGTAAGATTAGAAATAAACATAGAAGGATTTTGTTTCCCAGAAACTCCAATAGATATATATACAGAACCCGTGACAACAAAAGGAAAAATGCAGGTTATCAGGCTCCCCCGCCGATGCGACGACGAAAACTCAGTTAACTCCCGCTGAATGAATACCACAGAACAAAGCAAACCCCACCCCAAACAGGCATCAAGGCCTGAAACAAAAAAAAAAAAGTACGCAGAAGAAATGGCCAATTAAAACAAATTCCAGTAAGTCCGTGACGCCCCCATCCCCCCTTGCTCTATTTACTCGACGTCATCCGTTTCCAAGGGTCTGTCTCTCGAACCCTCGTTATCTGCGGCGGTGGTGGCGACGGCGGTGATTTTAGTGTTTTCTGAAACAGCCCCTGTCAGCTTCAGTCATCATGAATTAGAGGGGTGTTGTGGGGTGGTTACGCTTAGACATGATTTATATTCGTTGAATAGACTTTCGCATTTCTCAGTGCTGTGTGATTCGCCTCTTTGGTACTCTATTTGGGGTATTGTTAGCGGGGTATGAGACTGTAGGGAGAAAGAAGAACACACTCTCAGAATAGGACTTGAAGAAACAGGTGTCGTAGCGGCCTTTTGCGATGTTGCAGGGGGAGGCAGAGGGAGAGGAGTCCGCATCGGTGGTAAAGTAGCTTTCGAAGGATTCGGAGTCTAGGATAGACATTCTTGTTTCGTGTTTATTCGAATTTGGTTGTTTATAAGTTACGAATACAGATTCGATATATGCGGGCTGTTATTCTAGTGACTCGTAGGTATTGTTCGCGAAGACGGATAAGAATACGGATAATGGCAGCTGCTGAGCTGAAGAACACACAGAACACGGGTATTGTACGTCAGGCGGAGGGAGGAGCAAGAGGCGAAAGGCCGGCGGGGTGGGAAGGGGGGGCATGGACATTTATTTATTTATCTACGATCCCACATTTGAGGCAGGGCATGCGGGCGGCTGAGGCCCCATATCACGATTCGCCTTCACAACCAACGATCTGGAGGGTGCCAAACGGCCGAGTTGGGTTTAGCCAAATCCGGGGGGGATTTTGCGGGGAGGAAGAGGGAAGCTAGGCTGTGTCGGGTAAAGGAACTCTGTCGTGCGATTACGATTACCGAGGGAAACCAGGGAGAAGAGGCATTCGGAAAAGTAAATACTCTGCGCTAGTGTATGTTATGTTACGATATCGAACGGTGAGCTTGTTCTTCATTAGAGGCCAGTACCATTTCCCTACAACTTGGTACGGGAATAGAGACGAGATGGTCTGACAGGGACTCTAACTGACAGGTAAGTATGCACATAACAGGTCTCAGATGGTGTGAGAGTTGATGAGACTGGCCTGATTGAGTTGACATGACAGCCGACGATCCTATATACATCACATATATATATCCAACTCACGAGTGCCCATCCATAATCGCTATCGCGCCGACGGACCGATCCGAGTTATATAGAGTACGCACTCTAAGTATCGCAAGATTTGGAGCGTTGCACCCGGGCGTTAGAGAAGATCCTGGTACAGTCACTCACGGTGAAGGCGGATCTTGTCTGATGGCGGTCAGGGACTTGAGGCCAATAAAAGAGTTAGGTTTTGGACGCCAAGGGCAAATTACTGCAAACAGAACCATTAGACAGAATCCGCCGTCAGTAGGTGAACGACTGTATGTAAAAAGCACCAATTTTTGCTCGAACTGTGGCGAATCCTTCAGTTTTTGGTGAGAGAAACTTACCAGGATCTTATTTAACATCCGAGTGCAACGCTCCAACTTTTGCGGTATGCACATACAAGTATCTACAGGCATATATCATGACAGCAAGATTAGCGAAAACCACAATTAAATGCTGCTCAACAGGTCTCATCCATATTAATCGCCGAAAGAAAAAGGTGATATCGACGACTTGTGGACCGTTGTTATCCCCTCTGGGGACGCGGGAAAACAAGGATTGCGTCGAGGGAATCCGTGAAAGGGCGGAGCGGATATCATCGGGCGCGGGCACGGGTGAATGGATCATTTGGTATCACTCGGGTGTTATGAAGAGTTCCCCTACCAATTACTACTGTTTGGTAGAGTGCATGCTGTGTATCTCTCCGCTCCCGTCCGCAACCTTCTTTCGACATCACCCCATTTCTGCAACTAGTGTTGGTTAATTCTATAATCCCGGCATCTTGGTTTGCTGTGCAATTATAGAGTACACGTTTCTTAAGTCTTCCTCTACCCAGTCAACCATCCATTTATCAGCTGAGGTTCGTTCTCTTCTATTCATCATATCACGCACCGTCTCTCATCAGTTTCTCAAAACCCTTCATTGAGTCAGCAATAGAGCACAACAAACAAGACTCGTCTTCCTAGATTTCGTACTACTAAACAAATCCTTTCTCCTCCAGACTTGATTTTTCGCAATGAATAGGTTGGCAGCATAGGTACTAGATTCCCACTCTCCAGTTTCTATATCACCAAAGTAAGCACTTTCCCTCTGCCTCTCGATCCTCCCTACCATCCTCCCGACTTACTAGTGACACAGCTGCAAATATAGCATTATTACCAGTGTCATGAATGCAAGGCAGCCATCCTCCCTCTCTTCCGAGCTTAATTCTCATATTTGGTCCCCGATTCTTGATTCTTAACTATTGGTTCCTCCCCGGGAGTTTCGCTGTTACTGTTACGCAGTCCTCAAAATTCACAGCCCATATCAGCAAAGTGCATATACCAACCATACTAGAGTAATGACTATACAGCTGTATACATGTAGCTGCAGCTGCAAATGATGGATATAGGACATATCACGTTAAAGAATTCCACAGTTTGTATTTATTACTCCGGAGGTGACTGTAAGCTGCTAGGTAGCTATATTTGTTGGGTCATAGCACACTCAGCTCAGAGCCCCCCCCCCCCCCCAAAAGGTACATACTAACCTCCCCGCCCCACCCCACACCTTGTATCCCGCCCCGCGCGGGCCTCCCTGGGCGGGCGCACAGCACCGCGGGGCCGGCCGGCCGGGTCACAGCATCCTAATAATCCACCGCATCTCGGGGATGAACCCGGAATAACCCCCCCCCCCCCTAAAGTAACCAACCCACGGCCAAGAAACGCAATGATTCACCCGTCCCACCGGGATCAGTTCCTCGTTCTTGCCCTATCATCACCGACATGCAGATAGACGTCATAGACGTGAGTGAGATATTTGAGACAAGGTGTCAAAGACAGCCTTGTGTTGCCAGTAAGATAGCAGCAGCAACAGCCCTCAGCCTTAATCTCCTCGGATCTATGTGAGGTTTCAGGATTGAGATGTGGTGCGCGCACCGGGAAAGATAATGTGCACTTGCACGACGAGCTTTTGGCTGACTCGACTTTTCAAATCTGTTTAGACAAGAGCCGCAAGATAAGGGTAGCCAATAAAAAACTGAAAACTTCAATTATCTTCTAGATATATGGTAATTCCCTCCCCCATGACATGCTACGCTATCTCCCACTCCCCCCCATATACAGAAACTACACAGGTACCTAGAAAAACAAGAAAACCATTGATGCCCCTCCACCATGTAATTTGCAAAAATAACAAGACCAAATCACACACAAATATTTTGTAGATAGAAGAGTATGAACATGCAACCTCGAGTGAGACATGAAGAGGGAGAGAGGGGGAAAAAGGAAATGATAGAATCCTGGGAGAATCCAAATATGATGATCGATAATACACACAAAGACATTAACGAATAAAATGCTCGCTTAAAGTAGAAGGGTAAAATAACGAAGACGAAAAGGGAGAAAAAGAAGGGGAAAAAACGGATATTTCTATAATCGTAGTATCAAAGCACCAATCCTAGCCCTCCCCGCCCCCAAAAGAGACAACTATTTATCTTAACGGACCACACACGATAAAAAAGCGTACAACTCGTCAATAAGGAAAAGAACAGAAAACAGATAGCCGAGATAACACCAATGATAACAAGATAGAGTATAGGAAAATCGTTGTGGAGGAAGTAGTCAAACTGATGAAAGCGTCATAGATCCTACTCCTCACATTAAGGGCACGCTACCTTCTTCTTGGATGAAGTATAACGAGTAATGCAAGTGATGTGACGGTTTGGTTAGAGAAATATGTCGAGAGAAAAAAAGAAACTTGGACAAACAAAACAAGCGATACTCCCAGGGTATATAATTGTAGCAGAAAACCAACCCAATGGACAGAAGAGGAAAAAAAAAGCAAAAACAAACTCCTCCGTTTGCCCACAACGCCGACGAAACTTGTTGAAAGTGTGTACCCTTTACATTTGTCTAGAATGTGCTCCAGCTCCAGTCGCGAGGTACGCTGCCGACATAGCTTCCGACTTTGGCGCCAAGTCCGCTCTCAATTCCGCGGTGACCACTGATGGCCTTGATTCCGACAATCGGGCTACTAGGGTGATTGTTATTGCTAAGAGTAGAGCTGCTACTTGTACTGGAACTTAAAGAGTCGGATCGTTTCGCGGCAAGCACACGCTTGTAGTCGTTGAAGCAATTGTCGCATGCCTTGGATGGATATCCTTGAGCGTGGAAACGAGCGTTCTTGCTCAGGGGAATAATGTGGCCGACATGCTCGTAGCAGAAGATGTTTCCGCAGCTGGTAATTATTGTCAGTTAAATGTTACACACATGAAACCATCGTGTAAAAAAGATTGGATGAAGTGAGACCCTTCATATGCTTTTGGGATGCTAAGGAAAATCGCAAAGAAACGTGAAAGAAAGCATGTAAGGGGTGAAGTAAGGGATGAAACTGGGAGGTAAGTGGAGCTTACCGACGACAATGATGCTTTCGGTGGTAGATGGTGAATCTTCTTACACACATTGGTGCATCACAGGTTTCGGCTTCGGCGTCAGGCTGTAGAAGCACGCGACGTTTGTCAGCAATCGCGACACAAAACAACAGAAATTCGCAAACCCAAGGGCTAATAACGTAAGAAAAACAAAGCGACGTGGATGGGATCAGCCCCCCCATTGGACGAGCGCATTCGCACCCAAGCAACATATAACTCCCGGACCGCCACCATCCACCCAACTGATGGCCTTGACATTAAGTAAACTAGGGTATTCAACTCCCTCGCTTTACAGTCCATGCACATTACGACCGTGGGTTACATGATTGGAGCAGAGTAAAAAAAAAAATACATGTGTGGGTTGCATAACAAAAAACTCATTTGGTGGGTGATAAATACCTTCCAGTGTCCTCTATCTGGCTCAGCAGTAACTTGTACGTCGTCGTCCTCAATTTCCCCCAGATCTGCAATATTGAACCCAGCATTTCCGTAACCGAATCCCCGGAAATCGACACCGGTCTTGTACTCGACATCGCTAACATAGTCTTCATTTACAGAAGCGGCCGAACTCGCTGGCGGAGTCAAAGGATCGCCTCTCGCTGTCCTAATCGGCCGCTCGATCGAGCGGAGAACAGCTGGCCTGTAAAGAGGAACCTTTGGGGGGTGTAGCTGGCGACATGGAGCCGGAACGTGTGGACCTAGAAGTGAATTAGGCGAGGTATTGTATTGCGAAGGATGCATCGCGTGCTGAGATGGTGGCGGCGATGTGTTATTATTGATGTTGTTGCTGGCGTATTGAGCAAAGCGGGGCTGCTGCTGAGATGGCGGTGTGAAGGGCATGATGATTAGATTGTGAGTGATGAGTGGTGATGGCTTAGTATGTGATGGCTGCGATGTTGGTATGAGAAGCGATTAACGAGATGGTTAGAGTACGGTAGTTGGGAGAGGGCGTTGGGTGGAAATTGTTCTTGGGTGGTTGTTGGAAAGAGCGAAAGGGGGATTGACTGGCGGGGGTCGAGGTTAGAAAGGGACTAACAGAGCATGGGCGGAACCCTGACGTTAGCGACTCTGGCCTCTCTCAACGCACGCGACACGAATTGGAAGGAGGATTGCCAATCCGAAAGCAGCTGCAATAGGCCTGCAATGCAGGTTGAAGTGTTCGCTACAATACCTTTTCAGTAATCTTTTCTATCTAGAGGACCGGTAAGTACTGTAGATAGGCTGATATTCCACGCAAAAAAGATTGAAATTGCGTTGGTGTAGCTCTCTTTGTCTGAGGTTGAAATATATGAGTCTTCGAGAAAGGGTTCAAAGCATCAAATCCGAGACAACGGGTGACGGGTGCTCGGGTATGTAAGATACGAGTGGCCGGAGAGATGGATTCAGAGTTTGTAACCCAGGGAAAACTTATAAGAAAAAAACAAAATAAAGGATTTGTTGAGAACAGTTGGGTTCCGAAGAGAGAGATATGGTTATTATTATTTTAATATTTGTCTCTTCCTGGGAAGGGTGTGGTTGTGGATGATAATGGGGGAGGTAGGGGGGGGTTGATATCGCTATCGATAGAGAGGGCTGTAATCTTGTATCGCAGTCGCAGTCGCAGTCGCGGTCGCAGTTGGAACTTGGATGTGGTTGTGGTTGTGGTGGTACCGACGACAGGCAACGGATAAGTCGAGCAAGGAAGGTATGCAGTTAGGTTTTATGGATAACGTTACCCTTCGGTCGGGGAGGTAGGCAGGCAATTAATCAAGTAGGCAGGCAGGCAGACGAGTGAGTACCGCAATCAATCAAGCAAGCACTGGCAGAAACAACAGACAGGGCAGAGATGGGTAACGGCAGCGGGGAAACGGTCTGGGACGGGAATGTATGTGGTTTTGAAATGGGCGATCAAGTCCTACTCTTAATTCTTCTCTGTCTGTCTGGCAGGTTCTTCTTCGTCTTCTTCACGTTCTTCTTTTCCTTTCCTCTTCTTCTCTGGTCTCGTCTGGGTAGATTTGCGCTTGTGAAGGGTCTAAAGTGCGTTTTTGCTAAAAAGGGTCTGTCGCCGTCGCCTCAACTTTTACGCAGGAAGGCAAGAAGGGCTTCCCTTCACACCCCCCCCCCCCCCCCCTGCTCTTCACCCCAGAGATAAGCAGCACATTTGGCGGGCAGCACAGCAGGCTAACTGCCGGAATTATCACACTAATTCTCGAGATGGTCATTGATCTAACCTCATAAAGCCAAGAGTGAGAGATAAGAGGTTGAAATCGACCAATGAGCCACAATCTGTCTCTAATCAGCGTTTCCGGCGGCATTCCGCAAAGACGTTTCGATGAAGTCAGCCTGGCTGGCCCACTGCACCACACACCGGTTGAACCACACACCTCGTCTTCGCTCGTTTCTCTCACACACACACACACATCTATCCATCCACTCACCCACCACCCCCATCGAGCTATGGCTATGATGAAACACATCGTGAGATCGGCGAAGACGGTGGTCGGCTTCGAATACCAGAGTTGTACGTTTCGTGGGAGGTTTACTTTTGAACCAGTCGCGATACTACTCTAGGACTCTACAAACTTGTCTCTCTGCCCCCCAATTTTAGACCTTCCCGAGATCTGAGATTTCGGTATGTACCTACTCTATGTACTCCATGCATGCATGTCTTTTCCTCATGTACAACTACCTCGTGATGCGACGCTACTTGACCATTTACAATCAAATGAAGGGGGGAAAATAAAAATAAAGTAAAGCCGACGGTAGCCCCGGGGCCGCCGTTCTTGGTCACCGCGTTGCGTAAGTTTTTAATTTACCACTCCAACCTCCTGTCAAAACTCGCGTAAGAGAAACCCAAAAAAATCTCACGATACTTTCTACATAGTTCGTCGCACTTTTCTCTACGCCAGCCATCTCATCCAGACCCTCCCCGTCTTGTCCCCGGGCAAAAGGGTGCGGAAGATTCCTTTTCCGATGAGCTCGGCAGGCCGGCCCGCAGCCGCTGGGTAATTTCGGGATGTCTGATGGATGCCAAATGGGACAGTCAGCATTGAGCAAGGCTACAGCTACTATTGTAATCTATGAGGGCAAGGGTGGTCCCTATTCACAACATGTCACTCGAGTTGAATCTTGATTGATTAATACTGATTGATAGTCGACAAACGCGTCAATATTATCCGGCTGATACGCTCAAACAACAACATCAGCTCTTTGACGTCTGATCACCAATTGCAAAAAGAAGATATATAAAGCGACCGACCAAACCCCAGCGAGTAAATGGTTTTGCTCATCTTCGTTGATCCGTTGCCCCAAGTACCAAATAAGGTTGTATCCTGGTCGCTTCTGAGTGATCATCTACAGCTATCGGTAGAATTATTGCGTTGGAAAATCGCCCTGCTCTCGGCGTGATCGTCGGTCCCTGTTTCCGCAATAATTCTACCAATAGCTGTATCTCTTTGCATACCGCCGCCGCTACATAGAGTATTTCTCCTGTGCACTGTCGTCAAAATAGAAGAGAGATTGCAGCGGCACATCCAGCGGCTCAAAACAATGTGTTCTGCATATTCTGGGTTTGGCCTAATTGGCAACCGCCCGTTATCAAATCTCTTACAGAACACCCGGCACCATTCTGCTTGAAATTGATATAGCTCTATGTGTAGGGTACCTATAGTTACCCCTATTTTTTCTCATTCATTTTTCGTCTTGTCCCTCCTACCAGTGTCAATTGAGGATTGTGTAACCGCAGCGGCTGGGGCGACTACGGAATTGAATCCCTTTAAATGTTAACTGACAGCCGATTAAGTTGTTGACCTTATGATCAAGGTAGTACTCTAGGAAAAGATTCAACCACGAATTGTAGTTGCGATCATTTCTCCCTGTATCGTGAGTTTTTTCTTTCTTTTCCATGTCACATTTCTCCTGCTTTAGCGACCATAGGCGATCGATAAATAGAGTGATTAGAAAAACAAAAGGTTTGCAAGTTGAAGTGGCTAGACGTTATCCTGCAGGTGGGACCCTAGAATTGGTCTCCGCGGGGTTAAACAGTCCATCACATCGAGAAAGAAAGAAAAAAAAAAACACTTGCCATGTGAAGGCCATTATGCGAGCTTTAAGGGCGGGAGACAACGAGAAACGGCAAACGTCAGCCTGTATCATATCTACCTAAGGACAGGCAGGCTGATGTGGCTGTGAGAGAGGAGCTAAAGTATGAAATGCCAGAAAAGTTCCATCATGGCTTCTAGATTTTTGCTGCAAGCCAAACCCTTCTTTCTTGGCGACACAATAATCTGCACCAGGAAATCGCGTATAATTTTTTTTGCGTCTTTTTGCGGGAACGGGTTTGAGTGTTTAGATCTCGGCTGTGTTAGCCCGTTGTTTATCTGTTTCCCCCCTTGGTTTATTCTCAAGCGCAAGATAGAAAACGTTCGTACCGGGTTCATCCCGTCTATTCATCTCTCTTAGTATGATCACCCAGTGATTTCCTCCGTGATCTCTCTCTTTCTCATCGTTCATGCACATGGGTAGATGCCTCTAAGTGTATATGTGGATGAATGGGTTAGGGGTCCTGTGGTGAATTAATCCTCCTCGTGGAGATCAGCTGTGCCACAACAGCCCTTAAAGTGCAGATTCTGCAGGCGAAGAGAGGGGGTTGGAAACAAGGAATAAAAGGAGATCGGAAATATATGGCTTTCGTTACACAGTGTGTAATATCCATTGTCCAAGGTGCATGTCAGATTGATTTTCAATAGGGCGAAGAACGCTCTTTGTTATGCTGCCTCGACTGAATTCGATTATGGTCTTTGGATGATCATGTTGTAGATAAACCACTATCCATCCCTCATATTGAAGCCTGTAATGGTTAAGGTGGGGAAACGACACTGCACTATGTCATTGCTATTGACTCTGAAATCGGTGTCAGGTCTGTACCTACTCTAGAGTACCTATGATCTAAAGAAAGAAAGAAAAAACCGATTCCTGAGAGATCTGTGAATCGTGCACCAAGCGACATCAGTTCTTCATCTTCGTTCCCGGCACACCCCTGGGGGTGTGTGAGAATTGACTCCGTCTAATGGGTTTACGACTGAGCATGCAAGGATCGCCCCTCATATTTGGGCCTGTGCAAATGCGCCTTGAACTTTATTTCGAAAACAACTCCTCTGTTTCCCCACGTGTGTCACGGGGATTCCCATTCACAAACAAATGCCCACACCGTCCGTAGGGAGAGTGCCCCAGCTCTGAAGTTCCACACTTCACTCTAGAAACCAAGGTTTCTGATCGATTTTTACCGGAATTGGTGTGGGATGCTTTGATTAATAATCATCGTCATACAGAACTTCCCAGAATGCCGGGTCCATGGTAAACCTTTGACCTCTCAGGACTAGGAACATAGCTAGGTGTGCTTCCGTCGATTGAATTGTAGGTACATAGGTACCAGCCGCAAACGTTGGCCGCCATAAACTCACTAAGGACAAGTGTATTCTGGTCGCGAAGCACAAAGGCGCTACGAGGCTGGACCAACAGGATATGGTGGCGCTCAAGATTTTCCTCGCTCAGCCATTGGCTATGCTTGCACTCAGAGTTTCCATCCGGAGACGTTGCCGGTCAGATAATTTTTGTCTGTTCGCAGTGGTGGCTTTGGGGACAGATGAGGGATGGGATGCGTGTACTCGGGGCAGGCAAAAAGTACCGGACAATGCAAGTTTTGTCTCTGGGCTTTTTTTGCAGTAGTTCACGCCTAGCACGCGCGCCCATTGGTGAACCAAAAACCTACATTGTCCGGTACTTTTTACCTACCCCGAGTAGCTGTGGGTAGGTTGATCGTTAATCAAAATGATAGATTGAATGATCGCGATGGATGGATGGATGGATGGATGGATGGAGGTTTAAAGTTCCAAATACCTAACTGCTTGATGTAGGTACCTGTGCATGTGTGTATTGCAATCGAATACCGCATTAATTCGAATGAACGGCCGGTCACACAAGACGTCGAAGTTGCCTTTTCAAGCTAATATGAGGGATGATTAGGGGGCGTATTCAAGACAAATAACCAAATACGGGAATTTCAACGTCTTGTGTGAGCGGCCGTTCTTTCGAATTAATGCGGTAGGTATCCTTCCAGGTCTGCGTATTAGGTAGTCTGAAAGCAATGTCTAACGTGTGTGGTGATATTAGGTTGGTAATCTGCAAATGTGGAGAGTACCGCGGACTTGGGCTGGCTGCCGGAGGGCGTGAATTATGGAGGGCCTTCTGAAGGCCCGAAACACAGCAAAAGTAAGCTCGTCTCAAGGTCTGGGCGGCTGTGGGGATGGAACCTTGCGCTCCCACTGGCAAGGAGAAGACATCCATACATACGGGATCAGGAGTAGCGAGAGAGGAGTCAAAGCCGAGAAACACCATGATTCAGACGATGGCCGAATAAAAATCTAGGCCGAATACTTGTTTTAAAGCGGATCCCGGTACATATTGACACGCAGGCCTGCTTTGAGTAAAAAAATCAAGCATCAAGGGTGACTTATACCTACGACCCGTGTTTTTTTTGCGGACCTCCCTACTAGATCATTTGAGAAGTTTTTCTTCTCTTTCTCTATATTCCTTTCATACATATCTTCACCACTCCACATAGAATCAAATCTACGAACTACGGATTCCTTACACCGCCCAGCCGCTGAAGCCGCGGACCGACATCATATGAGATATCGTGGTTGCACGGAATTTTACTTCCTAGATGTCACTACAAACGTGTGCCTTACCAGGCATAGATCATGGAACCCCTCGAGATATTAGGCGCTCCAGGGAGCTGTACAAGTTGGTTCACCTTATCCCATGACGTTTTAAACGTTTGTAGTTACAAAGTAGAAAATATTAATCTGCTTGTTTATTGAAGATACTATCAACCCCCTTCACCTATACTCGAGTTGTCTTCCCGACCTGTCCAAACTTATGAGCAGGGCCTCGTAGCCTCACCAGACCCGGCCTTGATGTCATTTGCACTTCTTACAGCAAATCTCCTGTCATGCAAACGGTCTATGATTTCACTCATCGACCATGAAAGAATATATATCATCGCTGAATCTACACGCACGTTATCGGTCACCGTCCCACATACCCATGCACCAGGTGATGATCTATGGTTGGGAGGGTGCTTGTCTATACCTAGGGAAGGAGGATTGTGCGAGAGAACTGTTTCGTTGCTGGCACCTGTTGAGGTTTGCGATGACGGTATGATGATTTTTGAAGTTCCAGATCTCACCAAAGAACCAGTTTATCAGAACCAAGATTACGTCACTGGATGGCCCGATATGAAATTCTATGCTGGTGTCCCGCTCCGAACAAAGGGTGGCTTCTCTATTGGAAGTTTGTGTGTCATTGACGATAAGCCACACCCGGGTGGACTTAAAGATGACGCTAAGTTAACATTGGCAAAGATGGCGGAAACGGTTATGGGCCACCTTGAGAGAGTTCAGGCAGAGCGGGATATGAAGAGAGGAAGAAATATGGAGTTGGGAATTTCGAGGTTTTTAGCAGGGAATTTCAGAAATGAGCGCGCGGAGATGGATGATGAGGAATTTGCGGAGAGAGTTCGGTATGAGCAAAGATCGCAGGAAAAGAGGAGAATGGAGTCTGAACGGTTGAGATGGATCGATCAAATGGAGAGGCAACAGAAAAATAATATGGGGACAGATATAGTACCAGAAGGGGTCAAAACAGCAAGAATTTTATCACAAACATCAGAGAAGCTAGGGAGGAGAAAGGAATCGGATCCGTTTGCACGCGATTTTGCATCCGATTTTGACCAGGATAAGGTACCAGAGGGTGCATGGCCTGAGGGCAATCATCTAGGTTTCCCCGATGTCAAAGCATCTCAATTACCACTCTCTTTCCCAACTCCAAAATCTGAAGATTTTTCTTCTATTCTGCACCCTCCTGGCCCGCTTAATATCCCAGAGCTTTCTCGAAGTTATAGTTATTCCTCAGTAAGATCAGGAAGAAGTACAACAGGCACAAGGCCTTCAGGGGGATCGACCAGTTCGATATCTTCACTGAACGCCACCATTCCCCCTTCATCGCCATCAGATTCTTTGTTCCATGATTCGGACTCAGCCGCCCAATGTTCAGCCGCCACAACACCCACAGGGCAACTTCAGTCACAATACCCTGACATTAACAACTCTTTCCGCTCTACATTTGCTCGTGCCTCGGTATTGATCCGCAAGTCAATTGAAATTGACGGCGTTGTCTTTGTGGATGCCGACTTGGAGGACACGTATGATACCGATGATTGTACAGACCCACCAAAAAATACGCCACCGGAGCCATTATTTGAAGGTTCCGCAAAACATCGACAAAGACCGAAGAAATGCCGTCGAAGATCTGGGATCCTTGGTTATGCCACAAAGGGAGGTACCTCTTGCACAAATCCATTCGATAATGACAGCATGATCCGTCGAGGCAGCGAGTTAGAGAGAAGCCTTGGATTTGATATTGGCGAGATTGAGGAGTCTTTCTTACGCACTATGGCACATCGCTGGCCACATGGTCATATTTTCTCGTGCAATCAGTCTAGCCCACGTGAGGCTGAGACGGGTTCAGATGATGACCCTGAATATACACCAGATTGCGAAAAGTCCGCAGGAGGAAAGTATATGAAAGAAGTGGAGACATTGAAACGTTTTCTGCCAGGGGGTACTAATGTTGTCTGTATGCCTATGTATGACTTTTCTGGGAAACTTTTTTCAGTGGGATTTGCCTGGAGCTGCTCCAGAGTTAGAGTATTCAGTGATGATGTGGAGAAGAGTTTCATGGCAGCGTTCGGGAACAGTATTATGGCAGAGGTAGGGAGGCTGCATTGCGTTAGTGGTATGTTTGGAGACCGTTTTATAATCCAAATTCTGGATATTTGCTGACGAGGATAATTGATGCGTATAGCGGATAAGGCGAAGGGTGACTTTATTTCGTCGGTCTCACATGAACTTCGATCACCATTACATGGAATTCTAGCGAGTGCCGAGTTCCTAGCGGATACGGATCTTGATAGCTTCCAGAGGAGCTTTGTCGATACTATTGAGAGCTGTGGGCGTACGCTACTTGACACCATAAACCACGTTCTAGACTTTTCAAAATTAAATAGCTTTGGGAATAAATGGACTGGAACGACATCCTCAATGAAGAAGGAGAGCATAGTCCGAAGAATGAGTCGGCAACGTGGGCGGTCTGCTTCGGTATGCTATGAAAGCCCGGAGGAGCTCAGGAGCGATGACGATCAAGAACCGAAACCGAGTCAAGGTGCGGAAAGTCCATCTGCATCTGTGAGTGATGTTGTTCACTTAACTGCTGAAACGGACTTGAGCGCTATCTTGGAAGAGGTGACGGAAGGTGTATTTGCGGGCTATGAATTTAGGGGAATAAGCACGCCAGGGATAATGGAGGTTGTAGGGACTTCAAAAACCGAAGGAAATGGAAGACCAGTCGGGGCGAAAAATGACATTACGGTTATCATCGATGTTGATAGACGTGATGATGGGTGGGTGTTTGAAACGCAACCAGGCGCATTGCGAAGAATCTTTTTGAACTTAGGAGGAAATGCGATCAAATATACGGATTCTGGTTGGGTCCGAATCAAGATGAGGGCGGAGGACTTGCCAAGCAAAGGTGATGAAGATAAGAAATCTCTTGTTACGTTGACTTTTACGGACTCCGGAAAGGGTATAAGCAGAGAATTTTTGAAGACACGGTTATTCACACCTTTCAGTCAAGAGAACCCACTTGTTAGCGGGACAGGGCTGGGTATGAGCATTGTCAGGCAGATTGTCGAAATGCTAGGCGGCGATATTGGTGTGAAGAGCCAGCCTGGCAAGGGAACGGAGGTGACAGTCAGCCTGGTGCTGAAGAGGGTCTTAAAGAAGAGGCCTGACCGGTCTCTTAACCAAGAGACGGACGGACAAGATGCTATGATCGAAAAAATTAGAGAGAGGACCAAAGGAAAGAGAGTTTCTTTTCTCGGTTTCGATTCTACGCCCCAAGAATCTGAAGCTCAAATACGAGCGACTGCGTTTCTTAGAAGTTCACTTGAAAGCTATGTTACTAAATGGTTCGGGATGGATATCGTTCTAAACTCTTTATCTTATTCTACTAGTGATAAGGTGGACTTTGTCATTACGAACGAAGGGGCTATGGTTAATGCACACCTGGCGCTTCCCGAGGAAACAGGGAAAAACATGCCTGGGAAGGCTGGAGGGATACCATTGATTGTTATCTGCTCGAACGCGGCACGACACGGCGTCTACCAGCCTTTGAATACCGCTGAGAATAAAGGAATTTCTGGTTTTGTGTCAAAGCCATGCGGGCCCATGAAACTCGCGAAAGCCCTAGCGTCTTGTCTAGATCAGATGGAGGCGGCATTGAGATCCCAAGCAGCAGTATCTACCTCCACCAAAACAGATATATTGGTCTCTCAATCACAATTGAATAAAGCTATCTATTGTACAGAGGTTAAGGCTTTGCTGAAAAACAGAAATTCTCCTCCTCCTCGTCCTAAGAGGAGTTCTACCGAGGTTAACCTCTCATCAAAGAGCTTTAATTGTCTGTCCACAGAAATTCCGGTTTCAGTAACACCAAGCACACCAGTTGAAAAGGATAACAGTCCAATCTCACGATGGAAACAAGAAGTTGGGCGGATAACTTCTCTCAACTTGAATGATGAAAATGGGAGCAAGAAACTTCCTAGAACTCTCATCGTGGAGGATAATCCAGTCAACTTGATGCTTTTGGCAACGTTCTTAAAGAAGAAGGGCTATCCATTCGAAAAAGCCATGAATGGACTCGAGGCTTATCAAGCCGTCGAGAAAAATCCCGAAGGTTTCGATATCATCCTCATGGGTATGCTTCTCTCCACATTGTCTACCCTTTACGAATACTAATGATGAATAGACCTGCAAATGCCAGTCATGTCGGGTATCGAATCTACCAGAGCTATACGGACATTGGAACGGCAACGACGACGGAAGGGAAGTTTGATCATCGCACTCACTGGGTTAGCGACTGCAAATGATCAACTCGAAGCCTTTGAAGGGGGGATAGATTTGTTTATGGTGAAGCCAGTTTCATTCAAACATTTAGAAAAGACATTACAAGAGCTCAAGCTAGAGGATCAAGACTAGAGGTTGATGTGGAGTTAGGGCGATGATGTTTTATTTGCTTTTGGGAATTCCTTTTACTCCACTTCTTTATTTGGTAACTTTTATTCTATGTTTTTGGGCGTTCATACGGTGGTCTCTATATTTCGTGCATTTATTTTGCTTGTATTTTATTATGTTCTGGAATTGGGCTGGTGCTCGGGAGTTTATTGCAATACATAATGTGTGGTTACAATAGGTTGTTAGTCAGGTGCTATCTTCTGTATACGATGTATAGTACGATAGCTGGTCCATCGTTACATCTAGAACCATAAAAAACAGAAGTTTGCCATCAAGACAAGCTCCCCAATGCCGCATAATGAATTCCCTGCATGACGAGGGCGCAGGTGGCTACCCTACGTCTTTGGTTCTCTTCCGTTGTCTTGTATGGGCATTTGGTACTGTTGCAAGGGATCAAGATTTGTCATATAGATGTATGTACAAGGCTCTGGGATTAAGTGAGTGAACGGATCCTCACCAGTTAACACCCCATTTAGTTCACTCACTTAATGCCAGAGCCTTGTACTTTCTGTGAGGATTATCAGGGCACACCCTCTATTAGGTAGGCCCTCCCCGGCTGGTGGTTCACGCCTCATCACTCGGTGGGCTAATTTCCCCTCATCACAGCCTGACCAGTAGTATGCAGGTACGGTTCATATATCACGCGCTAGTATGCCTGCGTGCTCTGGGGGCGGGGGGCGCCGAAGATGGGAGCGCCGAAAAGTTTTATATCAGTACCAATCATAAGAAGTGCATTACTGTTGAATTCGTGGGCAAATGGTACCCATTCGGTATTCTTCCATCTTCGGTAAACCCCCATATATACGGGTCCACCCAGAGATTTTGCTGCGCAGCGTACTTAACCGGTCAACTGGAATGGGCAAAAAGAGCGCTCATGGCGTATCGGTGGGTGAGACCTTCAGCTGTCGACATGTCTGTCGTGTTTCTACAGGGCCGGGGGGGAGTCATCAGGCCTGGCACGTGGTATGTATGGAAGAAACATGACTGGAGAGCGAAAATTGCAGGCCTATGTTTGCACAGGACATGGATGGTAGAGGTAGAGCATGTATATATATATGGCGTATGCTGTTAGCTACAATTAATGTAGCTTGAGACGCCTCGATGTTGTTGCCAAGGCCAGTGTTACAAAACCTTGGTTTGGTGCTAACCAGCTTTTTTTTTTGCTTAAAGGTGACTAAGCACCGGCCCAACAGCATTCTACTCCGTATACGTATGGGTGCGACTTTTGTTGGTTAGTCGGTAGTTCATATTTCGTGTATGATGAATGCGGACTTCATTATTACATGTAGCTACATACTAATACCTTTATGTCTTCCTGTAAATGCTTTTATTTATGGAGAAGGATTGTAGTCTAGAGATAAATAAGGTGTATCATAGTTCATGATCAGCGAAAATCCTTAAGACTCCGCGTTATTAGATACATGTATTTAAACATGCACATATTTATACTACGTACCAGAACTATTTTGAGAATAGCCAAGGGAGTTTGGGGAAAACACCGCTTCACTGGGAGCAACCCTAACTAAAGATCGATCAGGATATATGGACATATGTACATATATTATCAACCGTAGCACAAATCCGCCCTTGCGCCATAGCGATTCTTGAACCTCGAACCCAAGCGCTATATACCACGTATATACAAAATTTTAAATCTTCTCTGGTCTCGATCGCCCCCCTCCCCTGTCGTCATCAGAACTAACTCCAATCTCAAATACGTCACCCCATTGCGTTCCTCGATAACACTGTTGACGCCCGGCCTGGGGGGCCCAACATACGACCTACGGTAATATTCTACCTCGCCGTTCGTCTCCCACCACCATGGTTCTACATATATGCCATGGAGCGATAAAGTATATACCAACTGCATCCGACACTCTCCATGTCTCTACCCGTTATCACTGATAAGAGAACCACGCCACCTATGTTCCCTAGCGATACAGTCTCGGCTATCAGCAAGAAGGAAAAAAAAAAAACCTTCAATTATAATCACCAGTGCAGTCACATAACCCTCATTCACCAAACCCGTCAGTTGCCAAGCCGAGTGATAACCCATGATGAACACAAGACAAGACACGTATGAGTGAGATGTCACGAACAAAGAATTAAAACACCGTTATCGGGGTCGGCTCGTACCGCTGTTAATATGAGGGGGATAGCGTCCGTTTGGGTGTCTCGGGGCAGAAAATCTCCGAGAAGGGGGGGTGGTGAACCCCCGTCGCCGACAGTAGTTGTAGTAGTGGTGTGGTGACGATACACAATGACTGGCTGGTAGGTTGAGGTCAGGTCAGCTCAGCAAAGCGAGAAATAAAACAGAGGGTGCTGTTCTAACCACACAACCACATAGCAGCATAACTTGTGTCTGAGCTTTGGAACGAAACAAAATTCGGAAGGAGTTTAGGCTGAATTAATCGCAACACCCTTTTCAAAGTTTCTGGGAAAAAAACTCCTTCGGGTTTAACCTTGTATGTACTCATTGCTTCTCGAGGCCACGCCGGGGCTTTGCTTTACTTTGCTTCGGCTGATATTAATTTGTAACCCCGCAATTTAACGATTTTGCACGCGCGGGGAAATATAGGTTATCTATTCATGCCGACCTCCAGTGCGGGGGAAATAGCGAGGGGAATTTGGGGGAATGTATGGAGCTTTAAATTTGTACCAATCCGTGGCATCAGGTCATAGTTCCGTAATTGATACTGAACTGCGCTTTGAATACTCATACGGACAAATTGTCATTGATACTTGGACACTACATACGTACAGTACAAACAAAAGACTGCACCGGCCGAAGGGTTGTTTCATCCGCTCTAGTGTCCCGTGAGAGATATAAATACGTACCCAAAATGGTTCTCGCAAAACCCGAAAACACAAACGTCCGCAATCAATTCGACCTCACCGGGAAGGTGGCAGCCGTGACAGGCGGTACTAGAGGAATAGGGATTGAAGCCGCCCGCGGCCTCGCTGAAGCCGGAGCATCCGTAAGTCCCAATACCTATCCATTATCACTCTCACTACCAACCCCCCCTTCACCCAGGGCCACTACCCAGTTGCAATTGTACCACCCACTCACCACCCACAGGTTGCAATAATTTACACCTCTTCTAAAGATGCCGAGAGTATTGCATCCCAGATGTCACAAGAGACCGGCGTCAAAGTAGTTGCCTACCAGTCCGACGTGCGCGACCACGCATCAATCGCTGCTACCATCAACAAGATCGCAGCAGACTTTGGGCGTATCGACATCATGGTTGCAAATGCTGGCATCACAACGCATGTTGCAGCGATTGACCAGACGCCAGAGTCCTTCTCGGAGGTCATGAAGGTCAACCTTGACGGTGCTTTCTATACGGCACAGGCGGCAGCAAAGATATTTCAGAAGCAGGGAAGTGGAAATGTCATATTTACGGCGTCAGTCAGTGCGCTACTAGTCAATGTTCCGCAGAAACAGGCGGCGGTATGTAGTAGTGTTTTTCTTCTTCTTCGCTATGTATTTTACTCTGCATGCATGCTTAGCAGAGTAGAGTACCACTGGCACGACACGAGGCTAAACTATAATCTTGAAAATCAGTATAACGCGAGTAAAGCGGGTTTGGTGCAGATGGCAAAATGCCTTGCGGTTGAGTGGGTTGATTTTGCAAGAGTCAACTGTGTTTCTCCTGGTTTCATCGCAACCGATAGTAAGTTCTTCGTCTGCTGTGAAACGGATTGCGGGGTACATAACGGATAGACACTATGATACTAACAGAGGACAAGTGATTGCGGAACTTCCTGAGGACTGGAAGAAGTTGTGGCATACTATGGTTCCGGCCCAAAGATTCTGTGATCCCTATGAGTTGAAAGGGGTGTGTAGAACTTTAACCTCCTCCTTCACCGCTACTAACCTGGGTTGCGGGAGAGTTGAGCTGACTTAACTTTTAAACTATCAGGTGTACGTATTCCTTGCTAGTGATGCCTCGAGTTATATGACGGGTACGTGGGCCCGATCTCTTTTGAATTCCCCCCTGAAGATTGCTTTGTGGACCTGGGTTTGCTCAATTGTTGATTTTAGGCGCAAACCTGGTTGTGGACGGTGCGTACACCCTACCGTAAAGATAGGTGCTACCAAATCCTACTATTATTACGGTTACCACAACAGGCCGTCGCACTTCTGGCCGAGAGAAAAAAAATGTCTTAGAACACAGAGACTTGAAACCTGTAATTGGTTAGAGGAAATCTTGCTACTATTCAGCCATCCAGCCAGTCTCCTTATTGTGCGCAACTACGAATATCATCTTTTTTAGGGAGGCAGATCATCTCGCCCTTGTGCATTTGTAGTGGAAATAAGACCGTCCAAAAAAAAAAAAAAAAAAAAAAAAAACACCAACTGGTATCCATATTCCAATATGCCGAAAAGAAAAGGCTCATGAGAGGGAGTCCAGCCAACACAACACATGTTAGTCTATAACACCGTACATGTATGTAGTTATTGATAACAAATAGCACAATAGCACTCCTAATATATACATACATGCCCGCCGGTACGAAGTTACGCCGTGGGAAGGCCAAATGGCTTTTTAAGATCAATTTTTTTTGTTTAAGCCACCAGTCGGAGATCTACGACGTCACAGTCAAAAGATTTGCCCCACTGCATACCGCATGGCATCTTTAAACTCGCGACATAGCTAGTTAGCGTCGGACATTTGCCTCCCAATGTGTAGCTTAATCCAAAAAAACCTTGCCCCCTGCAATCTTCGGGCATAAGCGAGCCCTTCTTTGAACCCTATTTGCTGAGAGAAGGGGGGGGGGGGGGGGAAAGACAAGGCTTGGATTTAGACTTTGTCGAGGGTACGGGGGTGGACGCCATTTGTAGATGATTCCCGGGGCCGTGAACGTATGTCGGTACGTACGGCGTGGCCGATGATGGTGGATATAGAATGCCTAATGGTTAGCTATTCTTGCTTGCCCATTTTTATGCCTGACAGGACAAGCTGCCAACAAAGCAAAGCAGAACAGGCGGGCAAAGCAAAGAAAGTAAAAATCTCTTCGCACCTCGCACCGAGGTATAAGAATAAGATCAGAGTGTCAATCCCAGCCGGCCTGACCGACGATCGAGTCGGAGCGACTTGTGTGCTTGTGAGCCTGTGAGCTTATGAGACGAGGAGGTTCGAACGTTCGTTTGTTGGTGATGACGATACCAGATATAATAATCATTGCCGTTATTATAATTAACGTTTCTGAGACAACCCCCCCCCCCCCCCACAGCGAGGGTCTGGACAAATTAATGATACTGGTTATCTTATCCTGGTCTCTCTATCAAGTTCTGGATTTTCTAATCTATCTGCCGGTAGATCCAATCCCAGTTAAGGTGACCATGAACGGGTAGAAAGTGTTGAAACTCGAATCTGGACTCGTTTCCTTTCCTGTTCTTTCTTTCTAGCCAAACGCCAAAAATATGTAGATGAGATCGAGAACAGGACAGGGCAAGCTTTGGCATAGAGTACGTACACTACATGTACCTATGCTGCGTTTGTACGGTATGCCTCTTTTCGAATAGACAAGGTTTATATTTAGTGTGAGAGAGCGTGCCAGGGTAGAGCGATTATTCCTAATTGCAATTCTAATGGAAATAGCAAGTTGTATGCCGGCCCGGTCCCAAAAGAAATTGCCATAATTACTTAAACAATTGGTAATTATAAGAAGGCGGAGGAATTAAGTTAAGTTGTGCGGGGAGTCTAGAGTAAATGATGTCGTTAATATTATTAGACAAGATATGACTGACAATCACAAGCCAAGTTTATCGTAATACTCAGGTCTCGTACCTATTGGTGTGCGTATCTCTCTTGGGGGTGGATTAGGTCAAACATGTACATGCATGCCATGAGTAGGCACGTACATTTACCGAGGTATGAAGATCATGGCTAGCTACATGTACCCGCTGTTAGAGTACGTACGAACGAACGGTGAAGCAGCACTAGCAGCAGTAGCAGCGTGGTTGTTGTTGTTCCAGGAGGCCAGTGAGGGTTGTTTGTTGATCTGTTGTTGTGGCTGGATTGGGGAGTTGATTTGACTACCGATTGAATGGGGGGATAGGCTAGGACAACAACCAGGTCCGTGTGGCTTCTGCTTGCTTGCTCCACTAAAAGCTCCTTACTCCTCTCCACAGGCTACATCCAGGCACCAGCAGACAAATAGACAATGTGGACATGGCCGAGATGAAGGACGTGCGGGAACCGAAGCTTAGAAGAACAGTTACGTTTCACTTCAGGAAAGGAAATAGGCAACAGCAAACAAAAACAACTACATACCTACATTAGTACTCAATGCTGTACTTAATAATGCAATCCTGGGTTCTGTTTAACTGTCACTTCTACATACGTACATGAGGAAGAAACGGCATAAGCTTTTTCTAATGAGAAACTCCTGCCATTCACCCCCTGAAGACGGTTTATGTATGCTAACTTAAGGCCGGATGGAGAGGTGTAAGTGGCGAGTTATGTGACCGGGGAGTGGTATGTCTCGGGAGGTATTCCCAATCCAGCGCGGGACCCCTCGGCGTTCAACCTCAAACCATCCACAGACACCGAAGTCCCAAAGATCGAGGCACCGAGCTGATCGGCGGAGTTGTCCAAAACCATGTGTGAAGGGAAGCACGGAAGTATCAGGAAGGAGAGTGGAAGGGGGTGGGAGGACGCGAACCATCCACCAAGGCTCTCACTTAACTAGCTGCTGCGCTTTATCATACTTTATACAGCTTGTGTCCTTCGTGACTTTCAATTCTTGGATTCCTTGGTACTGTCTTTTCATTCCTGGTGATCCGACCGTTACTCGAGATCTTTTTTACCATCCTATCTCCCGGTCGCTTTTTTACTTTAATCTTCGTGCTCTCGCTCTTGCACGCTCGAGATTGTCTTTGCTTTGAACTCAAGTGCAAGTACCACTTGGTTCCATTTCACTCCACGCAAAACAACAGCCCAGCATGGACAGCGAGAATAGTTCATCATCAACGAAGTCTCCTTCAGAGCACAGTGAACCTCACAGCGAGAATATTGCGGCACAGAAGCTTGAGAAAACTCCTGCTGCAGGCCCATTGGACTGGGACGGCCCTAATGACCCTGACAACCCGTGGAACTGGTCCTCAGGGAAAAGGTGGTTTGGAACAATTGTGCCTGGGTGCTTCTGTATGCTCGTGTATGTTCCTTCTTGCTTGCTCTCTCGTAGAAAAAAAAAAAGATGTTGAATTTTTGTTAACATTGAATTTTGCAAAATGTTAGAACATTTGCGTCATCAGTTTATGTTCCTGGCGTTTATGAGGTTGCTGCCAAGTTCAATGTTTCAATTACCGTGGCTCTATTGGGGATCTCGATGTATGTGGTGGGACTTGGATTAGGGTAGGTTTTTTCTCCTTCGCTTCAGTTTTACCGAGGACTCAAGCACTAATATGGGGGAAAATGCAGGCCAATGTTCAGTGCGCCGTTATCAGAGGTGAGCAGAAACAGCGCTAGTGACCGTTTTCGGGATCAAAAAAACTGATTCGGTGTACAGGTTTTTGGGCGAAAGATGGTCTACTTTGTAAACCTGCCATTCTTCTTGCTCTTCACGATGGGCGCGGGTCTGGCTCAAAATATTGAGACACTGGTCATCTGCAGGATGTTTTCTGGGATTTTCGGAGGACCTGCACTCGCTGTTTCGGCCGGATCATTTGTGGACGTATGGGAGTTGAAGAGCTCGGGGTTGGCAGTTTCTGTCCAGGCGATTGCAACCTTCATGGGGCCTGCGTTGGGTAAGTTTGCACCCACACCCGTCACTACTCGGCCTTGGCGAGACATGCAGGTGTTCAGGCTGGAGACTAACGATATGAAAATCCAGGCCCGATTGTTGGTGGATACCTCGCGCAGGACCAGAGCTGGAGATGGACCATGTGGATTATCCTCATCTTGGGAGGCGCGATGATGGTTCCTCTCTACTTCATGGAAGAGTCCTATAAGACCGTGATTCTCAAGCGCCGTGCCATTGCCCGCGGTCAAGAGCTTCCGCCTAAGCCAGACCCAAAAACAGCGTTGAAGATGATTTTTACAATCACCCTTGCAAGACCGTCTGTAATGTTGTTCACCGAGCCCATCGTTCAGGCTGTAGCGCTATACTCGTCGTTCGCATTTGCTGTGTTGTTTGGTTTTTTCGAGGCGTACCCGTATGCATTCCAGCGCGAGTATGGGTTCACGTTGGGACAAACGGGGTTGTGTTTCTTGGGTATTGCTGCAGGGTTAATTCTGGGGTGTGGGATTTACCTGCTCCAAGATAGACTAGTCTATGTTCCGGCCCTAAAAAAGCACAATGGTAACCCGCCTCCGGAGATTCGGTTAGTGCCCGCCATGATTGGAAGCTGTCTGATGCCTATCGGACTTTTCTGGTTTGCGTGGACTGCAAAGAAGGATATCCACTGGATTTCGCCTGTTATTGCTGGCGCGCCGTTTGGTGCGGGTCTTGTTCTCATCTTTGTGCGTTCCCTACTAAATCTATGTTTCGTCCGATGTTTAGCTGCATGTACTAATATGGTGAATAGCTTACGGCGGTTATGTACATCCTAGAAGTATACCCACCACTAGTGGCTGCGTCTGCAATTGCAGCGTTGGGTCTCCTCCGTTATATCCTTGCCATGGCTTTCCCGTTGTTTACACCTCGAAGTAATTATTCTCCCCCAGCTATATTATATGATATCCGTAGCTAACGTTCATCCACAGTGTACGAAAACCTTGGTATCGCTTGGGGAACATCAATCTTCGGCTTCATTTCCCTTGCCATGATGCCAATCCCATGGGTCTTTCAGAGATGGGGCCCCTCTATTAGGGCTATGTCCAAATTCGAAGCGGTCAGAGACTAAGTTCCGTTAAGCTTGCATACGTGTGTTTATGTATGTGTGTGATGTTTACGATCTAAGGACATGTGAGAGAAAATAAGGAGGCCTCAAGATTTCCTTAGGTCGTTCTAACTTGAATGGCCTCCCCGGAGTTGATATTTGTTTATAGTATATTCGTGGTGTCCCTTTTTTTCCCCGGTCACCGGTTTCATTTTTCTGTGGGCTTGTTTAGCATTGGATTTTTCCCCCTCATTTTTACTTCGAAAAGAAAAGAACTTGTATATTTATATTTTTCATTACGTTATGTTGATGTACTGGGATTTCTGTTTTTGTCTGCATGGGTGTACGGATGCTTATCTCGCTGTCATTATCCTAAATAATTATGTTTCTAGTTAGAAAAAGTCACACGCACACCATGCAATCATGCTTGATATGGTGATATGCCTGAGGTTCCCGAAGTGATTAACAAAAAGACTTTCAGACGGCCAAAGTCCATTGGAATTATAGAGATCCTGGATACCGGGTGCTACCAGGATATCAAAAACCGGCACAGTAGTGATTACTATGCTATATTTCTCGCTTATACCCGAGTGGTGGTGGGTGATAATCAACGCCTCTTGCCTTTCCTGGTCGTAGCCGCCACTAGCGCTTACTTACTCACACAGTTCTGAATGTTGATATTGGCGGCCTGAAATTAAAGTGCTAAGAAAACATTATCTATTCGAAAACTTTCTCATTCATTAGCTAGTTTATAATGCCAGGCAGTACTAATAGAAGGAGCGCTGTTTCTGGAGGGCATCGTTATCGATACAGGGCACTTCCTGAGTTCGAAAAAGATATGGCTGATAATAACGACTTCAAATCGCATACCGTTGATGAAGATATTGATGCTATTTCTACTCATGCCTCACGACAGAGGAAAGATAGTGGATTGTGGTCTAGGCAGCGGTTAGTTAATTTTGCCTCCCGATACTAGGGGGGGGAGATAACTGACAAGGAGTGAATACACACCAGCTACCCCGGCGCCCTCCTTTTCAATATCTTCACATTCATTCTCCCTGCACTCTACAACACACTCTCGAAGCTATGGATCGCGGGCATCGACAACAAGATGGTTGTTACGACGGACACCTACACCTACATCAGCGTCGTGACCGAAGTAATCAACGAAGGTCTTCCCCGCGCCTCATTTGTTATTATAGGCGACCGTTCTTCCCGTAGTATCGCATCCCGCATCAGTTTATCGAATACACTGATTATAGCACAAGCATGCCTAGGTGGGATCATGTCTGTTGTGATAGCCGCTGCTGCAAAGAGCTTTGCGGGGACGTTTGTCCCTATTGAGGTGAGGGAGGAAAGCGTGACGTACGTGCGTATATCTGCATTTTCTTCACTGTTTGGGGCCGTGGAGGTGGCGGTTGGTGCGGCTACGAGGGCCTTGGATAGGTAAGCTATATGAGAAGCCTCTATAGGATGAAAAATTAGCTGATGCTTGGTGGGAAGACCAGATGTACCGCTCCTTATAAGCTCCGTGAAGACTGCTCTGAATATTATATTGGATGTTCTCTTAATATCCAAGTTCCGGGTTGGTCATCTGGATGTTGACGTCAACACCCAAGCCATAATCCATCTCTCGTGCGATGCCGCCGGTGCACTGGCAGGCGTGTTGTTCTTCGCATATCTATCAAACATTCTGTCCTCGAGTCGCCCGTCGGGGGAAGAGGTAGAGAGTAGGAGACCAAGTAGAGTGGCGCTTTGGACACTAGTGAGACAGGGAAGGTACACGTTTATTGAATCTGCTATTCGGAATGTATTGTATCTTTGGTTGGTCTCTGGAATTGTTAAGATGGGGTCTGATTATACCACGGTATGGATACTTCAAATACGATGTTTCAAGTTAAGATGATAGCTGACGTGTAATACAAAGGCATGGGGTGTCTTCAACACCATCCGTTGGGGCCTCATCATGGTTCCTGTACAAGCGCTTGAAGCAACAGCTTTAACCTTTGTTGGGCATGCCTGGGGTTTCTGGCGCTTCCGAGTCGGAATCGACAATCGAACGCCTAAAGCGTCCTGGAGGGATCTCCTTAGTGAGCTCCATCCCTATTCACCTGTTATAGTCATAAACTAATGGATCATAAGTGATCACTCGACCAGCCCTAACATCCACAGTGATCGGCCTAGCAGTGGAGATCCCAATTTGTATAACATTTTCGGTCTGGGGTGCTCGGCCATTTGCCTACTGGCTCTCTGAGTCGGATTCCGTGGCAGATATCACTGCATATATGTGGAAGGTGATCATGAGTCTTCCCTGTCACATTCCCTTCTAGTTCTGTCGCTCATAAAAATGACAGACAATCGACTGGTGCTACATCTTCTACGCCATCTCTACCCAACTAGCCGCAATCCTCGTTGCTACAAGACCCAGATGGTATCTCGCCCAGTCCCTCTGCTCAAATATATTTTGGGTCCTGCCATGGGCAATTGCAGTGACTAGGATAAAGAATTTCAACAAGGACACGGCATGGAAGTGGCATAGTATTGTCTTTGGCGGGAGTTTGGTCGTTAGTTTTGTGATTATAGTGGTTGTTTTGGCGGCGTGGAGTTATAGACTTACTAGAGGGTTGAGTAGGTTGTCGAGGCTTTCTTCTACAACATTTTATCATTAGGATACCCAAAATATAACTCCGTGCTCTATCTCGGGGGCTTGAAAGCCAAAAGACAGAAAAGATATGTCAAGATTCGTTATAGCTCATGTAGTACTTATTCCCGTTCTTCAATACACAAAACAATAAGGAAGGGTCGCAAAAGATAGTAAGAGTGCAACAAAAAGAACGGGAAGCCGGAATTTATTCCTAGCCAGAACATTATATCAACTGACCAAGCACATATTTTCTTGTTTCTGTTTTTATTTTGAAAACTACTCCCAGTTCTATTTGCGCTTCATGTTAATTATAATAAACGAATCATGATCAATCAATTAATCATTTCGATTGTTAGTTTTCTTTCTTTTTTTTTTTTTAGAAAGATACAGGTCTAGGATATCGCTTAAATATAGGTGTTCATTTCAGGTTATCACCGTATTTTAGAGTATGTACTATATCGAGGCCGCTCCGCACTTTGTGTTCTTCTCTTGTAGAAGCGGTCAAGTTATAGTGACATGAAGACGTAGGTGGCTCCAAAATTCTGCAAGTGACTACACTGTGGTCTACATATATACGGCCTGGTATCATATATACATCGAGCATGGGGCGGTTCTTGAGCCACTGTAGAAAGGACATCTGAAAAGAGAGAATTAATTCTGCGCACATGTCCTGTACTTACGTACGTATATAACTTATATATACTTTATGGTTTGCATACACGAATGTACTTTATGGTTTGGGAGTTTGCCAAGAACGAGTGATATATTATGACCTCCCTATATAACCTCAACACGTACTTACATGTATGTGTGGGCACGCAGTTCGCCAAAATTAAAATGCCTACAATATTTTCACTCACTTCAATAGCTATTTGACTATGTACCTTTTACTTAAACGGGCGTAACTTTAATTCTGGCGCTATGAACACCTACTAAGGTGTAACTACATGTAGCATACAATTTCTTGATGTTACGACTGGTTTAGCATCAAATCTAGACGTTACAATAGCTAGGTATGCCAGTCGAGGAAAATGAGTGGAAAGTGGTCGTTTCCGTTCGGCTCGGGCTAAAGATAGCGAACTGTGCGCCCGCTATCCCTGTCCTGCATCCGCGTACACGCATGCGTAACGCAAGACCCCACGGGGAATGATAAACATCTACACATGCGTGTGAGTAGCAAGTGGGGTAAAACATGGAGATAGAGTAAATGGGGTTCTAGGCGCTAGGCATCTGACAGATGTTCCCATACCCTAGTCTGATGCCCAGTCCTGTGTGGAACTTGTGTCTCCACGAAGTGCGACAAGACAGGCAGGGAGCGAGACTACACATACCCCACAATACATGTATATATACTGCAGGGCCGAGGATAAGTTTGCTATGTACACAAGAGTTAGCTCTTTTACTGCAATTAATTTTCATTGTCAAACAAACTACCCAGAATGGCGCAAACGAGTACATCCTCTCTCGCATACACTCTCAATGCCGATTCCTTCGAATTCTTGGGATCTACAACTCCTCTCAAACCTACAGAGAGCTTTATCCTCCCGCATTATGACTTCCTATCGTTCCTTGGTGTAGCACAGCAATCTGGGGTCAACTTTCTTCCTACCACCTGGGCCCCAGGGCTTGATGGACTGGGTATCGATGGACTTGAACAGATTGATCTAAACCCAAGTCGCAGGTTTTCTTTTAAGCGGTTTACACCAGATAGTAAAGAAGCGCGGACTCTGGGACTCGAAGATGTTCATAGTTTCTCATGGAAGGCGCTTATTGCTGAGATTTTGGTACTACAACATCCTAGAGTCCGGGAATGTCGGAGTATAATTGATTTATATGGAATTAGTTGGGATGTTCAGGTCAATAGAAGTGGAATACTTGTGAAAGCTTTGCCTGTGCTGGTATTCGAGAAGCCGGTGCATGGTAGCTTGGATAAGTTCTTGAGATCAAGGTCTTACCAGGCGCTGAACTTTGAGAAAAGGCTGTCGTTGTGTAGAGATATAGGAAGGGCTATTGAGCTAATGCATTCTTTCAGTATGTCATAGATTGTCCTATTAGTATAATTAGACTAGTACTAACCACCTTCCATGTAGGCATTCCACACGGAGAGATAAAGCCAGAAAAGGTCCTCGTTTTTGAAGACGGCAATGGTGGATTCATTGCAAAGATCATCGACTTTGGATACGCTTGCTTAGGTTGTGCCGACGAAGAACCTGTACGCCTACCCTTGACACCTGAGTGGAGTTCACCCGAATGTACATCAGTAGAGCCCACCGTGGGCCGAGCTAAGAAGGCCGATATATATTCTTACGGGAAACTTTGTGGGTGGATCCTTTTCGGAGACCGAGGATCAACATATTCTCCAGCATCGCTTCTTCCTCTGTCTTCCAGGGAGGACGAGGGTCAGAATTTCGTTGTTAAGGACCATGAGTTGGCTCGCGCGAGATTAGCCAGCTTTTTTGGAGCCTGTTTAGAAACGAATCCGGATGCGAGAGCCAGCGACATGGGCATGTTAGTTGGGCTAGTTTCTCAGGCTCTTGAAGGGGATGTCCAGTAAGTTAAATGAGACATCATTCGTTATCAGACTTAAGCTTGAGTACAAACTAATAACCAATCATAGAAGGGAGGCGATTTCTGATGAGTTGATTAAGTTCGAAGGTTTGAAAAGTATCCCAAATGTAAGACCCCCAAGCAAGATATAACCCATCACCAGCTACTAACTGCGAACACATTCAGCTTGCACTCAATTTTGAAGCACTCCAACATGTCCACTGCTTCGTCCGCGTCCAAATCGTCAAGGCGCTCACAGATAGGGCTGCCACCTGCAAAGATTCTGCCTTCCAACTTGCACTCTGCCACGAATTCGCTTTCGGTACCCCACGAGATGCGAGCCTTGTCGTTGAATACCTCCAGAAATGCGGGAGATCGGCTGAAGAGCTTTCGGCGGCGGCAGAGAACATCGTTACACATGGCAAACTCGATCAAGATATCAAAATCACATTCATGCAGCAGATAGATCAATTGATCGATGAATATATCCAAACTGGTATTCTTTCAACAGTACTAGATATCTACAAGTACGAAGTGGCCGGAAAGACGGATGAAAGGGTGACCCAGTCATCTTTAATACTGCAGAACTTTCTGGCCGCTCTACTTTTCGATCAGGGTCTGATAGAGGAAGCGATAAAGATGCAGAGGAGTGTATTGGATACAACCACAGAAAGTCTAGGCGAGGGGAGCCCTGGTGCAGTCATTGCTATGCAGAATTTCGTACATCTCCTCAAGCGACAAGGACTTGTTGAACAATTGGAACTTGATATCCAGAGGAAGGTGTTAGAGCAGACAGAGAAAGCTTTGGGCTTGTCGCACCTGGCTACACTTGCTGCTGCATGGAATCTTGCTACCATGCTTCAGGATAGAGATGAAGCGGAGGAATCGGTATCAGCTGTACTAGAAATGACAGAAAGGATGAAGAGAACACTGGGGGAGTCTAATTTCCAGACTCTTCTTGCCATGGAACTTCTTTCGGCCATATTTCGGGGGCAGAATAGAGCGGAAGAAGCACTAAAGACCAGTCAAAGTGTCCTGCATCTTATGATTAAAGAACTCGGCGGAAAGCATCCAGAAACTATTACATCCATGAGCTACAAGGCACTATCACTTTATCAGCTAGGATCAATCGAAGAGTCAGTAAAACTCCAAAGACAAGTATTCGAGTTGCGTCAAAGTATTTTAGGCGAAGAAAACCCAGACACTATCCGAGCCATCACCAGCGTTGCAACTACCCTCAAGTCTCAAGGTCAGCTAGACCAAGCAGTAAAGCTGGAAGAGCAAGCTATGGCGTCGATAACGAAAATCCTAGGGGAATATCATCCCAAGGCTATATTGGCCATGAATTGCCTTGCTGGGACCTACCGTGATCTAGGCCTAATGGATGGTACAATCAAGATTCAGAGACGTGTTTTGGAACTACAAACCAAAGTCCTTGGGAGTGATCATCCAGGCACTATAGCAGCCATGGAGACCCTCATTGAAGTACTTGTGAGCCAGAACGAGTTCAAACAAGCTTCAGAGCTTCAGAGGCAGCTATTAGATATTAAAATCAGAATACTGGGCGAGGAACATCCAAGCACTATTGCTGCCCTGAATAACGTTGGGTTTATGCTCACTCGTCAGGATCGGGTTGACGAGGCGATCAAAATACAAAGACGAGTGTTGGAGTTGACAGAGAAGGTACTGGGCAATGAGCATCCAGATAATATTCCGGTAATGATGAACATGGTTCAGACACTCGTAGACAACGGCCAAATGGACGAAGCCGTAGACACCCAGAAGAAAGTGGCCGCACTGAGAGAGAAAATCTCAGGAAAAGAACACCCCGATACCCTCAGGCAGATGAACGACCTTGCGTATATGCTCGCTATTCATGGTCAAACGGATCAGGCTGTAATCACCCAGAAGCAGATTCTCGAGACATCGAAGAGTCTTTTCGGCGAAAAACATCCAAATACCCTTAGCGCTATGGCCAACACTGCGTCAATCCTGCGTAAAAAGGGGGATGCAGACGAAGCGTTAGCATTGCAGATGAAGATATTAGAGATCACTGTAAAGTCTGTTGGCGAGAACCACGAGGATACCCTTAGAGCTATGGACACATTAGTGATAACACTTGGTAGCCAAAATCAAGTTGATAAAGCCTTGGAAATCCAGAGGAGGATTGTGAAGGCACGAGAGAGTGTTTCTGGGGAGCAAGATCTAGGGACGATTGAAGCATCAGAATATTTTTCACAGCTTTTGGCAAAGAAGGGGCTTTTAGAAGAAGCATCTGAAGTTCAGGAGAAGGTCGTCAGCTTGAAAAAAAAGGTTTCCGGAGAGGATCATCCCGAAACGCTGACGTCTATGAGTAATTATGCTTATTTACTTGCAAGGCAAGAAAAGACTGGCGAGGCAGCAAAAATCCAACAACAAGTGGTAGACATGATGACAAAGTTGTTGGGGAAGGAGCATCCGGAAACTGTCGATGCAAAGGGAAATCTTGATTTTATGCGAGCAGCAGAAATGAGGAAAGCTGCAAAGTGAGCTTGGGCCGAATACCCTTATGACGAACTGTGGCGTTTAACTTAGCGAGGCCTAGCTTTTAATGATTGGAGTTTCATGAATTCATATCTACTATCACGATCAATCCTTTCATGTATCTTGAAGAATTAGCAAAATAAATTACTTGGTGTTTAGGACATGTAGTACATATAATACTGCCAGTAGGGAAAAGAGTAGGTGGATAAAGATGCAAAATACCCTTCGGGAACATAGATGTATAAGGGAACCTCCCCATACACTTTGGCCCATTCATACCTGGCCTCATACCTGGCCCTCAGATCTTTAAATTCATGCTTGACGATATCATCTATTGTACTTCTTTGGCTCTCGAACTTCGCATATCTATATACGGCTGTGGTAGATACATACATGTAGGCCTGGTGTCAGCCGTATCCGGAGTTCTTTGAGGGCTTACTTGGGTTTGTAAGTTTTTCTTTGCAAAGCTTTGCTATTTATGATGCTTATCTTGTTTTTTACTAGTTGTTGACGGGCGACGTTGATATGATTGAGGCTAAGATTTATAAATTCAGGTGGTGTTTTGTAGCACGGTCATATGTGCTACGCCATAATACCATCGTCAAGCTGCTTTGGACAGCGTCGGGAATTGACACTGCGCTAAAAGTATGGAAAGGATTTTGCTAAGTGGCGGTGGGAAAGAGGAGGACGAGACGAGATCAATGCAGGGGAAGAAAGGAGAGAAGCGGGATACGGGCTGGGGAGGACTAAGGGACGAAGGTTAACAATTTCATTTTGTTCTATTTCTATTATATATATTTTGTTAAATTTATGTTTGTGAGATGGGGCGGAGGCAGATGGGAGGTTCTGGGGTCTTGTGCGATATTGCCATAACATAGGGGTTGCATGCAATTACTGAGTCTTAAAAAAGAAATCCTACGCCGTCTTTAGTGGGGTATTTTGCGCTTTGCTCCGACGGAATAATAGAAACACGATGAACATACGGGTACATGCATACGTACAGGTCTACATACAGTCAAATCTCACTATAAGGGTACCTCATATAAAAATAATAGCTCTATAAGGGTACAACTTTTCGGTCCTTATTGGCCCTTCGATCCAAGTACAAAATAACCCTTTGCTAATGTAATTATAAAGGTGCACACCCCATAAGGGTACCAATTTCAGGTCCCAAGCGTAAAATTACAGCTATAGCGAGATTCGATTGTATTATTATATAAATGAAAACTAAGACACATAATCCGCCAAAAACTTTATGTCCTCCAGCGACCAACTATTCTCATCACACCAATCAGTAGCCTGTTCATAACCTTCTCTCTAAGGGAAGAATTCTTCCAAAATTTCCCGGAAATGCCGCCAATATCCTCAGCTGCCAATCTAACCGGAATCCGTGCTCCCTCTTCTACAGAAGAAGTTAATTAAAAAAAAAATATGGTAGTTTAAGTAATTAAGCGCGGAACTTACCTATCGTCTTCAAAGGTATTGCCCTTGATCCGAATTTGACACCTGTTTCTGTCTCAACCCTATTCATTATATCAATACATCTGATTTACCTCAAGAATAGCCACATGACTTAGAGGAACAAGGACATACTGGCCAGGAAAACAGCAATTCACCAAAAGTTCAGGGTTGTCCCTCGCCATGATAATCGTCGCAGCCGTTATAGCAGCCTTCGTGACTGAGTACGGGTGGGCCAACCTTTCTCCTTTGATACTCCAGCCTTCACATCTGCCTGCCACATGTCGTAAGACGATATACCAAATCAGTTATCCAGCGTCCCCAGCCCTAGGATACTCACCCTATATCTCTCTATTAACGTATCTAACCCCTTCCCCCGCAGCTGCCATCTTAGCTCTTAACTCCTCGTCGTGGGATCCTCCTAAGTAACAGGCAATTGAAGACACATTCACGACCCGCCCGCCGGGTTTGAGGATAGGAATGAATTTTTTACACATATTAATGGTACCATAGTAGTTGCACTCCACTATCTCCTCAACGCTACCCGTGGCATTACCCAAATTGTTTACAAGTACGTCTGTTCTGCCTGCTTCCTTAATGGTTTTGTAAAGGGCGTCAATAGAAAATGGAGTTGTAATGTCGAGCGGATGGTAGATCAGGGTTGAAGAGGTGCTATTCATGTGGATGATTTTAGGCGGTGTGCGGGAGGTCAGGTAGATTGTTGAGAGGGGTGGGGCGTGATCAAGGAGGGACTGGGCTACACCGTGCCCGATGCCTTTGCTGGCGCCGGTTACGAGGCAGGTTTTGGAGTGTGACATAAATATTAAGTTCTGAACGTATTCTGGGGGTTGCACTAGTATATTTAAAATCCCAAGGAAACGGAGGTGTTTATATAGAGGATTGGTAAGTCTCACTCCCAACCAACACCCCTCCCTAGAAGCACACTCTCCCCGTCCAGATATCAAACCTCGAGGGTCCTTCCCCTCAGATCTGTAGGAGCTGACGATCTTGGTAATGCCTTGTAGGACACGTTTATTTCGACTTCCGAAACGATACATGCCCCTGGTCCTTATCCGCCCGCTTACAACTAAACGAAGCAACCAACTGATCAATTGTCCTCCCACCTTTGAATTAAACAAAAGAGGGGGGGAGAGTCCGCCCACCTTGTGCCATTGTGGGTGCGTGCGAGTGATGGGCTGTGATTGAAGTCAACAGCCAAGAGCAAGGTTTGTCAGGAAGTCCGAAGAAATCGGGCGTAAGATGTAGTCATTATGTATACTGAACTCGCGAGCAGAGAAGCCTAATAAATGCTTCCTTATAATAATACTCTAGAAGAAGCGAGTTTGTGCTTTTGCCAACTGCATGTGGGTATTAGATATCAAAACACACTAAAATCTGCCCCACGAATTTTGGCCAGCGCCTGGAATAGCAGTACAGCTAGAGGTAAAATTATTGTAGAAATAGGGGTCTAAAAATAAGGTTTCTATGGCTGGGCAAGCTAATAGGACTCCTCCTATATTTCTACAATAATCTTACCGCAAGCTGTAGTAGAAGATACTTCTTTTTTACAGCAAGTAAAAAAATCGCCAATACTAGGTACAGAGAAACCTATCATAATTCCACCCTCTCGAAATTCCATCCCTACCAAACTTCTAGCGGTTAGAGGAAACGATACCTGCAGCTTGTTAGCAAATACCTCTCTCTAAACTCCATCCCTACGGTAATTCCAGCAAAATTCGGCCACCGCAGGGGTGGAATTATGATAGGTTTTGCTGTATATTTTATATAAAAAAGAGAATACTACATATAGCGATACATAAGGAGAAAAGGAAGAAGAAAATAGTCATACAGATTCTGGCTCCGCCACATATCAACTCCGAGAAGCGCTTCGCGGCGTATCTAGCACTATCGCTCACAACTTGGTCCCCGCCGCTTCCATTTCCTTAGTCTAACTCCAAGTTAGTATCAATCCACCTTAGCACCAGTCGTTTGCATTGGTTCACATACTTTCTTATATGCCCTCTTACACGCCTCTCTACTCTCACACCTCTCCATATATTCAAATAACTTCGGATATTCCTCTTTACTTAGCCCGCAAACTCTCTTTGCAGCCGCTAACTGAAACGATATCATAATATCAGCACCCGAGAATTCCTCGCCTGCCAAATACGGTCGCGACGAAAGCTCAGCCTCCAGGAAGTCAAAATGGGTCTTGTAATTAGGTTTCAAGAACCGTGTCTCGACACCCCCAGTAATCATGTTGATGAGCGGCTTGATGAAGAACGGCACCGACGCTTTGTTGATGTTCTCGACGACAATTCCAACCAGCATCGGCGGCATCAGGGAACCCTCGGCATAGTGGAGGAAGTACCTGTTGGATTTTCTGTTAACTATACTATCCCTTATTCCCGGGGAAAGTTATACACACTTGTACCGTAGCAATGAGTCCTCGTCGCTAGGTTTGAGCTGGGGCCCGAATTTGTCGACGAAGTACTCGATGATGAATCCTGACTCGGCAAGAACCCTGTCACCGACAACTACGATGGGAAATTTCCCAAGCGGGTGTAGAGATTGCGAGCCTTCGGGGGCAAGCATCGCAGAGTTCCGGATGTGACATTCGATATCGTAGTCAAGGTTGAGCTCTTCGAGAAGCCAAACAATACGCTGGGCACGGGACTGGTTGAGCCTAGTGGGTACACAGTCAACGCTGTATCTATGAGTGGGTGGTGAGGGTAAACCTACCAGTGCAGCGTTACTTTTGGCTGTGTACTTTTGTTTTCGGACATTCTCATGTAAATTTTGGGAGTGGTCAAAGTTTATGGGAGCTATGATGACAAGCCTGGGGAAATGGTAGGAGGTATAAGTACATGTAGTTTAGCTACCGTTGAATTATGTAGGAGTGTTGGGGATCAGATGCAAGCATCGCTTGTCCCGCGGCAAGCTCGGTAGCATGCATGAAACAGCTCAGGGATGGCGACGTCATAGCAACATGTAATAAATACGGGTTGCGGAATAATTGTCCCGACATGGGGAAGTTTGCTATGGAGCCCAATTTTCTTAAGCAGGAATGTTTGGCATTTCGGCCATGATGGCGATAAATAGATGTATGTATCTATTGAAGTAGATATCGCTTGTGTAACTCCGTTCCTGGCGATCTTTGGGGACCCTGGCGGCTTCAGTGCCAGTGGATGTGATACTAGCTCTTTACAGAGTCTGGTAGAATTATTGCGAAAGTGGGTTTTCCCGTGACCCGATAGTCCTATTGGCCCTTAAAGGAATTTCTGCAGTGAGCACGGACCAAGAAGCCCACTCTTTTAGTTCTGACTTTCGCAATAATTCTACCAGACTCTGTAGCAGCCGCCTGTCATTCAGCTAATACTCGCGGTGCCGAAAAGTCCTCGGGTCACGTGAACTCAACTATAGCTGATCTCGCTCCTATCTCTACTTAGTTTGGTCACATGACCCGAGGACTTTTCGGCATTGCGAGTAGTGTCGGTACGAATTCTAGAGCCGCATTAATTTTCTAGGCAGATACACATTTTTTATACTTCTCAAGCCCTTTCCGAAGTACATGTATTTAGAGACACCTACATACATATTACTTACGTAAGTCTATTAGATTCTCATGATTGATCAGAACAACATGTTATAGGTATATATTCGTTCTCTTGCGATGTCATTCCGAATCCCAAGGATATGGAAGATACACGGGATATCACTCGATTTGGATATCACCTCGTATAGCTCGAGCTTGGTACTTTATATCACTATCCCATCCCTTCGCTTATATGAAATCCTTCTTTACCAGAATTTTCAGTATGCACTTGACCTCTTACAGCGCCTCGCCCTTAGATGGTTGGCGACAAATTTGTGGCCGGCAAGCTGGTGCTCAAGAAGGCCAGGAGATTCCTATCCAGCGACTCTGTTGGTGTCAGCCAGAGGGGTATAATGGCGAGTACATTCATCTGCCAGCAAGGTCCCGAAGTCTCAAAACGTCTTAGCAATACCACATATCCTCTTTAAGAGATTTTCTAAAATTTGAGTAATGCCTACGGAAAAGGTACGCATGGATAACTCATAGCGCCGTCTATTCAAGCAAGACATTAACCTAACCCGCTTGCTCTTTTAATAGAGACTGAATGCTTGGGTTCTTCGCCTACAAAGTACTCTGGCACTACTCGGGTCGACATTCGTTTACTTGTCTTGTTGTTCTTGTTTATAGCCTACTTGCTAAACGTAATGCTAAAGGTGATCGACGTATCATTTCCACTTCTATGACCCCACCGTTGGGATTGAAAATTCTACATGCACTTATCCGCAAAGGTTCCCCGAATATATGCGTATGTATTAATTCCAATATATATTCTTCATTTTCATATTAAATACAGGTGATTTTGCTCACCTGATTATTGCAGGAGTAATTAAGGATACAACGTTACTTTCGCCCCAGCTCAACTGTTATGTTGTTGCGTCACGTTATGCAGCTACAGGGAAGCTTGAACTTGAGCGAGACTAAAGTTCCGAACCAGGGTCTTAAGGCATGGCAAAATCTCCTATCGGATAGAAATACTGGAAACTGACCGAGTTCCTCTACTCTACCTCTCCTGTATGTTTCGGGGGTGATAGACTCCTTAAAACAGAGCTTGACATAGGGAAGGGGATAGATAAACAGGCGAGTTATAATAGGATTTATTTTCTCCAAGATACATGCAATGCCTTGGATTGTACCAGGTACGATGTTTTTATACCGGCAGATCATTTACCCCGGACAAGCACCCATTATGACCACCGCCAAGTCACACAAACGCTCGCCAAGCAAACCCCCACCCCGTTCGGGGGTAAGGTGTGATCGGTTGAAAGTTTGGCCCTGCTTATCAATTCAATTCATCATACCTCCCCGACCAATGCGGGCTCACCCTTTCCCGGCTGGTTAGATTGGGGGAAGCCCCAACCGTCTCCCGCCTGCCCTTTGAAATATTTCCTTCTTCCAAAATTATTCCCCACATCCCGCGCAGTTAATCGGTGTGATGTGCGGACAGATGACTTATGCATGTCGATTGACAGAGACACAAAACGGTTGCACCGACAGCTTTTTCCGTCCGATTTTTTAGTAGAGAGGGTGAAACATACATTTGATGATAAAACAGTGGGTTGCCCACCGCAACCAGCCTGACAAATGTAAAGTTCCCCACCAACGACCGCGACCCGGGTGTCTTTCGGGGGCTTTCCCCGTGTGTGCGCTTCACAATTGGTGTGCAGGGTGATGGGGGTCGGTTCGAATTTGTATGTAGACACAGGTAACTGGTACTTTGGTATGGAGTTGCAATCACCAGCCAAAAGGTGTGAGAGTTGGGGCATTTGGGGTATTTGCAAAACGGAGGACATGATAGTAAAATCTTCAAATCTGAGGTTGGTTAGATCTGGGGTTAAATAAGCTCTTTCAAAAGTCATTACTCACATTTACAGAGCCCAAAGTGCCTTGGCAGTTGTGCATGTGTATGACGGCTATTTACAGGTTTTATTCCCACATGGTGGTGATATCAGTATGAAGAGTGGAATTCTGAAGAGATAATCTTTGTAATCTAGGTAGCCACCGCTACACTTTAGAGCACCAATATCTATGCTCTCCGTTCTGACGAGGGGACACGCACTCTCATGGGCCAGTCTTGGTCCGAACCATCCGTTTGCATCCGTCTGACATACCGTCGATTCATTGTCGTTAAGGATTTACTAATACACATGTAGAGCCTCCCAGTACAAGTATATGTACATACAAATACACAGCATGGGGTGTCCTTGCAACATGACCGCTCTACAATTCTGATGATATCAACCACACCGCCTGGTTGTGTATCCGAATCTGTCTTATTTAAACGATTTGGGTTTAGGTTTGGCCACTACCCCTGGTACTGGACTTTTATTACCAAGAGGAGTTTTTCCTCTCCGAACTCTCTCTCTCTCCCCACCTTCCTCTCCACCTTCCTCCCCGCCTTTATTTTGCCATCGACTCTGATTTATTCCTACTACTGCTTCTTCCTCCCTTAGATATCTGCTTTTATTTGTCTTCTCTGCCAGTTTTGATCTTTTTTATTTATTTGCTGTTAGAAGTGCATATTCGTTGGTGATTGTTTCATAATAATCCTAGATTATCGTTTCTATAATTTTTTTCTTTTCTTACTTTCTTTAACACAACAACACCGGCAGTTGTGCGTTCCTGGAAAGAAAATGGCACCAAGACGGTATACGTCATCTGGTCAGAACCAACCCGTGATTGTCGATAGACAACACCAGCACCAACATCAACATCAGCAACAAAACTGCGACGTGCGGACTACAGACACCGTCATTGTAGGTTAGTCAAGCAACTATCAACTGCTTCTGGTGAAATATCACTGATATCGTGCAATTGTTCCACAGGCAACGGCCCATCCGCCTTATTTCTCAGCTATCTCCTCCATGGCAATATCCCCACATATGACACCTCAGTCCATGGTCCTCACCCTGATCCTGTCCTACACTCAAAGCTCTCACAGCTCGGCCCCGATAGATCCCTTTATGATGCACTCGAAACCCCGAGATCAATCGAGGAACTCACGGAACATTTCCCAGACTCAGCATACATGTCTTATTCAAATCAGGCACTCCCAATTAATGTTCTTTTAGACACTTTAATCCAGCCCAATGCAGATACAGAGATTGGTGAAGCAAGATCCAGAATAAAATGGGAACGAAATAGCAGCCGCCGGGTCGACCACCTCGTACTCGGAGATGCCGGGAAGGCTGGGGGACAATGGGCCGAGGATCCCATTGGGGCGAATAGAGACTGCGAGACTCTAAGGTTGGTTATAATCATTTCTAACTATATTTGGGAACATTGAAATCTAACATAATTCTAGTTATGCTGAATTGCTATCATTGCCTGGATACTCGTTCCGGGAGCACTATAAACGAACCCATAGAAGACCAATGCCCGATTTAATTCGTCCTACACGACGGGAAGCCGCCAGCTATTACAGCGCTTACCCAAAGGCCGTCGGAATATCGTCAGAAGTGTTTACCTCTGTCCATGCGCAACGTATCTCACAGCGGCCAGGCGGCGGGTTTACACTCCGAGTACACCGCCGGGGCTCGAACTCTAACAACAAACAACATCATGATGTACATATGACCATTCACTGCACACACCTGGTCCTGGCGACTGGAATATACTCCAACGTTATACCCCCACCGCCCATCTATCAGTCACTAATGTCACTCACCACACCTTCGCCCTACGCAGCCTCAAATCCCCCAATGCTAGTGGTTGGCTCCGGTTTTACGGCTGCAGATGTCATGATGGCTGCGAAGAAGGCGGGGAGAAAAGTAATACATATCTATAAATGGAACACCTCGCGGCCTTCCCCGCTAAAAGGGTGCCATCCGACGGCGTATCCCGAGTATGCGGAAATATATAGACGGATGAAGTCGAGCGTAGCGGCGACAACGTCACCGCGATCAAATCAGGTCACAGATGGTGAATACGAGGGTTTCCCGAATGCACAGGTTATCAACACACACCCGGATGGCCGAATCCGGATCTTGACCATAGACGGCGAGATAGTAGAGCGGGTAATCGACGAATTCAAATACTGTGTTGGCCGGCGTGGAAGCCTTGAGTACCTATCCCCAGAGCTACGGAAGGCTGTGGGTGTTGTGGACGCAGGATGGATCTCTGGAGACACGATGCGATGGAGGGTAGAGGAAGACCTGGAGATTGTGAAGGGTGTGTTCGTTGTGGGGAGCCTAACGGGTGACAGTCTGGTGCGCTTTGGGTTCGGCGGATGTGCTTATGCTGCTGGGAAGATAAGCAGCGACGTGAAGCGAGGGGATGAGGCCAGGGGCATCAAGAGGAAAGATGAAGAGGGGTTCGAAAATGGGGTGAGAACTGCAGATAACCGGAGGTCGAAAGGCGCTTGCATAATAGTATAGCGGTGGGGGGATACGGACCTTTTTTAACTTAATTTATTATTTAGATTTCCACACCTGAGCGACAGGGGCATGGCATAACAGGGTAGCGGTGTTTAGATTGGAGTTCTTTCCCTCCCCCCTCCTATTCGATGGGTGGTTCTTCTCTTTATTTTATTCACTTATAGATACTAGAAACATATAGCAACAGGTTAATAGTTAGGGCATCTTGGTTACTGTACATATAGGGTTTGATAATTTGGATTACTTTGTGTTGAATCACAATCAATCACTCGGATTTGTTTTAGTGTGTTTAGATCGTTTGGTTACATAGTATGTGTGCGTGTCGTGTGCCGTAACAGATCATTGGCCTTGATTGCGCACCAGTGTAGTTGCAAACTTTTGGTGTGCAACGCTATCCGCATGAGCTCAGGATAAGCTTGATAATCCAGATTAATACATGTGCCAATACCTTATACGTCCTAGAATCAGAAGAATAAAAAGCCGACTCCTAAAATACACCAAGGATTCAAATGTGTGTGGTTAATAAACAAAGGAAAGGATAAAAGCATTTGTCCTACATAGTACTCCATAAAACCTATTCATCTTCTCTATCGTCATGCCCAAAACATACAACACACTTACAAAATGAAAAGAAAAAAAAGAAAGGCCGATTAAATTAAAAACCCACGCTGTGAGTTCCTACCATATTCTCCACTGAACGCCTCCAGTCTTACTCCCACGAGTACGACCTCCACCCCACTCCTCCCATCTTGCCCAGTGGTAGTCTGTACTCTGACTCTCCACTGTCCCCTTTTCACAACCCACTCACCACCACCTTCTTCCATACTGCCTTGTCTTTTGTGTCTCTTCCGTGGGCCTGATTGCCCTTGTACCCCCAAGAATGGCTTAGTAGATGCGGGTCTACTCGCACTATGTTGCCAATTCATGCCTGGGCTCGGAGTACCGCCCACACTCCTCCCTGCATCACTTCCAGATGGTGCGGAAACGCCATCCGCCATATCGTTATCGTGGGCGTCAAATGAACCCATCCAATCCCGATCCAAATACTCCTCTCCATCCAACTTGATAAAACATTCTGGTCCGAGCTTGATCTTAACTCGATCTTCGCTCAAAGGGGTATTTCCCGGGCTCGCAGGACCAGAGGACCCGGTTGTCGACCCGTTCTGTCCCAACAGTACAAGTCCAAGAGCTCTCTCATGCCCAACCGGCAGCCCCAGTTTATTAGCAATCACCTGGAATAATGCCGAAACACGCTGGTTGGTAGTCCCGGTGAATTCAGCGCGGCCACTGCGGAAGTCAACTTTAGTTTGCTCGCCCCCTATCTCAACGACCAGTTCGCGCTGGATATCGTCAACAAATGGACGCATATAATTTATCCATCCGCTCGACTGTTTAGCCCCAGGGAACTGATCCCCACCAGAGTCAGGGAGGAAGGCAACGCCGGAGGGTTTGATGTCCTCGAGGCGGATCACAATCTCTTGGCGCTGGCGTCTCTGATTCCAAGATATCTCATGGGGGATGAGCTTTTGTTCTAGTCCTTTAAGATGGAAATATTTGCAGTCGCGCAGGAGCTCCTGGCGATGTTCTTCGTTCCGGATGTGAACGGGATAACCGCGGAGGAGGTGAAGAAGCTCGGCAAATACGTCGGCGGAGCGGTTGGGCACCTCCGGAGGGAGAATTGAAGGAGGTCGGAGGAGGCCTTCACGAGCGAGGCCGGGGAAGACTTCGTTTGGAGAGGAGAAAAAGACGGCAAAGCCTAAGGAGAAGTAGTTCGGCGAGTTTCCGGGGGACTGAAAGAGATCGCGATTGATTTGGAAGTGGCGAGAGCCAATTGAAATGAAAATTTCCGATTCAAAGAGTTGCGAGATTAATTTCGGAACTATTGAGGAGGTCAGTTGGCAGGTAATGTGAATTATAGACGGAGGAAGGCTTACGGCTGTAGAATTGGGCGTCTGCAAATAGTCTTACGAAGTGTTGACCATCTTTTGGGGAAACATGATATCCTACAATACCGTCAGCTTTCCCCAGTCATATCGAGAGTTTAACCGGAGAGAGCACACCTTGAAGGTGACGTGCGATATCTCTAAATGTAATCGGGTCACGGTCAATGTAGAGTGTCCGGATAGTCTGGTTTTCCTCTAGATTTGCCAACTGTTGTTCAAAGAATTGCGAAAAGTACGAGGGAGCTCTAGCACTCTCAGTTTCATGTTTGCTACAAGTGTAATTATTTCTAGAGATACTGACCATCTGAAGATATTGACGCGCCACTGTTACCGATGTCAGTATGTGTGTGGATCAAAGAGCCGGAGGTGAAAAGTAAAACATACCTTAATCGAAATAGCTCCCCGCCAATCTGTATCGGAAATACCTATCATCCCAACCTATTTGTTAACAAACGCTGCCGGCATTGAACGCACTTCACCGCTTTCGCCCCCCTGTGCGCGCACTCTACATACCTTCTCATGCGGTAGTATCTTTGGGATGTCCGGGAAATACGCGTTCGATGCGACGCGCGACTTATCGTCCTGACTAGCTACACTCATTGCGAAGTCTCTCCCCCAAGTTCTGCGCCTATATCCGTTACCGGTATTGATTGGGGTGGCGGTATGTGTATCTGTAGCTGTAGCTGAAGCCCCTGCGTCGCTTCTTGGGATTTCTCGGGGCGAGCGCTTTCTCTTCCCCGCCGCTGATTGGCGAAAGTTTAACTGTGAGGGTGGAGTTGTTGCGATAGTGTCGTGGTTTCGCTTTCCGGAAGTTGTTATGGTGTTGGTAGTGGTGATCCGGTTGAAGGGCCGATTCGCCGCGGTAGGTGATACTTGCAAAGATTCTGGGGGGGTACTCCCAAGTGCAGTGGTAATCCCGGCAGGCGAGCCAACAGGAGCTGGGCTCGGCGGGGGCGGTTGTTGACCGTAGAAGGATGTCGCGGAAGCCGCGGCAAGATCCAACCACTGAGTCTGCGTTGAGAAGTATCCAGAAACGTCGGCCGGAGTAGGAGGAGTGACTGCGAACACGGGCTTGGGGGTCCCAGGCGACGAGGTGCAGTATGAGGGGAAGATGGCGCTGGTGCTGGTGGTGCTGGTGGTGCTGGTGTTTATGGTGGGTGTAGTAGTGATAGATAGCGGAGATCCTTCATGATAGTTGTAATGATCAGGTCCCAGCATACTTTTTAGCGTTCGGATTAATTATTAATACGAGAGACGGAAATTGCTATATATCGCTCCTTAGGCCTGAGGAAAAGTCAGACACTGAAATAATTCTTGAACCCCTCAATACCGTATGGGAGACAATGCACGAGATCAAACTGATGTCGGACAAACCACTCGTCCGTCTCCTCCTTTCGTTTACTTACCGGTTTGTGTTGTGTCGATAGATGGATATATCTATTGGCGTTGGCCCGATTCTTGGTCCTAGTATTTGCACTCCAGTACAGCTTATATAAAAATTAAAGAGATGAATACAGAACGTCCCGAGGCCTGGGTGGGGTGTAGTTATAAACGAGAGACAAAACGGATAACCAGGCGCAGCCAACAAATAAAGCGAAAGGTGGGGGCTGAGGAGTTGGAAAAGAAGGAAAATAAGAAAGAGGACCCTGATATAAATCAATTAGGGCAGGTAGTTAACAGACAGCCTGCAAGCAGGTAGCCTGATGAGATCTAACGGTCTGCAACAGCCGTCGCTTGATCTGATCGGAACCCGATCTTAAAGAGAGACACTTGTTGGCTTGAATGGTATGATCCGAGATCTAGATAGATGTATGATATCTCAGCTAGGGCTGAAATAAACTCTTTGTTTCTTTTTTGTCACCTCCAGCGAATATTCTAGTCGCGTTGGCAGGTTAGGCTAGGCAGCTGCTTATGCCAGGAGTCTAGTAGAGCCTAATGTCTTCCAGATGTTCGAAAACAGCCCAAGAGGAACCAAATTGGTGACTGCAATAAGCGCAAAGGCGGAGAGCTTAACTTGGCTGGGGTAAACGGTATCTGTAAAAAATAGGCAAGTCAACATTTTTGGCTCGGAGCCGAGAGGGTTTGATTCGTGCAAGGAATCTTTCACGTGAGATAGCTCCGTTTTCGGCGGTTAGGGATAGGCATTAGATTGACATGACTCTACCTTACATATACTTCTCTTGCATGTGGAGGAGACGGAGTTCACTCCAAAAGAAGATGAATTGGGTTGAGTTGAGGGCACTAATATGGATTGGTATGGTGAAAACTTACAGGCTAATAAGAACCTATTTTCTCGCGATAGCAGTAAGGAACAATTCCTTTACACAATGGCTCAGGATATATGAATGCTTCCACGGCCGATAGGGGACAGATATCATGAGTTTCTTCGGATAGGTAACTGTTATTAAATAGTCTTCATCAGGTCATTTCCCATCGATAGCATTTCTTGAATTACCTATTTCTGTCCAATTTGCTATTAAAAGCTCCGTATGACAAAAATAGCCACATCTGTATTGGGAAAGGGTTAATGATACCAATCGGGTCAGAAGAACTAGAAGTGAGAGAGACATGCAAAAGCAGTACATACATGTGAGTACAAGGATTGGAGTTCAGTTTAGGACCTGCCTGCCATGTCTCAACATCATCCTTTCCTTTTTAAGGCCCCATAGCCATCTTTTGGGGCACAAGAAGCAAAAATTTCTTCTAGAGCCCACACGCAGGCCATACATGCAACTCTATTCCCTCTGCCCAACCATATCTGGGGAAATCTCTAAAGGTTATCTGAATGGTTATCTAAAAACAGCGCGGCCTTATAAGGCCGCTTCCACAGAAGGTACATATTGAGATTGTGACTTCTTGGCGGTTCGTTTGTGTGAGTTGATACGCTCTGAGTAGACTGAGTACTTGTGTTTACTGATGGACACCCATGTTCTTTTTAAATAAGGAGACACACAGTAAATGTAGAGTAGAAAAAACGAAGTGGCTGAGTATTTGCTTGTGATGCGTGTCAAAAAAGAAACGAACAAGAAACATGCGAATTGGAACACCTCAACAAAGTTGGGGTATTACAGCAGTCTACAAAGGGTGTTGTCCTGCGGTGAATATGCATGGACCCCTGTCATTAGTAAAGCTAATCCCTGTGAAAATCATGGTTATGTAAACCTTAATGACACAGCATTGCAATGTGCAGTGCCGCATCCGACAGTAACCCTCATGTCAATCCCCAAGTTGTTTTTTGTTGAAGGTTAGAATACTACGTTCGGGAATCTATTGGCAAGTATGTACCTGCATACATGTATTTACCTTGCTAACTGTGCGCGCGTATCTGTTAAGTCTCCTATAATTTGCCGATTATCTAGATCTAGCCATTCTATATGTATTCGTTAAGTATCCGACACAGTGAGGCACAAATGTACCTGCATGTATATGTGTTGAGGTATTCTGTAGTAAACAATAAGCGTAAGTCCTATGGTACAGTAGAGGGGAGATAACAAAGCGATTGGATAGAACCATTAGAAATACCTATAAAGCTATAACAGTCCCTCCAGACTACAATCGCTCGGAGTGAGAAATGAGGAATCGTCTAGATTTAGAGCTTGATAAATTTCTAATCTCACTTCATGGACGCTTCTGAGGCTGATCAATAGCCCTCGACCAATCCTCAAAGACGTAATCCCTGGCGGGAGATAACCAACTTATCGAGTTTTTGCGGTATGTAGACATGTATGTATTTGGGTGTTACATTGAATCCGTGGGATATATGTGTCTTAGACAAGCGGTTGACTACATGTACATGTACGTATACAGTCATAATTAAATGTAGAGGCCGCAATCGACCCTACATGTAGTATACGTACGTACATGTATAGTAGTATAAAGCCAGCCTTACAGATCTTTAAGGCAGCGTATATCGACATAATACTAGAGCTAAGCTGAAAGACAGGCGAGAATATGATATAAGCCGACTGGGCAACGGTTTGGTCCCGGTGGTCGACATTTTGGAGTTAAATTAAGATTAACACTTTAGGTTATAATATTCCGTACGTATACGTTGGTAAATATAAAAATATTAACCGCCAGAACTTCTACATACACATGTACTCATCCATTGATGACATATTGCACAGCTCGCTGATGACACACTTACCACATCGCTGGCTCGACACCAAAAGCTTATTTCTAGGCCTTTTCTTCTACAACTCCCATGAAAACTATACAACCCTACTTACATCTGAGCCTGAGCTTGTATTATCACCATTACTACGGACTTCCATTACCACATATACAGTTATCACATCACAGTCACCTTTATTCGTGTGTTTCGATAAAAGCGTTTCGATACACCTAGGGCCCCCCCAGAAACCAACCGCTCCGCCATGTCACTCTCAGTACCTGCGACACCAGCAATAGAAGATTCTGACTTTCAAGACCCCGAAGCCCCACCACCACATGATGGGCCGTGTTCAACAACAGTGGCACCTATTGCCTCAAGGAGCTTACTAGATGCCCGCCCGGCGGAGGAAGACACAAGTGCAGATGGGGTTGAAATATGCATGGGGAGTGGTTCCCTAAAGGAATCGGTGAGGACGTCCTCTATCAAATCAACACTTAGTTCATCCTTTCAAGTGAAATTAGAGATGAAAAGTAAGAGCAATCTGCTTCAAGATCCTTCTACACATCATTTCGATGAAGAGTTATCTAAGTAAGACCGTCCTACCCTCCTATGTTTTATTAGTTTTGCCATAAGCGGCTGATTACGTCTTAGTGACCGCAAGTCTGGGAAAAACCCTGCCATAGTTCCGCCGAAATTATCCAGAAAAGAGACGAATTTGCATTCCACTGCCAGAAGCTCACTTGAAGGAATTACTATGGATCAAGAAGAGCTTGTATCTCACTCACCTGTTCTCTCAAAACGATTGTCATCCAGATGTTTGAAGGCTTTCAGGAAACTTCGGTCTCCGTCACTATCCTCTCCGGAATACCACATATTGAGTAACTGTGGTGAGAATGACACCAAAATCGGAGCCATGAGTGCTTTTGAAGGTTCTTATTTAAGCCCTACCATTTCGTTACGAGCTCCTATCGACCTAGGAAGTACTGATAGCAAACACGTGCCACCAGATGTAACAGAAGGCTTTGGTTATCTTACAAAACCCCAAGATTGCGAGAACAGGACCTCCAAAGTGCACTCAGATGCTACTATTATCACTTCAAGCGGTTGTAACAGTTTACAACAGGAACCGAAAGATATAATTCAAGAAAATCAATCTTCTTTGCCGAAGATAGCAGATTATTCACCCGAACCGTCATTAGAAAACAAATCGAACAATCATATAGATGGAACTATCTCGCCTAAGGCACCTTCTGAGATTTTTGCGGAGACCGAAGAGCTCGGTGGCCATGACACCCAAAACAAGGTCATAGCAAAAGCAGAAGACAGTCATAGCGAAAGGACTGATACTCCCCAATCTAAGATTAATAAAATTTTGGGCTCCAGCTACCAAGAAAACCCACCAAATCTCGAGATATTTGGTACGGAATTCATGCGTCAGGAAGTTGACACCTGTGCTGGGCTCGTGGGGCAAGATGGATGCCACGATTTTTCAAAAAATGATTTAGAGGAGACCCCAAGAAAATCACGGTTGACTACATGGAAAGAGAAAGCTAAAATTGAGAATTGGCTGGGGAAAAACAAGAGTTTCTCGCGGCACCCGCCTGGGAAGACTAAGATTCCCGAGATATCGAGACTCAAGAAGAGTCCAAGTTTGCTCTTCCGCCTCTGGGGTTCAGCCGTAGATTCCGATCCAGAAGGACATCAACAGCACAACTACCCACAAGAATCTACATACATATTGAAGCAAAATACCCCTCATCCTCTAGAGGAAGTAATAGCTGCAAGAATGAGAAAAGGCCGAGAACAGGTACTACGCGATGCCAGTCAATTGAGGTTTAACGACATTACCAACAAAAGGAAAAAGTCAGGTGGTTCGAAGAGAGCCTTGAGACAGATATTTAGAGAAAATGAGGCTAAAGTTGAAGGTCTGCCTCCTCCGCCTCAAAACCAGTGCTTTCAAATTAACATATTCCGCGAATACAGATTCTCCATTGACACCTCCAGACAGACCATCTAACATACCCCCGCAAATACCATCAATCGGTTCAGAAAAACAAGGGGGAGTAAGTTGGAATGGTTCTATACAAGAGTTTTCAGGGTCACTGGGTCAAGTTTGCCCTAGTGGAAAAAGATCTGTCAGCGACATGTTTCGAAGCGGAGAAACAAAGCCACCTTCCTTAGAGCTCCAAGCAGAATTTGGCGCAGAAAATTCATTTGAGAACTCAAGCCTAGCAGCAGATTGGCATATCGCAATGCGAGCGATGGAGGAAATCTCAGGTGCAGAGCTGAAGCTAAAACGCACTGGGGCTGTAAAGCATAAGCGTATAAAGAAAGGAGACAAGAGCTCTAAACATGACGCAGATTGCACGAAGGATGGTATTGGAAGGAGTTTTTCTCATGAAGGGGGACTATCAGTAGCGGACGAAAAGTCTACAAGTTTGGTTCATGATATCATGGGAGAATCTCGAGATTCTGACAGTGATAAAAGTAGCATGAGTCCATTTACGAGTCGGGAGTCTCTTTACAAGTTTCTTGAATTTTCTTGATCAACAATTATTAGCGCTAGAGCCCATCGAGAGGGTGCTGAACTGGATATATTCGTGTATGAAGTGCTAGAGCACTTTGTTTATCACTATAATGATATTGCAACTGGGCGAGTGTATAAAAGTTTAGTCTGTGGCTTTTCAACCATTCAAATTCGGTTTATATAAAAAATAAAAGTAAAACCGAAGTGATATCGCTACTTTCCCTTGTACATGTATGTACACTACGAAACCCACTAGATAATCATAACCATAACACGCTCTACTAAGAAAAGCACTCAATCGCATCTGAGGGAGTGGAAATAACTCGAAATAGGTGGCAGCCTTCCTTCTTTCTGTTTATCTTCTTTCTCCGTCACACATTTGATGAAGCTGCTGCGACTTTTACGTCTCCTCGTCTTCCCCACCCCGAATTTATCATCCTGGAGGCGATGTACTGCAGCCAGCTCTTGTTGCTCTATATAGCTCTTGTCGTCAATGAGCCCAACACTATCCTCTTTTTTTGCACCAGCCGGTGAATCCTTCTTTGCTCTCTTCGCTCCCCTTTCAACGGCCGGACTCTGCTCTTCTGGAATGGTGATATCTTCTAAAAGACTGACCATTTCTAGGAGACTGACCTCTTCTAGAGAGGTGACATCTACTAGACTAGTCACCACATTCAACGCCGGAACAGCCCCAGGCTTCTCATAATGGAACCTCCTAAACCCACTCTCCGGCGCGGGGATCAACACGATAAACGGCACCATGGGGGGGGAAGAGGGAGTGAGGGAGGAGGAGGAGTGCCTCGATATCGATATCGATAGGGAATATTATCTCTCCCGAGCAACCCACCCCCACTCGAGTTATGCCCCTCCGTTATTTTGTACCGGGGGAGCTCGAGCTAGGTTTGAGGGGAAAAGGAAATTGGGGGTTTTGGTCAGGTGTTTGGATATGGATATGATCCGGGATCTTGTTACTCGACGTAGGGGAATGGGAGCACGGGGATAATCCGAGATGTATATGTCGTGTTTGTGGAAACTTTATCGTGGTGGGGTGGGGTGTTTGGTAGGCGGGTTTGATCTGTATGTAGTATGGGTGGGTCTCCCATCTGCTGCCAAGAGAAGGGAAGGAAGGGCACACGAGAACGAGAGTCTTTTGAAACCAGCATCGGCGGAGTGAGTGCTTGTGCATGCAAATATCAACAGTTTCATCTCGGCTTTGTGGTGTTGTTGAATTAAATCGATCGGTCGACGCTATGTAAGACAATCAAACACGCTAAGACAATCAAACGCCCTAAGTTACACACGTGCCTCTTGGTGTCGAGTGATATGTTGTGACTAGTGGTAATCATTTTTTTTTCATTATGTTTTTTTTATTTTATTTTTTAATTTGAGGAACTACAAATATTTCCAGAATACTCCGTTCCTATTCTATTCCAAAGTGGCAGCGAGTCCTGACCATTATCGGCCCCTCCATCCCCGTTATCCAAACAAACCGCCCCCATCTAGGTATTAGTGCACTGCAAGAAATTATTGCCCGACGCACCAGTATGCGTAATCGCATCTAATACCACACGTTAGCCACCACCACCACCACCACCACCACCACCACCCTCCGCCCCCTTCCCCTCCAGGGGGCCCCTTCCGAAGAACGCAAACTCACCACAAAAAACCGCATTCGTCCCATCCCACGAGCCAATGACGACCCGATCAGCGCCCGGGCTCCCACCACTATACAGCCCACTCGAGAGCACGGGGAACTCATAGAACGGCGCGCTGCACCCTGCGTTGAATTTAAAGCCCTCGCGGTTGTTGAACTGGTGCGGGTAGTTGTTGCTGCCGACCTGTGTGCCGGCGTTGAGGTGGTCGAGTGCCAGCTCGGCGGCCGCGTCGACTTTGGAGAGGGTTATGGAGGTGCCTGGGGGTGTTTGTTAGCGGGGTGTTTGGAGGAGAGGGGAGAGGGGGTGGGGACGAACCGCTGCAGCTGGCGCCCGTGGAGCCGGAGACATCTTGTGAGGCTGCTGAGGCGATGAGGGAGGTTAGGGCGATGAGGGCGGAGAGGAACTTCATGGTGGTAGCTTGAGGAGAGGCTGGGCTAGGGATTTGACTCGGGTTCGAACGTTCTTGAGTGAATGAGTGAGTGAGTGCTGCTTGCTGATTCTCTGAGTTAGTTTGGGGAAACGGTCGACCTTTTATAAAAGTCGACACAGAGGTCCAGCTGGCTCTAATTATAAGGATACATGTATCAACAACAAAAAAAGCACTATGGTACTATCATTTGTTTATCTCGCTCTTCTCCCTCTGTATAGGTATAGGAGGGAAATCCTCGAAAACAGTTCGCAGCTCGCAACATTAGCGGACCATGAAACAGGAAGCTGAGGAAGATTTCACCTCCCATCTGATATCAGTGGTTCGAATCTGTCGGCACGCTCCAGTACCAATCCCAGCTAGCGAGATATCCTTAATCTGTGTGCAACCAATCAGGCTGCTGCTAGCTAGCTGGAGGGGGGCGGTTAGTACTGCAGCTCGTTTAGTAGCACCAATGCCTGTCTACTACACTGCTAGTACATGTAGTAGAGTAAGGGTCGTGGCGGGCGCAGAGGCTCTCATTGGCTATATGGGTGGAGATTGGAGGTGGAGGTGGTACTCCACGTTGCGGGATGTATGGCTCTGCAACGGGTGGCCGTTGGGAGGGCCGAAAGACAGACAACACAGTTGAGGCTATTGGTTTCCGGGCGTCGGGGCACGGGGGGGACCGACCTGAATTGAGGAGTGTCTTGGATAAGGTTGGCTTGGGCTGACAGACATGAAGAGGTGATTTGTGGGATTGCCCCGCCCAGGGCTACGGTCTCTGCCTATCTGTGTGGTGCTGCTAGCCTTACCTGGAACGCCTCAGTAGCACTGACCTTAGGCAATTGAGATGACAGCTTTATCGTGCACATTCATGTATGTTATCATATTTATTTATCATCTGCAGTCCTCAGAGTTCAGCTCGTTGCCAAGAATGCCAAGATTAGTACGGCAATTGCAGGGCTGTACGAAGGATGGGGATTCATCTACTGCTTCTACGAGTAGATTCACTACATGTAGTTCAGGTGCTCTAGGGCATCCCAGCAGAGCATTTCAACTGTCTACACAACAGAAATCCCCCCCCCAGTCACTTCCATTCGCCTATCGAGCACATGTACCTACCTTCCAGATCTGTTTCATTTCCCTGCATGAAACGGATCGACACGACCCCGGAAAGTTTAAACCCCACCACATGAGGACACAGTTAACCGCACTTGGAGTCTTGCTCCGCAGCTGCTAGGAAATGCAGGCCCCTATACGGCAGGGTTGGGCACGTGTGATGAGATGGATGAGGAGGAGTTTCCGGATGCCTGAAGCCCGGGTTATAATTACCTGGGCTATCAGTAGTGCTTTACTCAAGTTATTGTTACTAGCGAGATAAGCGTGGTATATCTCCTGCCTTGTTGGAGGGCGCCGCATGCATACTGGGGAATCAAGTAGGAAGTTGGGAACATCAGCTCGGGGTTTGACGGGCTGAGACAGGGCGGTTGAGGGCAGTCGAGAATGATGATGATGATGATGATGATGATGATGATACACAGATCAAGTACATGTATCTGACCTAATAATGCTCTTTGTGTGATGGATGTACATGTAATTGTATCTCGTTCCACGGGGGCGTCAGCTGCATGTGTCTGGGCAACCTCCGAGGGATCAGTTGTTATCTGATAAGATTGTTGCAACTGATCTCTGGGATCAAGAGAGAATCGTGTATCTATTTAATGACAGCTTGCAGTGCTATATATGTCTTCTTGGGGGTGAGTTGGTGTCTTCTCGGGGCGTGGATTTCTGTCTCTTCTCCTCCTCTTCTTCAGCCCCGTCGCTTCTTCTTCTTCACAACTTCTCACTCTCCCAACCCCTGCCACGTGTGCTGACTCATCCACCATATTTTTCTCTCAACTTCGCGACAACCAGCAACTCGGCATCAAATACTACTGACTGTCAACTGCAATATCAATTGCAGCTCACACATACACACAAAACTATTCACATATGTCTCTCTACATCGAGGCAGCACGAATCATCCAGCGCCCACGCTATGGCGGCCTCCGCGGCGCAGTCTTCTCAGACGCCTCGGTCAAGTCCCGCCCCGAGCAGCTGTACGCACTGATCATTGAAACCCTCAAGCACCAGGAGATCATCAACGAGGTCCTCGACAAGTCCGGGCTGCTCGAGATTGAGAAGAAAGTATGCTATGCCCCTCACCTGTCCCATTCCCATACCTTCACTCCTCCCTCAATTCCTCCCATCGATCCTATGCTTATCCGCATACTAGGTCTGAACACATTATATATGGAGTTTCATAACTAACCACACAACCCACCCCACATCCAGCTCACGCACGCCCTCGCCCTCGTCCTCGTCCATGACTTCCTCTTCAACAAAGGCGGCATCGCCACCTCCACGGGCCCACTCAAAGAGTCCATCCTGCGGCACAAGTCCCGCCTCACCTCCGAATTCACGCGCGCCCGCCTCCGCCGCGGCTACTCCACCACAGCCGCCCTCCTCGCCGCCGCAAACGCAACGTCAATGCGCTTCCCGCGCTGGGTCCGCGTCAACACGCTCAAGACCACCGTTGCGGACGTTCTTGCCCGCCACTTCAGCGACCACAAGCCCGTGCGCCTGTTTGAGGAGCTCTTGAGCGAGGATATGACGCGGAAGACGGTCTATGTCGACGAGTTTGTACCGGGCCTGCTCGGCTTCCCGGCGAGTACGGAGCTCATCGGACATGCACTCGTCGCAGACGGGACGCTGTTTATGCAGGACCGCGCATCGTGTTTTCCGGCTGCGCTGCTGGCGCCGCCGGAGGGGGCGGTGGTGGTGGATGGGACGGCGGCGCCCGGGAATAAGACGACGCATTTGGCGGCGATTGTGGGCAAGGGCGGGAGGGTGCTTGCGTTTGAGAAGGACCCGAAGCGGGCAAAGACGCTGGAGATGATGGTGGGGAAGGCGGGCGCGGAGAAGATCGTTGAGGTGCGCGCGGGGGCTGACTTCCTGTTGTCGGATCCGTGGAGCGAGACGGAGAAGAAGAGACTCGCAAAGGTGTCGCATATACTGCTGGACCCGAGCTGCAGCGGCAGCGGCATCGTCGAGCGGAACGAGTACTCGTACATACCAAAGACCGCCGCCCCACCACCCGCCCCAACTAGCCGCGCAGGTAAGGCGAAGAAGCGCAAAGGCGGCGAAAAGGAAGAAACACCGTTCGTCAAGCCGCTCTCCAAGAAGGAAGAAGAAGAAGTCGCAAAACAGGCCGAGGCAGAAGAGGAGCGCCTCCGCTCCCTGTCAACCTTCCAGACGCGCATCATCAAGCACGCCATGCGCTACCCGGGCGCGCGCTACATCAGCTACAGCACGTGCTCTGTGCACTCACAGGAGAACGAGCAGGTTGTCATGGCGGTGCTCAGCTCGGAGGTTGCGAAGCAGCGGGGGTGGAGAGTGCAGAAGAGGGAGGAGACGGGGTTCCGGCATTGGCCAAGGAGGGGGCTGGTGGAGGAGTGTGGTGGGGATGAGGAGATTGCGGGCGGGTGTGTGAGGTTTGATCCGTGGGCGGATGGCGGGATTGGGTTTTTTGTGGTGCTGTTTGTGAGGGATGGGAGTGTGGATGGGTATGTGCATGTTGAGGAGGATGAGGCGGAGGAGGCGGAGGAGGAGGAGGAGGAGGAGGAGGAGGAGGAGTGGGGGGTATTGTCGATGAGGAGGAAGAGGGGGAGAAAGAGAAGGCGGCGGGGAGAAAGAGGAAGTTTGGGGAGGGGGGTGGAGGGGCGAGGAAGGCGAGGAAGAAGGAAGGGGCGGGGTCGGGGTCGGGGGCCGGCGCGGGGGCCGGCGCGGCGAAGAGGAAGAGACCTGTTGGGGAGAGGGAGGGGAAGGGGGGAAGGCGAGGAAGGTGGTGGAGTCTGCGGGGGGCGTGAAGGAGGCCGCGGGGGGGGGGAAGAAGAAGGAGGAGGTCACGGGCGGAGGGAAGGAGGAAGAGGCCACGGGGAAAGGGAAGAAGGGGAAGGGGCCGCAGGAGAAGATGATTCGCCCGAGACGACTGATGGGGGCGGGGAAGAAGTAGTCTTGGTTACATGTAGTTAGTAGGTATTATTCATAGATAGCTGGGAGGGGAGGGGGGTTAGTGAGCGGAAAAGGCGGCCGTGGAAAAGTTCAATTGTATATTAAGAATTGATTGCTAATGGCGCGTTTGTCTTGTAACTAATTGGCTGTGGATTGCATTGCATATTGATATTGGGGGCTTTAACGTCCCCTTGGTTGCTTGTACTTTTGCAATTAATTGTTGGTAATTGCAGTTTATTGTGTTTGATATTGAGCATTAGTTGGGTATTACTGTTTCTCTAAGCACTTACTGTAAGAACTTGTGAGAAATAAGCATCATCGCCAACTGGCCCTAGTTGAAAGTCGGAAGTTATGGATCTATGTGTTAACCAGGGGCTGGGGTGGTTTCAAAGGATTTTGAGAACTGCCATCTCTCTAGTGCGTCGTCTTTGTTGTCATTTCGGTCATTTCCACACGGGTCTCTCAGTCACCTCCGGCGATCAAGCCGCACGCTCGAATAAAAAACCCAACCAGGAGATATTTGTAGGGAATCATTCGAGTAAGATAGAACTTGAATGGTAAACTCCAACTTATCTCCAGATATTTGAATTGGGCAATGGGCATGTGGGGGAGAAAAAGGGTGGACACTGGACTGGTTGCATCCTGCCCCAGCCAAGTCACACTAGCCCTAGAAATTTTTTCGATACAATGAGTTTTTACCGACCGGCTGCCATGATTCAGTGGTGTAGTGGTATCACGGGCGCTTGCCATCATAGTTTGCGCCCGACCCGGTTCTTCCCGGCTGATTCATTAACCTTTTGTTTTGTTTTTTTACAGCCAAACTTGTGGGGTAGAGGTGAAATAATGAAGTGCAGTTCTGTAGTGAAGTTAGAAGGTTGTTAAATGTCGGGCATGTTGTATTTATCAGACGACGGAGATGTGTAGCACACTGCGGCGCCTCTATCGGGCCGTATCTCTTTGAGCGCCCGCGAGGCTTTCTTTCTTTCTTTGTAATTCCTCCATGAAATGTCACTCGGTTATCTGCGGTGTACATCGTAGTGAATGGGTGAGTCAACTCCGGAAAGCCCGTTTTTTTTTTTCTATAGCAGCCAGCACCTTCACCGACACCTGACCTGAGCACTGAAGATTGGTTACGCAGCGGTCTGTGGATTGATTGGATACATCTTCTGCTCCCTAGGCCAGATCTCGCAAGCTTTGAGTTTGCACTACTCGGTAGAGCTAGGACCGTATCTGGCCTCAGACATTGGAACATCGACTTGGCGGTGACCGATTGAGTGCGAACGGTTCCGCCTCTGTTCCTCCCTCCTCCCTCATGGCACTGCTTCTGCTGCTCACCCAAGGCTTCCCAATTGCCGCGAGGTATACATCTTGGCTTCTCCTCCTCGAGCTCCTGAAGCTATCTGTCCCACGGGAAACGACTCGGCTGCATGTGGCTATCGATTCATGCCCGGCTCAAGGCGGGCCATGCGAGAATGGATCAGAGACAAGCTCTACGGGAAATAGCTGTAGGTTTGTCAAGGGCTCGAAAAAAAAATTAATCATTTGCTGATTGTTGGGAACAGGAGGGGGCTAGTTTTGGTTTTGTACCTGGTTGCACTTAGTCACGACGACGACTTCTTACTTACACTTCAAAATCAAAACGGTCCGAAATGGCGGACGAAAGAGGCCAGTCCTCTAATCTGACAGAGAGAGGGAAAACTCATAGAGTTCTTTACACAGAGTCCCCCCGAGTGACCAACCATGAAGCATTTGGATCTGGACCGACTACCTACCTACCTTGCAGTAAGTACCGCATTACTAAATTGGTTAGATGAAAAATGAAAGACCAGTAACAACTAACTCAATCTGTCTCGATTATTACGCCAGCTGAACTGCACTGAACCCCACGTGCTCCCTGAGACACCCCATGCGTTGTCTTGTTCGCTCGAGCTCGGGAGTCGGATATGTATTCAGACACAACTTTGTAGAGGACAGATTCCACTCTACTCTACATGTCCTCCGATGCACGAGTGTTCTGCTCCGGAAATCTTTTTTTAAAGTTGATCGAAGCTAGGGTTGGACGAAGCCACAAACAACCGCCCCTGATTCATGATGTTTTACCTGTTATCCAATCGCAGGTACGCCGCGCGCGGACGCACTGGCCCTCAATAAAGGAAAGAGTTTGTTACAAGTAAATTGTGTTATTATTTGAAGTATGTACTATTCTTTTCCATGAATCTGACTATGCAAGGGGGATTTCTCACCAATAGATAAGTGTTGTAGAGACGTTTCGTCCAATGGAAAGGCACATGATTTGTGACATTTACACGTTCATTCCACCACGATTCCTTCGTTTGTGCAGCCACTCATGATCGAGATCACACAGACACAGAAACTCAAACTATGGTTCTCAATTCCACGATAGAGTTCGCTGAACCTAAAGGCGACGGCGTTATTTAAAGGTTATCTTTGGCTACTTATCTACATATCCGTGATCTAAGACAATCCACATCCATTCACCGATGTGATATCCTTGGTACGTAACAAATTTAAGATTTAAGGTACAGATAGGTACATACATGTACTGAGGTATGAAAGCCAAAAACAGGGGGCTTGGAGGTACCACCAAATATAGCCAATGTGATAGGTCAGTAACAATTCCAACATGAGCAAAATCATGACAAAAATAAAAACTTAGGCACTTTCCTAAGATAGAGTACTTACCTACCATGGATTTCTTACCTACAAAGGGTCTTTCCCTACCCACAATGTCAAGTGGGATTGAATCCCTGCCTAACCGAGAAGAGGATTTACGTGGCATGCATAATTGATGCTTGCCATGGGGAAGTCTTTTCGGCTGAAAATTACTCATGCTTGAGCTGAGCCTGCAAGATGGAGGGAATAAGGTATTTACCAATGGTTCCTCGACGTTGCCTCTCTTGCTCACAGCGTGCAGATAGCCTACCACCAAGCCTCTCCCGATTAGGAGACAGCTACAAAACCACGAGTGATCCCCTGTGAAAGCCGCACGTCCTGCAGTCGCGCTGTCAACAAAAGTTACTCAATTTAACCTTCAATTGCGCCATGAACCGGTGAATTATTAAATAAAGTTGAATGTAGATTCCCCGGGCTTAACGTACAAAGCCGAGATATTCTAAATTTCAAAAAGGTAATAATACATATAGCTACTCCAGCGCACCCGCCTACAAAGAAAATATATAAAAAAAAGTTCCTGACAACGATAGAGATATAGTAACCCGATGACCCACGAAACCTTTGATAGACAGCCCTCCCAATTACAAAAGAAAAATATGACCATGTTTGATCTGAGTCTGAAGTTTCGCTTAATGTATGTATCACACCTGAAGGGCTCGAGCTAGAATATTTTGTTCCTTCTCGAGTACAAAAAAAAAAAAAAGGGAAAAAAAAAGAGTAGATGGGGTAATTTATGATAAAAACAATACGGGGAATAAAAGACTTATATCGGAACCCAATAAAGAGAAACAAAACACGCCAGATAATAAAACGAGAGAGCAAAAACCAGACAAGAAACAAAAACGAGGTGACTAGTATAGGTGTACCCTGCAGAGATAATAGTAGAAACGACAGCCGGGGGGAATAGAAAATCAACGGGATATGAGATGAAAGGATGTTTTCGCGAAAATTTACAGAAAAACCAAGACAAACATAAGAAAGCATCTGGATATATGATATGAAGATATATGCTTGAAGGCAATAATAGCAACCAAACAGCGAAGAAAACGCAATCACGTCCACCAGAACATGTGCAAATGCACGAAAAAAAAACCCCAATCCCATAACTCTTCAGACTATTCTCTGATCATACTTTTCAACACCTCTAACTGAAAACACAACCTCCCTGATATATCTCGGCTTTAGATATCATTAATAATAGGATATTCTACCCGGTCGACGGATCGAAAACATTCCTTCAATGAATAATGCCAGGAAAAACAATTCGGTACCGAAACGAACGAAAGTAGAGGAAGAAAGGAAGAAAAAAGGAAGAGAAAATAACGATGCCCAAAGACCATGCCACGCAAAAAAAAAAAAAAAAAAAAAAAAAGCCACAGACAAAAGGAAAAGTGGAGATGACAGAACTAGGGAATATGCAAGATTTAAACCGAAATATAAAAAACAAGTTAAAAAGGGTATGTAAAAAAGGAATTTGTTCGCCACCCCTACAAAAGCACCGAGATATCCCAAGAGCTTCCCGAAAGAAAAGAAAAATTGCACCCCAAACCCCTTTCCCAACACCCGCTCTTTTTTCAACTGTTGTCAAACACGATAACGCATATGGCAAATGATCCTCATGCAGCTTCTATAGTCGCCTGAAAAAAATTATGGTGGATCCCCGAAAAATAAAAGCTCTTTTTAAACGCCTCGTCCGTATTGGGTCGTTAGAAAAAATGCGTATAAACTTTGGACTCCTCATGAACAGCCATTTCCTAGACAAATTATTAGCGCGTTTTCTAACATTATCGGGAACTAAAATTATCAAACTTACCATTTTGAACGTATTCAACTCCTCCTTAATCTGCTGAGCAAGCATAGGTGTTAACCTGTTACAGGTAGCAATCTCACCCCTTCTATCATATTCGCCGCTAGGCCATGTGTCGTGAAAAGTAATTCTCGGGCTAAAGCTAACGTTGTATTTGGCAGCTGACGCAGGCGATGTAGGTGCACTCGCAGAGTTGCCTGCAGAAAACCTGGGCCCAGAGATAAAATAATCCTCATCGCCCCTGACCGAGTCTGACCTCTGTTTTCCATGCGGCCTTTGATTCTCTGGAAAGTTGGAGGGATCTGATGGCTTGATGATCGGAGACGATGAACTGGATCCTATAATCATGTTAGCCTAAACCCATAGATGAGTAACTAGTTGAACATACGTTTCAAGATTCCTTTCTTTACAGCAGCCAGAACCTCAGCCCGATCTTGCGCCCCACCAACAAAGCTCTTCCTAGCAGCTTCGGTATCATTCGCATTGCTAGATCTCCTCGCAGTGCTTGGCTCACCAACTTTGGGGGTCTCAAGTGAATTGTTCTCCAACTTGGGGAACCCAGTACCACCACTTGTCTGATCACGAGCATCCGCGTTGACGTTAACCTTCTCCCTCTCGGCCTCAACCGTAACCATCGATACTTGTCCCATACTTGCCTGCGCGGTGACCGGCCCACTAGCTGCAGGCACCCCAACGACAGATTTCGGCCTGAACAATCCCACCAATGATCGTGTTGATTTCTTCATTCCCTTCCCCATCTTCCTTATCATAATCGATGCCGAAGACGCAGTTGAAGAAACAGAGATATTATCAGTTGATCCAGTGAAGAAATTTCCTTGCCCATTGTAAATCCCCTCACCCAACCCAGCTTCCTCTTGCCTCTGTGCAATCCTCAGCTGCTCTGCATTCTGTTCTTCGCGAAATTTCTCTTGACGAAGTCTAGCACGCTCAGCAGCATCCTCACCCCTCATGTTGTTGACCGCTGATACCTTACGCAGTTCAGCTGCGCTACCAAATGAGAAGGCGCGACGAAGCCTGTTTTTCATGCCTTTCTTGGGTACATCAGGGATAGCTTCGAGTTGTTGAGTGGCTGATCTTGTAAGCGCCGGCGGGGCTCCGTTAGCGTTGCTCTGGGGCTCTGGGAAGGTTTGGTAAGATGAGGTCGAGTCGGCTGCCATGTTCACAGGTTTTGAAAGCGGAGAGGGGGCTGTGACTCGCTTATTGCCATCTGTGGATGATCCACGAGGGGGGACCTGAGACGGGTTGATTTCGTGTGGTGTTGAGGATCCGGTATTTGAGTGATTAGAATGAACCGAATTTCGGTTGCTCTGAGCGATAAATTGTTAGCATGTATACATACAGTTCGTAGATTGAATAAGCCAATTACCGAATTGGGCCTCGAAGAATTTCCTGAGTTGGTGCTGTCGGTACTGCCGTTTCTCCTGTTTCCCGGTCGGTGGGAGGCCTGACCCGGTCCCGAGAGCTGTATCGACGCTGGATTCGACATTGACCCCACCTCTTGTCGTACGAAAGTTGAGAAACTTTCTGGACTGAACGCATCAGGGCCAACTGATCTCCTCCTGTTTTGCATTTGTTGTTGTGTAAGAGATTGTTGTCGATGGGCATGGATGTCATCCACCGACTGACTTCTCAATTGACCAGCATAGTCCCCAATGAAGGGGGCCTTAACGGCTGCCCCAGGAGCTGGGCCTTGTGTTAGCGAGGGGCTGCTGATCGACCTAGACGGTTGATTGTAAATGGCAGCCACAGCAGCCATTCCAGACCCGCTGGGTAGAGCGGACACACTGCCAGTAATGACAGCAGATTCTGGTCTTTTATTACCCGGGCGGCGGTATCGATCAGGGCTTGGACGAGTGGTTGATGTTGCCACTTGTGGAGGCGGGAGGCTTGAGGTGGATATCATGGAAAGGGGTCGAGGGCTGGGCGAGTATACAGGGCTGCGTCGTCACGTGAGCCAGAAGGTGCTACGCCCTGGTGTCGAGATGACGGATCCGAAGAGGATGAGGAAGATGACGATATGGAGTCCGGAGCAGGGTAACGGTTTCGTGAGTCGTCAGTCTTCGAAGACGTCCTCTCGCCAATCTTGGGGGGTTGCTGCTTGGTAGTGCTCGAGAGACCTGGAGTGCTGGTAAACGCATATGGAGCAACAGGAGCGGTTGTGTATCCACTGCGATATCCACCACCACTAGCACCGTTGTTGCTGTTGCTGGAGCCGGAGTTACTGTTGTATCCGCCCATGTTTCGAGGCGTGGTCAAGTGGTGCTGGTTGGTATGCGCTGATTGTGTCTGGGCGGACTGAAGACTGTTAGAGGCAGATTGGGGGCGCGACTGCATTAAGCTAACTTGCGAGGGTGACTGCTGAGCTGGGAACGACTGGACAAGAGCTGCCATGTTGGAGCGGTCCCCGCCTCTAGTGCTGGATGGTTGACTGGACGTCGTTTTGAAGGAGACTGTACAGACTTTCAAAGAATATTACCGTTACTTGTTGTTTTTGCTTTCTCTAGTGGAGAATACGCTTAGAAGGTAGTTGTGGCAGAGTCTAATCAGGATCGAAATACGAGTGTCAGTCGATCAAGATTTCTTCAAAAGGCCTTCCATGAACACGCTGGCGAAGAAAAGATTGACCGATAAAAATTGGTGGAGGACAGGTATTCTGATTTCAAGGCATGATGAGGCTGCTAAAGGGTAAGGAATGGATCAGGAAAGGATTAAACGAACCCCTTTCTCTCTTGGAAGAAGAGACGCTCTGCAATGTATGATCACAGGAATCCGGCTCGGATCAGATTAAAGAAAATAAGGCAAAATGTTCACAAGAAGCGAAGGATTAAACACGATGAACGGACACAGAGGACCCAAGTACAAAAGCCTGAATGTGGAGGAGAATGGAGTTAGTTCCGCTCAGCTCGTCGTGCCAGGTCGTTAATTGGGGGCTGGGCGAAGGGGGAATTAATGAACGAATGGTATTGGTTTATGTGTTTCCTAGATGTTTGTTTCCACTTCCACGACAACCAATTGTTGAAGAAGATATCAAGAAGAGAGATGGGGGGAGGGGAGTGTGGGGTGGGGAGGGGGGAGGGCTACTTTTGTTGCAGCCAAGGGGGGATAGTGAAGAGAAGGTGACGGTAGAGGTTGAGGAAGTGAATGAGCGTCGGTGGTTGCAAAGTAGTTGTAGGTGCGTATGCAACAACAGGGATAGGGGGGGGGGGGGGTGAGTGAAGGGGGTGGAGGGGTGTTATGTGTGGGTTCAGTGGGAAGGGATTGAAAGGGTTCGAATAAGGGTGTCTGACTGACCAGGAGGAATACAAGCGAGTGAAATGGTGGCTTAACGAGGGAAGTCGAGTAGAAAGGAAAGACCTGCTGCTGCGGAGAAGACAAGAGCAGGTAGGAGAGATATGGAGGGTTGGGGAAAAAAAGTTGTGAGAAGAGAGTTAGGTTAGAGGAGGGAAGAGAAAGGGAAAAGGGAAGAAGAATAAGAAAGAAAGAAGAGACAGCAGCCAGGCACAGGCACGCACACAAGCAGGCACAGGTACAGCAGGTACGGTACAGACAAAGTGCCAGACCAGACACACACACACACACACCAGGCAGAAAGATAGATGGGATGGACAATAATACAAATGAGAAAGCGGCTCCAGGGCGAGCAGAGGCCGAATGGAGAGAAATGGCAGGGGGGGCAGAGCAGTCCCTTTTGTCAAAAAGGAGAGAGAGTAAGAAATAGGATTCTACTTACAGGAGTAGGTAAGTGAATGAGAGAGTGAGTGCTACACCGGCAAGCTAAGGAAGGAGCGGTCGGTTAGCCGTGCAGAGAGCTAGGCCTGTAAGGAAGTGAGAGCGTTTCTTGGCCCTGTCTTTTGGCCTTCGCGATTGCACATGGGAATTCCAGAGACCTGCAAAGAAGGTCCGGAAGAAAAAAAAAAAAAGAGTGCGGATATTAAAACATAATCGTGAGTATCACCACCAAATTGTAACTCAAAGATCTTTCACAACGTGATATTATCTTGACCAGAATAGATGTATGTAAATGTACACGTGCATCTCCTAGCTACAAAATTGAAGTCATGTACCTCATGTATATATACAGTCTGGAGAATTGACACCGTAAACTAAAACGAAATTCGCCGGTGCGGAAATGCAATATTATATAGCGCGCTCGCTGTCGATGATTAAACAGTTCCCATTCATAATTCGTAAGACACATGCTCTATCAATCTGCTATCTTACGCTTTCATCTGTCTGTTGTGCTCGTTGAGGTACTGGGAGATCGAGAGAACTCTGGGGACGGGTCCATAGAAAAGAAAGTTTTTTTTTTAAAAAAAGGGAGGGACAAACAAGAGACGCGTCATATTTCCATCAACACCGAGCGCCTGTCACGGCAGCTATTCTCAGTTTTCCACACCATTCCGTGTAGACATGGCATTATTGGGAGCAGATCGAACGACAGGCGGACGCAAGTAACATCTTGAAACGCTAGTCTACTTTCTATGGTGGTGTTATTGCATGGAAAAAGTACCTGCTGCGCACTTGTAGGTAAGTACATACTCTAGGCTGTACCTACTCCCAAGCAGTATTTCCTTACTTTACTCATCGATTGACTGTCCAACCCGCGTTATGTATATACCTACGCACTCACTCTAGCACTGTTTTAATATTTGTTTCTCATGTCAAGTAAAACGCTCAGTGTTTGTTTGTAACAGCAGCTCAGGAGGAGGAGAGGCAGGGTGCTGCTACACGAAGCTTGGGAGAAGGGGCAGAAAAAAGAAAAAAAGGGTCCTGCATAGCGACGACGTGCTACTGTAGTGCGTGCATAAGGTACAGCTTCCGGATCCGCTCCTTTGCCATGTACGTACGGAATAACTCGTCATTTAGTAATGATTGTTTCCTTAGAGCTTTCAGACGACATTAGCCCTTCTTTACACGATTGATAGTCTGCTCCCACCATTACTTATTCCGCACTGATTTTTTCTTCTCGCCTGAGGCTGTCAGTGGTTCGACTGCCCGAGCCGGCCCTGCCGATTCACCGCCGACCTCACTCGCTCACTTCATAGGCAGACCACACAGTAGAACCTACATATTTTACTACAACTACATACATGTAGGTACTTACTCTACTCTAGTGCTCTCTGCTAACGCCCACACATCCTTGGTGCAGCTCCGATCATAGGTTGTGTCGGCCAGCGCTCCTCTCCGGCCTTAATCTTTTTTTTCGGTCATGAGTAAATTTACCCTCTCGTAAATCATCTTGTATCTTATTACCGAGGAAAGTACGCGATGATTTTGTACATGGGGATCCGCAAGTTAATATCCACCTTCCCTTCCCTTCCCTTCCCCCTATGTGTACATGTATGTACATATGTACCTGTATGTACATACATGTGCTGTAGGTACTATGGGTGTATGGTGAATACTATTCGCATCCAAATCCTACACAAATCCATCTGCAAGGTTTTCAACCGGCAATAGACAGCCTCATATTATCGCTATGTATTATTCAAGATACCCTGGTAGACTTTACTCAATGCCTACTGTCTCACGGCGCAGACAGGCAGCACTAATAGTAAACCAAAAAGGCCCGGATCTTGATAAATATAAGCCGGTAGATCATGTCTGAAAAGAAGGCGAGTACCAAGCCAAGGTAACAATTAATTGGCAAATCAAGGCCCCCCCCCCCCCCCCCCCCCCCCGGGCCCAGTCCGACCCATAACAAAGCTAGTCTATGCGGCTTTCCATTCGAGATCGTGGGGAAGGACCCTTTCTTCCTTACTTCCTTACCTACTTCCTTCGCATTTTCCCGTATCTGTGGTTTGTCGCACAAAACGGGCTACGTTAATCACTATTTGGGTTGAAGGGGACAACCCTGTTTGGTATCTATGGTATATAAACCGACAGGCATTCTCCCAGGACGAAGACCGCTCTAGCTCCCTCTTATTATTCTGTTTATAGCTATACGTGGCAGTTGAGAATACAGCATATATACATGTATGGCTGTATACTAGAGCAATACAATTCGGAGACGCAGTATAAAAAGGCATATGCTTCCCGCACCCCGAAGGCCGATGTGACGTACAAATATTCCGTGTCTGCGACGACTGCGAGATGAATGCTTCGAATTGCAAATTCCCTGTCAACACTGTAGGGGAAAAAACGCCTGATCTACGGATATTGGTGCTAACTTCGCGAATCGCAAATATTTAGTAGGGTCGTGAATATATAGTCAACGTATCGGGCATTTCTCCGCCGGTCCCATGATGGAGTTGGATCACATCAAGAATATAGGTGGGGTTAAAGTTGTTTCGCCTTAGGAACTCCGAATATGATCTGGCTCCCGGAATTTTCAATGAAAGTTCGGTTGTATGACAGGAGACGGACCTTGGGGGCTAAAAGCAGCAGAGGCATTTGCTGCCCATTGAGATCGATCCAATTCAACTTTGATGAATTACAGTACTCAAAAAGAGATCTTCGGTCTGTAGTAGATAACCATAGATTGTGCATGTCGCAAGAAGATGGGCATTTCGTGGTACATATTATCACAGACAATGTTTCGTCGTCTTCCTTTAATAAGAAAACAAAATTATGAATGAGGCGAATGCTGACAAGGGTCCCGTATATATCCCTTCCTAGACCCTTGTCAATTCCCCCCCACGCTTATTGGGTCGTGAGCCGAATGCCCCCCCTCCTCATAGAGCCCATGCTGTGAAGAGCAGCTCACGATAGCAGTTTTTCTGGGAATGCTCCTGCTGGGATGTTGTAAGTGATCGTGAGTTTTAAGCTCAGAACACTAGGAAAAATGCTCGCTTTGAATTGCACCTACATGATTAGTAGTCAAATTCAAGCCGATATCAAAGTTAAAATATATCCATAAAGTTGATATTTAGGCAACACCCCACGGGAAGAATAAAGTGCCCACATGTGCAGAAGGTGCACTACAATTCATCTATTCAAGACACGTACGGCTAGGCACGATCAATATCGCGGGGGATGATACACACATCCACCACCTAGGGAGAAACGAAAAAAAAAAAAAAAGAAGCCGGGTCTGGTGCAGATATGCAAATAGGAAGTTGATGCCCGGGTCGCTAGAGTCCTGCCTGATGCTTTCGGACGAAACTGCCCGAAAGCTACGTCATTTACCACTCGCTTAGCGTCAGCAGTCCCCGTTTAATTGGCTCGCTTAGTGCCGATATCTGGCTAGATCCGCGATTAAAGATTAGATCTAAGACCCTGATAAACTGGTTGTTTGTTTCTACTAATCCAGCTGTGCCAGGTACGAAGAATAATAACTCAACAGATATCATAGATCTTCAGGTTCGAGATACACAATCCATGCCCCTCTGGCCATCTCTTCGGCATTGATAACTCGATGTGGCTGTCAGGAACAATGACGGGCTTCCATGGCACGGCACCCACCACCGTCAGGTTTTCCAGAGCTCGGGAGTCAATGTGGTTCGACCAAATTAACCTCCAGATACAAGACACCCTGTGGCAAATGGTGTGGAGTAAAAAGTATATCTTTTGTGCAAACTGTCACCTTGCACAGAATATATGATTTTGACTCCACACCCTAAGCTGTAACAGCACACCACATGGGTTTATGCACGGCCAGCATCATATGCACCATGCCTCTGCTTTTACGGATCCGAAACCTCGTTTCTCGCCGCGTTTGACAAGATAGGTCTATAGTCCAAGGAATCTCGTGATTACAGTTACACGGCTAATTGCGCAACGTGCAGCATCGTAACCAACCGCTTCCCTCCTCTCCTCGACTGCTCCTTCATCCTTGAGGTGGAGTTTTTGAATCTGACTGGACCCCAGACGTTCTGTGCCTCTTAATATCTCACATTTGTTTGTTCTTGTGTGATGTGAATTATAGCCTCTTGATGTGCGATGATGTTTACCTTTTGGTTCCTAGAGTACTGTTGATGTTGACTTTTTTTATTTTATTTTTTTATTTCATTTTTGCCGGGATGACCGGAACCCCTCCATCTTATTTTAGTAATGTCTGTTCGCGGTCAGTGGGGAACCTTCTCTAAATGATATAGAGCAGAGTATGGTACAGTCGGGTAGCTAGACATGGGTGCATTTGCTGCAAAAATTGCCCTATATAGTGCATACATGTACGTACTCTACATGTCTGAGCACATTTCATTTCGTAGATCGCTTTGGCAAAGCGATTGCAAAGTTCGTGAGTCAGGTGTGCATTTGATCGCGGTAGGCGCTTTTGCCTCGTTTTTTCCTTCCCATCTGGCCCGGTATGGAAGGAGAAGGATGGGGGCAGGTCCCTGGTGTTGTGTAAGTGCAAGTCGACATATGGCGACTTCTACTGCACCGTTCAGTGCTTGGCAACAGCTAGACCGGGTGATGGCCGATCAGTTGGCTAAATTTAACTTCTGCAGGGCAAGGGTTTTTGCGCTAGTAACGTATCTACAACTTCAGGATGTAGAGTATGTTGAGTACTCTAGAGTAGGTACAATCCATAGTGTACGTACAGGTAGGGTACTATGGTGTAGGTATACAACAAAGTCTCTCTTCTCCCTCCCTCCCGCAACACTGGACGAACTGGCAAGGTTAACAATACGACCGTACACCTTTGCCGTTAGTATGTAAGTATGTAGAGGTAGGTACTCTGTGTATCGTTGTCTGAACCTTTCTTCCTCATGCAAGCGCGGTATTTACTCCAGATGCCAGCCTGCATCCCAAGGGCGTGCTGCCTGCTCTACAGGGGCGGGATACTGTTGGCTGTTGAACCCGTTGGGCGGACTGACATCGGGAGGATCGCTCATCTGCTGTCTGACTTACACGATGTGGAACAGCAACAGCCAAAGGAGATGAAGAGCAATTCCCAGCATGAATAGTTTGGTGGGTTTGAGACCTTCCATGATCCTGCAGTGCCCAGGAATTTCGGGCTAGGTTCCATTACTTGGAAATATCACCACCTATCACAAGATAGCAAACAAGTATTGGAGGGGGGTTATATGGGTGATCCAAGAAACACTAAATTCTCAGGTGGTTCGTTTCTGTTTCGACATCGATTAATATTTCCTTTTTCTATTTCCACTACAGGGTTCTGTTTTATACTGACCTGGGTATCGTAGCTCATGTAGCTACCACAAAATCTAGAACATGTAACTGAAGAGGGTTCCTTTGCTCCACCACACTCCTGTGCCGAATACCCTGGCTCGGCTATCCAGTCTTTCCTTGTTACCATGGACTTGGGTCTGACGACTTGACGCTCAAGCTTTTGCATTGAGATCTCAATAGATCCCGAGCATCCCTTACATCAAATAACTGCATGGGTCGACCTTGCTGAAGAAGGAATGTTTGACCAAGTGCCCATCAAAACGGGGGGCAAAAATAAGCAGTTGCCAGATGATCATTGCGTATCTTCTGCCGTTGAATGTTCTGGGTTTGTTTTCTCGAAGTTATGGGGTGGAGGGGCAATTAGCTCCGTTTGTGGGGTGCTAATGTTTCTTCCTATCGGAGCTTTTAGGGTTGTCTGGAAGTCCTTCCACTCGAGCTCATGATACGACTGACGGGGTTTTGGCTCGTCCTACGCTTATACATCCCCAAAGCGAGAATGTGAGCTATCGTCCTAAGCAAGTACAATACTCGAGGCACTGAATCATGGAAAGTACGTACTCAATGTCTTCTTGTCGAAAAAAAGTTGAAAATGTTTACTAAACATGACCCATTTTTTCCTAAATATAGTGGTGCCACTACCAGCTGAGCTTGACTGAGGACGGTTCTTGACTAGCCGAATACGAAGAAGTACCAGACTACTTACATGAGAAGGGGCTGGCCCCGGATCCGGGTTCGTCTTGAACGGGTAAAAGCTGCCAGCTAGATGTGGACCTGATAGGGATTCGGCAGACAATATTGAGACAGACCCTGCAGCTAGCTATCCAAAGAGAATTTTAAGCACTTAAGTGGGGATGTAGTTGCCATTATCCATCCAATTAATTTTTTTCCCTTGAATCACTCCTTATCTTTTCCCATAGGGTCGGAGGAATGTTCAGTGGCTTGGTAACTTACAAATGCGGGGAGATGGGGCCTTCCAGTTTTTTTTACAAGGAAAACGTCATGGTGCGGGTATCTAGTGACCTGGGCACCTGAGTTTAAGAGTCCATTTGACTGCACGACGGCTGAGAGGAATAGAATACTAGGAATACCCTGCTCTGGCTATTCAGAAGCCGCTGTTTTTCAGCTACCTACTCTACTCCAATGCGTATGCCCTCTCTAGGTATCCGGAGGTCTTGTGCGCTCATCGAAAGATGATGATCTAGAGATGGCGCGTGCACACCGTGACGGGGATCAGTCTGAAATTGGGAGAGGGAGGGTAGATATGTAGTCTAGAGTACAAAGAATGCAGGGAATCTTGAGCAAGTAGAGTAGAGTACATGCAGGTAGAGTAGCTGTCTCGTCATCATACCAGACTTAGCTAACCCCCACCACTTGCTGGGAGACTCAAAGGTGGTTTCTAATTCATTGGACCGGTCTCCGGATCCACGTACTCTACAACCTGTATGTGCATACTGAAGCACGGACACAAGTAGATAGGTATCCCAGTTCGAAAAGTCTTACAGTTACAGTTCGCCTTTCATGTAGGGACAAGCAAGAAGGCTTGGACATGCAAGTAGGTACTCACTCAGGGCAGGCAATATCTACCGAACGACGCAGCTCTTTCTCACCAATCGATAAGACGTACCTTGGAATATTACTCCCCCATCAACCGATGGGTAGTAATTATGTCTACACGACAATTCCTCCAATGGAAGACCCCTGCCCCCCCCCCGGGGGTAGATTACGTGTTCAGATTTCTTTGTCAGCTTCGATTCAGACATTTCTGCATTTTGTAGATCAGACACGATCCAGCTCGGGGTATATTGAATGGAACGGATTGCGAATATCTGTTGTGAAAAGGCGCGTTGAAATCACGATTGCGTGCACAACCAGTCATATACCACCATCCCGTATGGACATGGCCACATATATTATACATACCGAGACAGTAAACTACAAGTACCTAACGAGGGTGTATTTACAGGCCATCGATATAATATGCTTACTAACCTTGGCGAGTAGTGCTAACCGGCCGATCGGTAACTGCGCTGAGTGCTTAGTTCTGGTGGAATAATAGGAATTATATATATACATATACATAAGAGGTAACAATAGAACTTCTAAGATCAAGTATAGTCTTCAATGTAATTTCCTCTTTGAACCTTTCTAGATCTAGATCTTCATCTAAGGGGTGTTACGTACCATGTTTTATGTTTATGCCGGTCTTTTCTTGAAACTTATTCTTTCGGATTTGTATTTATTAAAAAAGAGCTCTCGCATTACCAATCTTTCTTTATGTGCGGAAGAGTCATTTTTCTACCTGCCGGCCCCCCAAAAGTACGGCATGTCTTTCCTGCCGCTTTACTTCACAAACTATCACTCGAGCACATGGGACAACTATTCGCATAACAATAAATTGGATTTCCAGACAAAGTAAAGAGAACCCGTAGAGGCCAACAATCAAACCAATCCAGTCAGAACTGTGCTCCCTATTTTCCAATCCAGTAAATAAAGAAATAAAGAAATAAACAGATTCCCCTCCAACTTGATCCCCCATATCACCATTTTCCCGGAGTTACCACTCCCGTATACATTTCGAAGGTCTCCCCTCCCGCCCCCAAGAAAAGACCTTAAGCGGCAGTACATGTGATCTTGACGCTCTTTGTGGTACCGATCACCTCCTTCACGTCGATAACAACCGTATGTAAATCGGAGTTCTTATAAACTTGGTGCTCCACCCCACCCTCAACATTCACAGTCGTCTTGCTCACATCGACGATGCTGCCATCGAAACCTGGTGCGTACCAAAGAATGATGGTATAATAATCACCCACCTCTTTGGAAGGGTCGTATCCATTGTGTTTTGGCTCAATAGTGACAGTACGCGTCTTGTCTTTTGACGTCTTTGAGGTAAACAGAGAAATATTAGCATGATGTCAGGAAGTGATACAAGTCAAGGGCGGTATTACTTGTGTGACAGCAACTTTGCGGTGATAACCCTTTGCTTCTGGGTCGGTTCCTGAGATGTTGTAACCCGTCTTCTTTCCAATCTGCTTTGCGATTTCCGCGCCTTCAACCTTCGACTGTTCGTGGGTCTCTTTGTACTGTGGGAGGTCTTCCGGCGCACTATCACGGCTAACACCATCATCAAGATAGGTACAGTACTCCTGTATTTTGAGGAATGAAGTCAGTAAGGGTAAAGAAAACCAGCGATGGAATAGATGCAGGGTGATCATTGAATTTTACCTTATCCTTTCCAGGGTAGATGTTGAACTTGATGCGGTTGGCTCCCCCCTGGCCAGTCCATTGGCGTACTTCGATTTGCGGGATGATGGCACCTGTAGGTTCATAGCGTTAGTTACTAGCTAAATGTATTTGAAACTGGGAAGAGATTATTTTACTGCTTACCCTCTCTAACGTAGACTGGTACCACGCTGTGGAAGAGATTATAATCCTCGGGTGCAACAATCCTAGCAGTATAATTGATGACACTACCACCTTCGACAGGATTCCCCAAAGCGACTCCTTGATCGTCCCATGGTCTCAAATTTGAGGGGTACCAGGTGTGGTAAAGAGGGAGATAGACATCTCTGTTTTCGCCTGGAATTTCTTTGCGACTGTGGAGGATGGGTGCAACAAGAATGTCGTCACCAGCCATATATTGGTTGTCGAGGAACTTTTGGCTCTCGTTGAAGAAGGTGGTATCCTCAGTATCGGTCAAGAGCTAGAAACCCAGGTTCAATTGGTTAGCATATGTTGCTCTGGAAGCCTAGGATAGAATACATACCATAGATCTGGTGATTGGCATACCGTCGACTACGTTTTGAAACATGCAGTCGTAAAGTAGTTGGATGAGGGAGTATCTAAGCTCCACATAGTACCTACAGATCTCCAAAACGGATTTATAGAGCCATGCTTGGTCTGCGAGTTCTGGATGGGTTTCAAGATGCTTGGGGTACGCGTATGGTTCCTAGATTATATCTTAGTATCTTCAATGCTTCAAAGATAAGAAAGGATAGATTACCTGGAACCATTTCCTGTCCTTTTTGACATAATGGTTCCTGAGCCACGGCAAGAGGAATGAACCAGTATACCACCTGATGAGTAGCTCTGGGCTACAGTATTTCTCCTCGACCCCATTTGCATCACGGTAGGGTTCAAAACCACCCGTATCAGACCCCGCGATGCACACACCATTGAGGCCCAGAGAAAGAACTTGAGAGACCGATATCTTCCAGAATTCCCAGTTACTTGCATTATCCCCAGTCCAGAGACCAGCAAAACGATAGGCTCCGGCATAACTTCCACGCCCGAGGATGAAGTTTCGTTTGTTCTTACGAGATTCGAGACGACTAAGACCATGCCAAGTTGCTTTGTGGAGATTGTAGGAGTAGAGAGCCCAAGTTTCAATTGCGAGCTTTTTCTCAGAGGCATTGGTGACGGAGTCTGAGGTGACGAGTAGACGGGTGGGCAACCCTTTCATGTCTCCATATGATGTGTGGATTGCTGGGGTAGTCATGTCTTGCCACACAAATTCCAGTCCCATATCGAAGAGATACTTGTACTGCATTCCCCACCAGATACGAACCTCCTTTCTGTTGAGGTCCGGGTAAAAACCTGCCTACAAATTTTTGTGTCTAGTTAGTCCTTATAAATTTCATTATGTTGGTGAGATATCGTCACTTACACTACCGTTCCATAACCGTAGCTCACACCACCATGATAGGGGTATTGTTTGCTGTTGAAGTTCGCGGGGAAGTCACTACAAATATGTTAATGCCGCTTACGGGTTACCTATCGTAGTCAAATAAACAACTTACTAGTTGTCTTTAAAGTCTGGCCGACCATTAACATCATTAGGATCGACCTCAACCTTATTACCACCACCGTAGTACATGTACCGAACATCCTTCGCATTCCCACTTGTTCCCTCGGTATATCTGTCGTCCATGATAAAGTATTTTTTGTCAACTCCCTCAAGGAGGGTACTGTATCCACCCTCTCTGTTGTTAATGCTGATAACAGGAGTGATATTGGTGGAGCACTTGATTCCATTATTCCTCAAGTTAGTAAACATCTCTTTGGGGTTAGGGAAAGTGTGTGGGTTGGTGGTGAAAGTTCTGAAGCCGTCCTAGGAATGTTATAAACACAGTTAGAACATTTCTCAAAGCTTCAATGATACCATGGCCATTTACCTGAACATCGACATCGACGTGAATCCCGTCAAGTGGAAATTTACAGTCACGGTACTGCTGGACCACAGAATACAAGTCACTTTCCTGTTGGTATCCATAACCTTTGAAAACGAGGTTAGTTTATTATGCAAGTCTGATAAATCACTCATGAGGGGAAGGACTTACAGGCTTGATGGGCCCCGAGAATATATCTGGGCTTCAACTTTGAACGTCCAACAAGACCTGTATAAAGTCGTACAATTTCCGGGACCGTATCCGCACTGATACCGTAACAATCGATACCACCATACCTGGTTCCCAGCTTGATGTAGCCTGAGTTGGTCTTTCCAAAGTCGATGGCAATTTGAGAGTAGTTATCGATAAAGGTTGCCGTGATATTCTTGTGCTCCGGGTTGGAGTTCACATCAAGATAGAAGGGATCCGAGTGGTACCTTGTTGAAAGATTAGTTATTGGGTTAAGTCGTGCCACAGGACGGTACTTACAGCGGCTCGCGAGAATCGAGAGCACCTTGGGCATAGACTTGCTGGTATTGCATATTGTCGAAGTCTACACTGGGTTAGTAAAAATGACCACCAAGAATTTATAAGGAACCTCTTCGGGGCTTACTAAAATAGTTCATGAACGTTGGCTCCTTCATAAACTGGATACCTCCCATCTCTCCCCACCCCACATACTCGCCATGTCCAGGTTTGACAATGTCAAGAACTGTATCCTTTAGCATCTTGTGTTGCGGATGCAGGTTCTTTCTGAATGTCTTGGGAGACGTTTGCCAAACGACCTTGTCGGACACACGGGCTTCGGCTGCGGCTACATTTGGAATGGGGTAAGGATCCTTCAAAGGGGTCAAGGTGCGCACTACTTGGATGCGGAAAGGGCTTTTCCATAGGTGAATTCTGAGGCCATCGCCGACCTTGTTGCGGGTCCGCTCGGATTTTTCAACGGCGGTGACCTTGGACTATTTAGGGCAGTTAGTTAGTGGTGTTATATATATAGCGGAGCTATAGCAGTACTGGCACTTACTGAGAAGGTAAAGAAATCACCCGAATCCTCACACTTGGTTTCCCACGTAAGACCTCTATAAGTATCCAATTTATTACTCAGAGTACTCATATAATCTTGCACAATTGTCCTCCTATATGTCTCGTTAGTTGATTAGCATATGTTTTTCGCTACCAATAATGACATATGGGGTAACTCACGTATTCTCATCACCATACTCGTCAGAGGTCTTGAAACCAGGGTCGTATCTAACCCTCCAAACGCACGGCCTAATGAACTGAACCACACCTAAAGTCCCATCATCGAATCTCAAGTTCACTCCATGCCAGTTTTTGGGGAACTTGGTGCTCTTTGGAGGAGTAGTGTCTACTCCAATGATTTTTTGAGGGCCCTTCCAGTCTAGCGCAACACTGTAGTAGTCTTCTGCTTTGCAAAAGTTGAGAGGATCAGAAAATCCTGCCATGACGGAGGTATAATGAGATCTAGCTCAAAAAAAGATTGGACAAGATGTTTTGTTCGAAAGATATCAGAGGAGGCCAAGTTGAGGGATGACTGAGCTGGAGTGATGGAGGAGAATGAAGAGGCGAGGAGGGAACGATGGCCATTATATAGGATTCGAGATTAAAACTGGGAATATAAAATTGAAATCAATTTTTATGAGGCCGAGCTATCGATGCTGACTTCATTCCTCATTGCTGCCGCAGTATTGGCAGTTGTAACCAATCAGGTAATGCTAGCCAAAGAGAGGTCGCACACATACCCAATTAAACCTTGAGTACTAATCAGGCGTTATCATCTTTGTGCATCAATGATCTTTGTGCGACCGGATTTTCAACTGCACCTACAACTGTAATTAGAAATATTTGTACAATTTGTTTCTTGTGAGTGCATATCTGCCGCACAGAATAGAATAAACAAAAACGCACCTGTCTCTGGATGCACGTTTTCTTGCTCGCACATCGAAAGAGATCAATTTATGTAGATCATATTGGCAACTGCACTGATCCGCAACCATAATGCTGTTGTGCTCCCTACTTCTCTGGACACCCGGAAGCTCGGGTTTTCAGCTTTGATTTCTCTCCGACCTGTATAGTTTGTTGCATTTGATCAATTGAGCACCTCTCAATTCCACTGAGCCTTTAATTATTTCGATAGATTTTGGTTGGGCATTTAGATACATCTATCCAATCGATTAGAAAAAACACAGGTATTGAAGCATAGTAGTCATCCAGGAGCAGGAACTCAAACAAGAGTATTCGCCCAATCATTGCGGGTAATATTGCACGGGTATGCATTTAAAAGCCGCTTCTCCATGTCCATGCATCTCGGCCCATGTCGCAACACAACCAACTTTTGGTATATTGTTAGAGCTGAAAAAAGTATATCTGTTGGTGGTATACATACATTAAGTCAACACCTACTGTAGTCATACGGCTGTGTTGAGAATTAAGGCATTCTACCGTACCCTTCGGCAATTAGGTTTACAATGAGCTTCGCTTGATCGATGCATATGCGCCGATAACCAATGGTAAGATCGTACATCATGAGGGGTAATGGTTGGAAGTTAAAAAAAACTCGGGATCCCATAAATGCAGCGCAGCAGAAGTGTCAAAGACTCAATATATATGATAAGATAAGTTTTAATCATACCAATATATATGTCTTACTACATGGATACCTACCCCCGGTCATGCAGGGCAGCCAACCTAGGGGCATTCCACATTTTGATGGAACGGACCGATTTTCTTTTCTGGAGTTTATAACACTTAAGCGAAGAAAGCTACACCGGCATAAATCTATGGGCTGTACATACTCTAGATTAGCGATCGTATATTCCTATCTTATAATATTCCTTCACTAGCACACTCATATAGTGGCCTTACTGTTTGTCAAACATGTGAGTCTAGGATTGCAAACCTAATCTTGAGCAATGCCACCATTTTTGTCTGATTCATTTATCCTCTGACAGAAGCGAAGGCATAAAATAAAGACCTCTCTAAAGAGCTCATAACTAATAAGTAGCAGGTCTCATAAGTTATTGATGATAACTGCCCCAATGCAAGCTATACCGGCAGCATCGGGAACCCCTAGTTGGAAATACCGACAGCACACTGAAAACTATATCCAATGCTAGTAACGGCAAGAAGGATGGCACACTGTATGACCCCATACTCAATAATCTCCGTATTCCATCGAGTGATACTGTATGATTGAGCTGCAGAGTAGTTACCAGCTAGAGTAATAGATTTGGTCAGAGTTAATCGATAATATTCGGGACCAAGTTAATTTCGTTTCAATTCTTGTACAAAGGAAAAACTGGGCGACGATTAGGGGTTTGATAGATGCACCCTGGGGACGATTGGGGTTGAGCTGCATGCATGTCTGAGGATTATCTCTCCCGCTTTGCCGTCCAAGAGCTATGGAGGGATAATCGGCAAGAAGATCTAGCGCTGGCGGAGCAGGAGAATTGGGATTTACCTACTTGTAAGTATGTAAGTTCGGCACTTAGGGCGAGTTCCCGTCTTGTGGAAGAAGCTTGGAACATGAGACACTTTACTTCCTTTTCCCTAAGCTTAGCGAGAGGATTGTCTTCTGCGTGCTAGTTTTTTTTTTGTTATCTTCTCCGTGTTCTAGATGAATCCCATATCAATTCAAGTTTTGATCAATTGATGGCATTGCCATATAACGCTGTTATACAAGGGGATTGGTACTTACGAGGGGAAGTTCCGCTGTGTCAATTGGAATTGCACCGAACACATCACGATAACCATTCGATTGGCCGGCCTGTCCCGCTGTAACAGCTGTGGGCAACGGGATATTTACGAAGCATTGACGCTGCTTAGACGAAAAGAAGCTACATTCGGCTGAGCTAATTCCGGTATAGTTTTTGAGCCTGTCGATCTGGAGATCCTCATCCTCGGGGGAACCAATGGTAGTTGCTGGGTGGAGCCGTGGCCAGCGTAACGTACCACAAAACAAAAAAACAAAAAGGGCAGAAAAACAGCATGCAGCCGCTCGGTTCCTTTGCCGAGGTATTACAGCATGATGGGCCTTTCGAGGCTCTTCACTCCGACACAAGCAATTGCGCAAGAGATCGAAGATCATCTCCATAATCCCCGTCGGTGCACATTACAAAACCGGCAAACACTCGATGCCGCACAAACTGTATCGGCTTTAGCCTTGCAGAAGGGAGACGTATAAACGGTCCATGAGGAGCTGAAAAGTACATGAAAGAGATGGCATGGCGTATGCTGTGTAATTAGATATATAGCTGAACTTTGTTGATTTGTCTGAACTATCGATATCGACAGTGGTGGCGGATGCGGGATGTACCCAATTCTGAAAGAGAGAGTGCATATGTCTATATGTGTATTGCATGTAGTGGTACGTGCTCTGTTGAGATTCATGACATTGCGTGTTATATTTTGTGTATATATGGATGGATTGACGAATACCACCATGCATAACTCGGGGGGTTGGTTAGCTTCCAGAGATCACAATTACTTGTATGGAAAACTTCTGATGCATATCAATGCCATTCAATCAATAACTCGAGCGATAATCCCTGGCCGGAGATGGCCAATTTTTCGAGTTATGGCGGTATGTAGGTCTGTGAATGAGACTGAGATTGGCACACATCATGTAACCGCGCAGAAAGTGCTCTACGTAACTTCGAGCTACACCGCAGAAAGTATACCTGGACACGCCATGATAGGCAGAGGATCGTGCAAGGGCTAGGGATCAGACGGTGGGCCTTGGCGGCGAAACAAATTTAAAACCAAACAAGGTTCACTACTTTAGATGTACGTAGATCTTAAGTAGGTTCACTACATCATGTACGTACTCTACTGTACATGTACTAGGTACTCGTTTGTGGCCCAACCCCCAACCCAAGCAGCGCCTGGACCTTAAAGTCTGGTTTATAAATTGGGTGCTACTTCAGCCGTAACAGTATTGCAATATTGAGGTTCGTATACAATCACAGGAAATCACTCGGAAATGTACCTACATCCATGTATCTCATGTAGCCTGATCAATTGAGCAGGAGGATTTTCCGATATCTGCGGATCAGCACACAGACACACACACACAAACACATGCACAAAGATGATATGCATAGATATGTAGAGCAGATGCGACCCCACAAAAAATTGGAATAATGTGGATGGTATATATAGGTAATATAGTTGCATGCATATGGAGAGAAACCCCGCCACTAACCGGAGGTGTTCTTCACGACCACCTTCTAACTCTAAATCAAGTAGTTCCCACCTCCCCGCCGCCGGCGCCCCCATTCCACCGGCACGGGCCTGACGACAAAAGTGCAGAAACAAAGCTACTCTACATGGTTTGCATCCGAGGGCCATGACGCAAATTGCACTCAGGCTTACATATGTATGCACTGATCGAATTTCTTTTTGGCATAACTCAATTCTATATTAACTTGATGATCGAATCTTTTTGGTAGAATAGAGGGTTTTAGCTACACTGTTTGAGCTTCTCGTCAGTTGTCATGTGCTCTAAAGTACACCGCGCAACTATTATAAGATCTAATTCAATTGTATACAGTGGAGTCACGATAGTAGCATGCAATGGTCGGAAACGGATTTTCATGTGCTACTATCGAGAATATACTTATATTGAGAAATTTGCCCGTACCGACTCGTTTTGGGTTGCCCATCTACACATATACTACAATTGAGGACACTCTATTACTGCAATCTATAAGGATATCTAATAAGTATATAATTGTGTGTGTGTGTGTGTGAAGTCATTTCATTTCTGATGGCGTACTAATAAGTATATAATTATAACCTGCATATATATATATGCATGCACCCTTTAAAGCTTTTGATTGGTTGATTGAGAGGACTTTTTGTTTCATGTGAAACATGTTGCAATTGTGTTGGATAAAACACATCATTAGAGAGTTTTAGCTACACGAGTTGAACAGGGGGTCGAGCACTTGAACCCGGAAAGAAAGTCCTGCATCTTTTATTGGCTAAATACTTGTAGCTAGAATTTCTGCCCAACCTGTCCGACTTTCTGTTCAACTGGGTAACGAGTTCAAAGTTGTTGGTAGGTTCTTTCTTTACGGGTCCGCGAATGAATTGATGGGGGAAATTAAAATAATACAAGCAGCGAGATTGAACCGAACCAGGAACTGAAAGGGAATTGTGGAAGATATCTATGGAGCGGTAAATGTGTCAAGAGTAATTTTACCAACGGTAGTGAATTATTTACCACCGGTGGTATATATAAGCACTGAATTTCAGTCATTGTACTGTCATGCGCTATCTTACATTAGCACATTTCCCACCGGTGGAAAATTTTCATATATATTGGCATTATATGGGCCCAAAAGATCTGTGCCTTTATCATAAAAATTGGCATTATAAGGTATAAATATATGGAGCGGTAAATGTGTCAAAAGTAGTTTTACCAACGGTAGTAAATCGTTTTACCACCGGTGGTGAAAACAATGCCATCATTTATACCTTATAACGGATAAAAGCACAGACCTTTGGCCAAAAGGGGCTATATAATGCTAATGTATGAGTCCTATTGTCCACCGGTGGGGACCTTTCATAAGTGTTGGCATTCATGATTGAACATCTACTAATGAAGGATAGCGCAGCATAAAGATTGAAATTCAGTGTTTATACTGGCACAAGGACTGAAATTCAGTACTTATACCACCGGTGGTAGATAACCTATCAACCGTTGGTAAAATCATTTACCGCTCCATATATAAATACTGGTATTAATATTTTCACCATCAGTGGTAAAATAATTTACTACCTACCGTTGGTAAAATTACTTTTGACACATTTACCGCCCCATAGATATCGACATGTTACTGCCCAGTATAACTTATAATTAAGTAGATGTAGCGATGTACATGTATTTCGCCTACAATGCCCGTCCCAGAGCCCCAACTGACAGGCAAACCGAGAAAACACAAAAGCGTAAATTAAAGCGGCTTACCCGAGCAAAATATTGGACTGATAAATAGTACCGGCCACCATGACCACTTGTATATTCTACAATTGGGGCAATCTCTCGCTATAAGGATACATGTATTACATGTATCTACAAAGCTAGAAACCCACCATAATCCCACCCCCCCCCCCCCCCCGAAAATCCCACCCCTACCATTACAAACCTCCAGCGTTCGCGGAGGGAACAAAATTAACTTGTGGTTTGGTTTGCTAACAAACACCTCTCTCTAAATATATTCCATCCCTCCGAGTAATTCCAGCAGAGTTCGGCCACCGCGGGGGTACGTGGAGTTATGATAGGTTTTACTATATACATATCCTTTAAGGATAGGTAGGACAGCCCAGCACGTCTCGTTAACCTTCTTAACACACCTAATTCCTAATTCTTAGCTTTCCATAGCGATAATTCTCTCAAAGGATGTAGAATCTCGGTCCCGGTCGTATCCTTATACATAGCGAGAGAATACTGTATCGAGAATGCTACTCCACTGTATTAACTTGATGAGAAACCCACACGCCCACCAGCTGGCCCGAGAGATTGAATGATGAGCTCCTACAAAAGCCAAGCCAAGAAACCCCAATTGCAATTACAATCCCGTGAGAACCATACCATTGATTCTATATACAACACCCCATCATCATCATCATCATCACCACCAGTGCACCACCACCTAGCCCAGTCGACACCGCAACCGCACACCAGCTGTCCATCCTAGCTATCCATCCTAGCTAGCCATAGTAGTTACTTCACTCTAAAAGCCCACTCACTCACCCACCCACTCACTCACTCACTCACTCACTCACTGCACATGAACATAAACATGAACACACCGCCATGCTATAAATCTCGCCCTTTATTAATATTCCATCCTTCTTTTCCCCCCTTCCCCGACCACAAACCATAAACACGACGAATCAACACACGCACAAAAAAAAAAAAAAACGCAGCCAGTCCTCCCCTCGTATAAAGCCCATACCTTTACTCCTTATCCTCTACCCGCCCCCAATCGGGGTTGAGGTGTGTGTGGGGGGGTAGTTAGTAGCACGCTTGTAACGAAATCAACGAGAAAGCAAAGCAATAAAAAAAAAAAACCAAACAAATAAAATATAAGGGAAAAAAAAAAAGAGTATAAAACCAGAAAGGAGAGAAGAACGATCAGCGCATCGTCGGCGGCCTCGACTCCTTGTTCCACATGACCCTCGTCTTGAGCCAATCCACAGCCTCCTTCACGCCCGTCCTGCCCCGCAACACAACCGTTAGCACGACCGCACATCCACCCGTAACACCAACCCCCCCCCCCCCCCCCCGCGGGAGAAACACAGAGAGTAAGAGTAAAAAACAACTCACCCCTCCAACGCCGACACCGGCAGCACCCTACTATCCCTCGCGCCCAAACTCACAATCACCGGATTCACCACCTCCTTCAACTGCGCAATCTCCAAACTCTCATCGCGGTCCTGCTTGTTGGCGAGCACAAGCACGGGCACGCCCTCCGTCTCCTCGTGCTCCACAACCTCCTTGAGCACGTCCACAACCTCGCTCTCGATGCGCGGCACGTCCGTCGAGTCAATCACAAACACGATCGCGTGCGCCGAGCTGTAGTACGACTTCCAGAGACTGCGCAGCGTCGACTGCCCGCCAATGTCCCACAGCTTGAGGTAGATGCTGGGGGAGCTGAGGGGGATCAGCGAGACGTTCTGGCCGACGGTGGGGATGGTGCTGCCGGCTTTGGGGGGCAGGGGGCCGTTGGGGAGATACAGGGATTTGATCTTTTCGAGGAGCGTCTGCGTGGGTGGTGATGGTGTTTAGCAGGGTCTTGGGCGGGAGGGGGGGGGGGGGGAGGGGTGGACAAACGGTTTTGCCGGCGTTGTCGAGGCCGAGAAGACTACAGAGAGCATTCTGATCAGCTCCATCTGCTGATGATAGGTACCGTATACGTACCGGGCCGAAGAGGAGAGAAGGGAGGAAAGGAGCTCTACTCACGGGGGAGCTAGCTCCGGTGGTAGGAGGCGGAGAGGGGGATCATGTATTCGGATTGGTTTTTGCTTTCAAACTTACAGGACGGAGTATTCTTCCTTGCTAGTGGCGTAGTAGTAGAGCTCAGTCGCAAGATGATACATGATTAGTGCCTGTGTTGATGCTGCTGCTGCTGTTGGTGATGGTGTTGATGTCGATGCCCGTTTCCGTGTGTCTGTGGTGGGGCCCGGGGTCTGACAGCCATCGATTCCCGCATCGAGCAAGAGCCGCATGGGGCACAGAGGACCCTAACCCACCCACCTTCACTGCTGCACAAAGAGAGAGAGAGAGAGAGAAAAACCTCGACCGGCAGCAGTCGGAAAGTGAGAAATCGCCGCCCGCAGCCCGAGATCTGCGGCGCGGCAGAAATGATTACCGGTGCTGCTTTCCCGTTGCCGTTGTGGTGGAAGCGATCATTCACCCCTCCGACCTGTGCGGCAACCCTAACCCACTGCATTTTTCACACTTTGCGGCGCCCCCACCACAGCAGAGCCTTCCTCTCAAACTCCAACTCCAACTCCACAAGACATCACGGCCACCCAGCGCCCCACACCGCCCGCAAAGCTGTCGCCCCTCCATCACCCCCTCCGGTATCCCTTCGTCTGCGCCCGCTCGTTCTCGAGACGCATCTCCGCCTTCCTGCCCGCAGCAGCCATGACCGTCGGCGAACCAGTCCCGCAGACGTCTGCAGCTCCCTCCGACGCTGCACCACCGCCGTCGCCCCCTACTACTACTACTACTGCTGCTGCTGCTGCTGCTGCTACTACTACTACTACTGCTACTACTACTACTACAAAGAAGACAAAGCTCACCGGCCGCGAGTTCTGGGAGTCCATTGGGTCCCCGCGGACGATCGTCGCGCCCATGGTGGAGCAATCTGAATTCGTGCGCTGCCCCTCCCTTCCCCCCTCTCCCCAACCATTCCATGAACACTAACACCTGCCCTCCAGGCCTGGCGCATCCTCTCCCGCCGCCACTCCCCCCCAAACACGCTCTGCTACACCCCCATGTTCCACTCCCGCCTCTTCGCCACCACCCCCACCTACCGCGCACAATCCTTCCAGCCCCCCCACCTCGACGGCAACCCCACCCACGACCGCCCCACCTTTGTCCAATTCTGCTCCAACGACCCGTCGGACCTCCTCGCCGCGGCGCGCCACGTCGCCCCGCACTGCGACGCCGTCGACCTGAACCTCGGCTGCCCGCAGGGCATCGCGCGCAAAGGCCACTACGGCGCCTTCCTGCAGGAGGAATGGACGCTCATCCACTCCCTCATCCGCGCGCTCCGCGACGGCCTCGACGTCCCCGTGACGGCCAAGATCCGCATCCTCGACACGCCGGCGCGCAGTCTGGAGTATGCGCGCATGGTGGTGGACGCGGGGGCCAGCGTGCTGACTGTGCATGGGCGCACGCGCGAGCAGAAGGGCCACAACACGGGGATGGCGGATTGGGGCGTGATCAAGTACATACGCGAGCAGCTACCGCGGGAGGTGGTGGTGCTCGCGAACGGGAATGTGCTCTGGCAGGAGGATGTCGAGCGGTGCATTGCGGCGACGGGGGTGGACGGCGTCATGAGCGCGGAGGGGAACCTGCATAACCCGGCCGTCTTCGAGACGAGCAAGGAGTGGGAGAAGCGGTTTCCGAGGATGGATCTGGTGGGGAGGGAGTATCTGGATATTGTGCGGGAGTATGTGCTGCCGCCCTTGGGGCTCGGGGAGCTGTGGGCGGAGCAGCCGATGACGAAGCGGACGAGGAAGAGGTTTGAGGTGCTGATGGCGGATCCGAGTCTGACGCCCATCAAGAGCCACTTGTTTAAGCTGTGGCACTCGGCGCTGCCGCGGCACACACAGGTGCGGGATCTGCTGGCGCGCAGTGGAGCGCGGGTGGGGGAGGACCCGCTGGCGTCGTTTGAGGCTACGTTGGAGGCGCTGGGGAAGGCTATCAAGGAGGAGCTGGAGAGGAATCCGGAGCCCGTGGATGCGGAGGGGAGGTGGGTTGGGCCTGATACGCCAGTGGAGGAGGGGGAGGAGGAGAAGGCGGGCGAGAGCAAGGAGGGTATTCTTGTCGAGCTGGAGGACGGAAGGAAGGTGCGGAGAGTGGTGCCGTGGTATCGGTGCCAGCCGTATTATCGCCCGTTGCCGGAGGAGGCGCTGGCGAAGGGGGCGCTGCAGTTGAAGAAGAAGAATAAGGCAAATACGGAGGGGAGAGAGGAGGGTGAGAATAGTAAGAAGGTTAAGGTCGACCCTGAGGTTGGGGCTGTTGCGGCCGTGGAAGTGCTCGCTGCAGAGGCGGTTGAAAGTAACAAAAAGGTCCAAGTTGACCCTGAAGTCGAGGCTGTTGCTGCCGCGGTAGGGGCGCCCTCTAAGGAGGAGGTTTGCGGGTAGACAATAACTTATAGCATTGGATTTAGCTCTTTTGTAGTATAGATTTTTTTCTTCTTCTTTACTTTGTGTGTCTGTATACCTGACGTTTGTCTACTGGACCTTATTTTTTTCTTCCTTCTTTTAAGTGTTTGGGTGGAATTTTTCTTTTTTATACCTTAAGCATTAGTTAGACCAGTGGCAGGAGCGGGGAGCAGTGGGAAACATCAAAAGTTTACATACATATATACATATCTAGCTGGGTTTAGGCTTTAGGATGGTGAAAATAGGAGTTACATGTAGTATCCGGGTTGTGGTTCTGTATAATATAGCATCATCTCAATAACTTCGTAGGTGCGGCCACTCAAGCCCTGATCACCTTTAGAGGCTACATGTAGCTACATGTACATATACATGTATGTATAGCTGCCTGTCTAATCATTAGCCCCCCCCCCCACCCCACGCTCCATCAGACAAGCGCGCAACTCGAATCTCAAACACCTCATACCCAACCTACATACAAAAACATGTTGGCCAACCAAACGTTGGCAAACCAAGCGGGCAAACCTCGATTGGCCAATGGCCCCCCATAAACCCTAACCCTGCGTTACCACGCTCCCGTTCGTCAGGTTCTGCTTTGCATAAGTACATGTAGGTACATGTATCTTGAACTGCTCCAAAGCTTTCTCGCACTACACAACACCCGCTATCCCGCCCGTCACACATATATCCTCCGGGCCCTGTCTTTCTCCCCGTTACCTCGTTTCCAAAGCTACAATATATCTGTTCTTGCGATTTTGATTCAATGTAAATGTATTTTTGAGGTGTTTTTGAGGTGTTTTTAGTGTTTTTAGCTACGGTCCAACTAGGTTATTATTCGAGGGGCGGCTACTTGGTCCTGGGTTCTCTTACCCGTTTGCCGATGCTACAATTTTCATGTATCGTCACAGTACCTCACTCGTTCTTGGCACCCGACCAGTCACTCGGAGCCTATCACCGGCACCAACCCCCTACGTAGTATCATAAAAGCCTTGGATGATACTAGGCTGGCGTTAGCAATGGTGCAACAGAATACAGAAAAACGTGGCGGTGGGGGGGTGGGGGGGGGGTTACACTTTCACTTCCTGGTCTGACTATTCTATACACCCTCCGATTCGTAGTACTACTGCCACTTCCCATGGGTGGAAGAAAGGGAGGTTGCCACAAAGAATCATCTGAGTACTCCCATAAGGGGGCCAATAAAAAGAAACGCAGACTCAGGTGCCGTGGATCTGCAGTGGCCCCCCGCTTGCTCGGTTTCCGATGGAGAAACGTGTAAGTTCTGACAATGCCATGGGGGCTCAAATGGACTTTTGAGTTTGGTTATATTGGGTGGGGTGCAACGTTACGTTTGATTTTTTTTGATTTTTTTTTGCAGATTGTTAACCACGGATGGTGCGGTACGCAGCTTAGCCGTGCCGCGCTGTCAGCATCGTCGCGCGGGAGGCTTTTTTAGAAATGTTTTTTTGTAGTTCCCATGGTCCTCAGAACTAATGTTTTGATGGGAAGCTGGTGGGGTACTTGAGCTCAAGCTTTTTAAATTACGGCATGGCCTTCACCTCTGGAATTTGATGATCGTGTGATATACGTGGTCTAGATGGTACCCTTTGTCCCCTCAAATGCTGTACAAATCGCACGACAGTAGCCCCCCACACCCGCCCACCATTCCTACGCCCAATACACGCATTAGTAGGGATTCCTCTAGACATATAACTACTCACAGCTCTCCATCAGTAGACGCCCTGTCCAAAAAAAAGCCCCTCTACAACAATAACCCCAACTTCCAATAATGAAAACCACAAACCTTCTCACCTACCTCTCTGTCCTCCTCTTCACCTTCCTCCTCTCGCACCCAACCCTCTCCTACCCCACCGCTCTCGCCATCGCCAACCCCCCACCCCCCGACATCCACACACGCGGCCGCTACACCTACAAAAAGATGTCCATCCGCGGGCCCCTCCGCGCTTCCACCCGCGCGTTCGTCCTCCAACTCTCTAACCGCCACAACGAGCGCTGCACGCCTAAATGCACCGCCCCCGCACAGGACAGGGACAAGGCGCGCATCGCCATTTGCGGCTATCCAAAGGGCTGGATCCTGTGCTCGTGGGTTGTGTTTGCAGCGCAGAAGATCGCGGAGGGGTGTGTGATTCCCACGACGGAGAGGGCGGCGGGGGAATTTGTATTTGATGGGAAGCCGGGGATGAGGGTCGTTGTGTATAAAGCTAGGCATAAGCCATAAAAGATAGGGGGGGTATCTTGGTTATTTGGCGTGGAATATAACAAATCAATGAGCCATCTTGTTTATGTATGTATGTATGTAGTGAGGTGAAGTATTTTTGAGTTTGAGGTTGCGATGGAGCGATCATGATGTATCACTCGCGCGACAAGGCTGCGATAAAGCCAAGCTACATGTATGTAGTAGTACTAGTGCATGCGCAGGAACGTCGCAGTAAGGTCATGATCAAGTAACCATTTGAACCCGCGCACCAATGACCAACCGAGGAAAGACGCATCCCATCCTCATATATCCGCCCGCCTGTGCAGTTCCCCATGTTAGTTTGTACCTACATGCTTTGCAGTAGGTACAATGCCCTCGGAAAACCACCGCAACGGCATGGACCTTAACCCCACCATCTCCCGATCGTACCGGCGGCAAAGATATATCAACACCACCACTACCTCTTCAATTGGGTATCTCATACACAGCACCTACATTCCACAGACCTGACAATGCCTCCCCACAGTTACGGGGAGGTAACCAGCATCAGTAATCATGGGTCGCGGATATAGGCTGAGGCTGATAGTGTGCACGCAACACCGCAGCAGTATCTAACCGGATTCAAACTCAACCTGTGGGTCATCCGAACACCCCCGCAAAAGGGACTGCGCATTTTTTCACAGGGTATCACTCGTGCTATTAGCCTTGTGATTTGCCCTTAATTGGGGTTGGGGTTATTGAGAGATGGGAAGAGATAGGGACATTGGAAAGTATTCGCGCCCCCCCCCCTTCTCTGCCCTGCTTTTCTCCACCTTGCCGGTAGTGGCTTTGTGTGCCCTCGTCAGGCCATTGCTTATTGAATATGTAGTTCAAAGGGTGCGCAGAACCTCAACCCTTAATCAGGGCGCTTGGCAGGAAGGCTGCGATACGTGCGTGCAACCACCCCTTTCCCACGAACGGAGATGGCCAAGATGAAGTTCCCACGTCAACCTGGAGAAAACCTTGGACTGGAGAGGATGACTCCGGAAGTCCGGGTCTGTGTGTACCAGAAAGGCGGCAGTTTGTCACCATGAATCAAGCTGGCTCTTATATTAGGCGGGGTTTAATCAAACACTCCATATACCCCTGCCAGTGCAAGTCTTGAGAGCTCCCAGATTAAAATAATTCACAGTTGCCATGATCACAAAATATCACTCGTCGAAATCCAAACCCATCTACAGTCCAGCAATGATAGCCGGCCTCATTCTCCTCCCTAGGAGCCTGATCAAGACAATGTCTAGGACCGGCACTATCCGAGTCAAATGACGTTCCTCAAAATAAACTTCGCATTCCATATGCATGTGCGGTTGAGGATTGTAGCCACCGCGCATACCACGGTCAACATTTCCATGCCTCTGCCTCAAGACGAGCAGAGGACACATTTGTTCGTTAGAACTATATAGTGACCTTAATTCCCATCTGCCTTTAAACATTATCACCCAGGCTTTTTGGATCTGATCAACTCTATGACAGCAGAGTAACTGAATTCTTGACATGTGATTCCAGGCACATCCTTTATTGAAATAGATTTCACTATACTTGGTAAGTGCCACGATATTCAACATTCGCCCTAGGGGAAAGTTTACCCATAGAGGCAGCCAAGGAACAGAGTTGATGTATTGATAGTGCTTCATATACATGTCCCGCATCTGTCTCCCGTGAAGATATGACTACCATTTCTCGGTAGGATCTGCCTTAAACTCGAGATAGTCGGCCATGTTGAAGAACGAGATCTCGGTCTCGTGTTCTGCATTCCTCAGTCTCCTGCGTACGCCACTAGAATTGGAGGGAAAAAGAAGGGGGGGGGGGGGGGGGTGAGAACTAACCACAGCCATACTCAGCCAGGGTCTTAGAATCATCTCTAAAGATTTTCTCGTCATCCTTATCCTCCATGTTGATAATTAGATTCTGTGTTTTGGTGCCCTGTGCTTTAGTGTACAGCTTCAGCGTATCTACGGCCATCCACTATCAGCAACACGACTAATAGTGGAAGGGGAGGAGGCGAAAATTACCAAGGACAACGGTTTTGTAAGGCTTCCAGCCTGGCTTTGTTAACACCTCTACATCAGTAACTATCAGCCTCTAACTTTTTAACTCATTCTCAATCATGCAGGCACACCTTTCTTAGCCAGCTCTTTCAGATCCCCAACCGTGAGTGATGTTAGATCGAGGTGGTGCAGGACCAGGTTCCTGGTGGTGCGGTAAGGGAAGTTTTTTATAACTCGGATGGTCAGAGTTGAGTCAGTGACTATTAGATATGTGTTAGCTGTTGTAGGTAATACTGGTGTGGGGGCGAGGCGGGCAGCGAACGGGGGAGATAAAGAGCTGCGGCTGCATCTTCGTGGCTCGTCATCTTTCTTGCTGTTTTGGCTTCCGTGGGGTTTGGGGAGATTGTTCTTGCGTGGATCACTTGTAACGTCGTGGAGATAAGGTAAGGTAAGCTCAAACTCAAATAGCGGGCAGGTTACCCAACCGCGGGGATTTCAATTTTTTTTGGGTCCGGGGAAAGCCATGCCACGCCAAGCCTATCCAAATGTGACCTGCATGAAGTATTTGCCAAGAACTGATCCGTGCGTCCTTTAAGTTCTTCCCCAAAACGGTTGTTAGGACACTGGAGTTTTGAGTAGATGAGCCCTTGGGTTCGGTAAATAAACCAATTTAATATCGACGCTCTTTACAGAAGGGAAAAAAGGCATGATCATATAAAGGGGCGGGCCTGTAGCCTTAAAGCAGTCGTCAAGACTCCTACATACACTCACTCTAAGTACCTGCTTTCAGACCTAAATCCCCCTCGTGGAGATCTAACGGCTGGTCAAGAAAAGGCATAATACCTCTTAAAGCTCCGTAGACGAATACAGCCTCCGCACAAGCAAAGAGACGGAGATCACTTCTAACCGCATATCTATGCTTTCAACGAAATGCCACTTTCTTTCTTTCTTTGAAGCACTGATTGCCCAGACAACAGCTGAACAAACATGTGGTGGGGCGTGGTGGTGTGGCTTTCTTTTGACGCAAGGTTCTTCCCCCTGTCCCTTCACACACCCCCGTGGCTAATTTTGGCCTATCGAAACGACCGAGCCTCACGCACTCACATACTAACCAACGCATAGATAGGACGAAGAAGGCCTCACAACGCATCAAACCAGTTAAACTCTATCTTCCAACGTCCCGCGCGTTTATTCCTGCTTTCTTCACACCCCATTTCGATCGGAAATAGATAACCTTTTTAGACGAACCAAATAGAAACTTCCTCCCAGCTGGAGATCTACGTTTCGTCTCGCCTAGTCCCTCGTCTCAGAAGTAAGGTTCACCCAGGGCTTTCGGGGTTCTCGTTGGCCTGTCCTGGCCTGGACACCCATGATATCGAAATACATGTAATTATATAATCGGCGGTGTTAAACAAAGTAAGGAGGTAACGCAATAGTGCAAACGGGTGTTCTAAACCGAGATGAGGCACCACTTGGTGCGCGGGTAGACAGAACGATATTACTTTAGCCAATATGATTTTTCACTTTGTTTCAATCTCGAGAAGAGAAGCATTGAAACAAAGATTACATATATGTGTGTCTGATTGAATTCTCGGGTACTATGACCGATCAAGTAGCGAGTAGAGTAGAGATATAGGTATAATATGTGTTCCCTTCGGCGTTAGTACTTATATACATACTTGATACCCTTTGTTGAACGAGGGTGATTAGCGATTCTGCAGAATCCGAGACCATAATGCTGCGGGGAGGTGCCGAGGGGCAGAGTGACTGTCTGTCTTGAGAATCAGTCTTGCGGTGGGTGAGTAAGTAAATACATGGACCTGGGTGAGTAATGCGGGCGTCATTGATGTGCCATTTTACGTGGCAGATCGTGCATCAATGGGCACTCGTGGTCGTCGTTGTGGAGATAGGTAGGTGGAGGAGGTGAGTGAGGTGGTTGTCTGCCGGAGAACCTCCGTCCGTATGTAGCACATAGCAGCTACCGAAGCAAAGCAATCCCAACTTCCGACGACGGCCGTTTCCATACAGGAACCATCACTCCCTTGTTCTCTCGCCCTGTTGCTAGCTCTTGCTCTCTTTCACTATCGCAGATTGGCTTCGCCGCTATTGCAGCAATCCGTTCTCAGCTTCTTCCCGGGCGGCCTGCTGTGAATTCTGCAACTGCTGTTTGTTTATCTCCTCCCAGATCTGACTGAACTGATCTCCGGCCACGAGGAAACGAGGGAGTGAAAGGAGGAAAGAAGGGTTGTCATTCCCGAGCCCAAGCAAGAGCCCAGGCAAGACCAAGACCACACCCCCTACCTGCCTTACATACAGCCACCACAACCACCAACCTACATCTTACCTCCGACCTCGAATCTAAACACCTGGTCGAACTTTTTTTTCTTTCCCTTCCCTATTTTTCTTTCCCAATCCATTTTCTCTTTGCTTGATCAGGGCCATGGCCACTTTCACCTCATTTTAAATCTCTCTCTTTTTTAATTAAAAGAAAAAAGAAGTAGAATAAAAAGAAGAGGAAGCACGGCGCATATAACCACCCCTTCCTACCTGCATCCTTCAACCGCCGGAATTGCTGCGGCTGTAGACAGAGTACTCTAGTCTACAGAATTCCCAACAACAACGTACCTATCTACCTACATACGTCTTACGATCCACCAGTGCCAACCACCCAACGGCAACCGCCACAAACGAAACGAGAGAAAACAAACATTGACCCTAGCATCTACCGTGCAGAAGCAGACAGATATACAAATCCGAGCCCTACCTTAGAGGAGCCAGTTACGCCTCCGAGGGACCTCCGACACAACAACCCAAAACCAACGTTTACCAAGCCACTAGCTTACCTAGTTAGCTGTTCCTACATAATTTAGCTGCCTCTACATCCTACAACTTTTTTCGTCTCCACGACAACCGGGTTGAGGAGAAAAGAAGCAAGAGAGTGCCAAACAAAAAAAAAAAAACCTACAAACGACACACAATTCCAACCCTTTCGCCCCATTGCACCGCCATTGCATTGCATCGTCGTTGAGGTTTTTTGCTCTGTGGGATATAAGTTGGTCAGGAAAAGGAAAGGACAGACTAGCTTGGAATTAATCGGGGTGGGGTTCGTTTCTTGCGTCATTCCCAAGGATTGAGACTGGATCGCATATCTAGAGACAAAGAAGAAGAGGAAGAAGTATAGGAGAAAAGCACATGGTCAGGAACAGCACCATCATCGACAACAGCAGCAGAACCTGCACAGCGGATTTGTAGATTTCTCGGCTTAAGTGCCTCGGGTTAGTGCCAGGCAGGCTCGCTATTTAGCGAGGAGTTTATTATTGGTGCAGTGCAGTGGGCTGTCTAAGCGGTGAGGGGAACCGTGCGTTCAGAAGTGAGTGAGTGAGTGCACTGGGTGAACATCACCTGGAACATGAATCCTCAACAGAGTGGTTTCAAGTACATATTCCCTTCCCCCTCCCCTCTTCCCTTCTTCTTCTCATCATCGCCTGTATCCATTTTCAGAAGTGTCCTCGTTGTTCACTCAAGACAAGACCTTCACAGTCTATATTCTACTTGGTTATATCCTATAATATATCACTAACAAACACCTATCCAACAGAGAAACAAACATATCATCTTCGACCACCTATTCTACTTCCTCAGCCGCACAAGGGTCATCAAACGCTTCGTCTTCATCTGCAATTGTCAGCAAGAACACAAGCCACCCGCTGCCACCCATGCCTAGCTATAATTCTACCTTCTCCCCCGCGGACCTAAAGTGGCACAACACCCTTCCAGAAGACTTTACCGGTGGCCCAAAATCCACAGTGGCCCGTACCCGTTCGCCCGCCAACGCTGACAGTCTTCGGAAGCGTCCATCTGGCAATTTTGAGAACATTGATGCTATCCTCCAATCCCATGTCCATCACACTGCTGCCTCACCAACGCTTCTTTCCCCTCTCCCACCAACTCATCGGTTAGGCTCCAGTCCGCTACCATCCCCAATCAAAAGGCCTAGAGCATTACAACGTAATACACCTGCCAAAACTCCCACTAGGAGTAAATCGTCAAACTGCCTGGCTGGCTCCGGCTCGGGCATGCAAACACCTCCCCCAAGTAGCACTGCAACCGCAAGAAAACGTGGAAGGCCGTCAAAGAAATTGTATCCAGTATTACCATCAGCAAACAATACCAATACCAGAGACTCCCTAGAACAATCACCCCCACAAGCAAGCCCTACAAAATTACAGAAATTAAACGGGAGCCAGAGCTGCCATAATTTGGGTCTACAACTAGACCCACAAAGTAAATTCAATTTCCAGCAACTTCCCGACTCTGGTATCTTAATGCCGTCAGATGAACTGCCTCCCCACTCCCACCAAAAGTGCAATGATAATTTCTGGGGTGACGGCGGGGACTTTGACTTCATCGCGGGGTTAACGATGGCCAATTCTAATGGGCTGGAACACTCTGCAAGCTTTGATTGGTCTTCCCTCCGGAACAACGCATCACTCGACAACCTCAACCACGCTCCTCCAGCCGATATATTCGCACCCACCCCAGAACTTCGGCGACAACCAAGTCAGTCCTCGCTGTTGACGGATGAGGGCAAGTCGTCGGCAGATAATCCCACGTTCTCATTTTCTCAATTTGATGATCCTTATGGTCTAGAAATGCCACTTGACGTTGACCCGAATTTATTGTTTTCTAGCACGAGCAATAGTGCAGCGAGCAGCATGATTGGTGGATTCAGAGAGGAATTTAAGCCCTTTCCGTTCGTGCAGCAGCAGCAACCTTATCAGCCATATCAGCATCAACATTTGCAACAACTACGAGAGCAAGAGTTGGAGATGCAGAAGCAGAAGCAACTGCAGGAAAGGCTTTTAAAAGAGCGATCGAGGCGGGAGCGTACGATTGCTGCATCCGGTGGCCGCCATTCAAGACACTCAGGCGTCTTGAAGCACAGCATGAGTGATGGAATTCTCACTGGTCCTAGTGAGAGACAGGTCTGCAAAGCTGCTAATTTTAATGCCGCTGTGCTCAAAAGAAGCTGCAGTAATGTTGGGCGAAGAGGCGAAACGGTACTAGTTGATCGTAGTTATACACCCAACCCTTCACAAAAGGCTTATAACCCCACCCATCCATCGGGGCTACGGCGGTCAACATTAAAGATTCAAGAAAAGCCTCCCAGAACTAGGACTGAAGTTTTTCTCGCAATTTCACCGGGGGGTCGAGCCAAAACGGAGACAAAAATTGTATATGATAACTCGGATGTCGATATTGATATCGAAGAGCCTATAATGTGGGATTCACCACAAGAGAGTGATTCCTCTTTTGATGATGATGTGCCTCGAGGGCTTGGGCCGGATGGTATAGATTACGCATTATTTCGGCAGCGTAAGGCTGCAGACCCATTTCAAGGGGCAGGACAAGGACCTTTACATACACTGATTGTTCCTTCATATGACAATCAAAACCAACCACCACGACCACAACCGCCAAGGACACCCACCCGAAGATCTCCACTTAAGATGCCGCTGTCTGGAAGCCATAGAAAAATGAATGGCTTTTCTTCTGGCACCACTGCCGGCACCAACTCTTTAAGCGGAAGACTAGATTCTTCGCCGAGATTGCCAACTCCCTTGAGGTCCAGCCCACCTCCGGCTGTTGATCGCCGTGTGAGGGAAAGGGTTAGAAGAGCAAGCCATTCCAGTCTGACCCCTTCACTGTCAATGTCGGCCGTCGGGACACCAAGATTAGGGAGTATGCAGGAGGTCAGCGACGAATCAGAGGCTGAAACTGTGGTTGATGGGACTGATATCTGCATTCTTGATGAAGAGGAGAATGGAGATGCGATGCATGCTTTGAGGAAGGTCATGATTGCACGGCGAAATGGCGAAGCTAGCAGAGGTAAAAAAATCTTTCGAATACTTTAACCGACCAGCATAAACTAACAGTGATACAGTCGCATCCCTGCAATGCACACCCACCAAGGCTCACCCTGCTAGTGCCGTCAAACCACAGGCATTCTCAACCGGTAGCAGCGTCGGTACTTGCTCGAGCGGTCGCCACAATCAAATGCATCCACAACTTCTAAGAGCTTCGCCGGTTAAGAAAAAGCTTTTTGAAGAACAAATCCTCCGGAGTGTTGATCGCCAACGCAATGGATATGAGCGTCAAATGACAGATGACACTTCAACTACCCCGAGCAAACGTCGGACTAGAGCAATGGAAAGAAAGGAAATGCAGGAAAATCTAAAAGGTGCGACGAGATGTATCTGCGGAGATGCCGGCGATTCCGGAGGAAAGACCTTAGTCCAGTGGTATGTTTATCAATGCAGTTTCTTGGTGGAAGCGGACAAGTGGCTTACTGTTTGCGGATAGTGATACATGTCATCATTCATTGCACATGAAGTGCGTTGGATACAGCCGCAAAACTCTCCCCGATTTTTTCGAATGCAACTTCTGTAAAAAGGAGGCAGTCGAGCAAGAAAACATACCGAAATACAGAGGGAGGACTAGGTCGAGGCGTGCGATTGGGGGGGGATCGGATGACGAAAATAGCATCACCTTCTCGCTGATGAGAAATGGGAGATGAGAGCTTGGATTCTATGAAATCTGAATTTATGTAGTGTGGTCACGACTCCGCACTTTTATGGTATGATCCGGGTGGGATTTGTCACGTTTCATGAGCATTATTTTCATTCTCCTTTATTCATCTTCCCCCTTGGATCCAAAGCTTTATATATATATATTCTTCCCTTCTTCACCAGAAGGATGGGCTTATTTTCCTGGTGAGAACATCTGCTTTGTTTTATACCTTCACCTCGTCTTTTCATTCCAATTCATTTCCTTTCGGGGATATATGCGCACTTCTATTTTTATTATATATTCTGTGCTCAAGGGTTCTTTTTTTTCTTCTCTGTGGGGTCAGCCGTAAAGGATAGACCGTGTAAAGAGCATACGGGGCCATGCTCACCACTAGGCTCTGCTTTTGTTCACTCCTTCATTTTTTATCTTTATTGTATTTATAGTTGTTTGTCATGGGCATACAAGAAAAATCGCACTTTACAGTGGAAAGAGGTGGCAAATTTTGGTTGTATATTCGGGTGGGCATTGATTTACTTGCTTTTTTTCTGCTGGTTGTTGTGAGAGAAACGAAACAAACTTGGGAGGAGTAATGGGAGACACGATTGGCTTAGCTCACGTTCTATGCCCCGTGACGAAGAATTGACAACACGTATGCATTTGTGTCCAACACCCCCCTAGAGGCCGCAGATTACCGCAGATTTCAAAGTGCACAATTGAACGCACCCGTTCTTATTCCTCTTGCTCCGTCCAGACCTCTGATGGTATTGATAATTCAGATCCTTCAGCACAGTGCATCCCAGCCAAGACTTTCGGAAGAGACGCCCTTCAACTAGATACCCAATAGAGATCATGGAGAACATTGAGGAAATGACCAGGGGTCAAAACGGATGGTAGTATACGCCAACTATTTCTCCGACGGATGTTAATTATGGTGCTAACAGACCAGTCAAAGCGTTGAACCTACCTCAACGACTCTACTTTTATATTTGGGATGGAAGTCTACACACCAAATGCCTAGCTGGTGAGCTCATTGCGATGGCCTTTGAAGAAAAACAACTGCCCTTCCAGGTGTAAGCATAGGTTTAGGGTTCCTTACTGTTAGCTAACAGCTTCTGAGCGGCATCTGCATAAGTTCAGAACCCGTCTACCAGCACCTTGTGGGTTGGAGTACAGGCTACAGCGGCTAAGAAGGATGATTGGGGGGGTACTTATTTCATGTTAGTATAGACCTCTCGACCATTGTTAGCTAGAATGACTTAGTATAGCTTAGTTAGTTATTTTCCCATCTACGGATCATTGTTTTTTTGGTGGTAAAGCTGTCTTGTAGGAAATTAAGAGGAAGATAAGGATGGAAGGGGTGGATCTTCCCTCTTAGTGCTTCGGTCAAGCCTAAAATATCAAGGAAAGCCCCTATCCAGATAGAGGGTGCAAAAGGAAAAACGGGAGGTTGAAATACCAAGGGCCTCCATACACACGAAACAAACTGTGGAGACAAGAGGACCGAAAGTAACACCCCCGCCATCACCTCCCTGTGACTTAACCAAAGTCACAAGTTATATGAGTGTACAGCGTGATAGCTAGTAGCGGTTGATAAAAGTCCCATATCCTTTCCTACTACTTACATCTAACCTATTTTTTTCCGGTTAGTTATCTGGAGGAACCATAGGCATTACCAGAATGATACGTCTATGGGCCACATCACCCCTCCTTCTACCTGCTTATTGATCATAACCTATGGGAGGAAAGAAAGAGTTGAAAAATGGTGTTGTAGAGTCGTACTTGGTCGTCGTCTCGGTGGAAAGGTTAGGGAGCTAGGTTAGGCCTCAGCAGCAACAGCATTGTGCAGATCCCAGCCCGTTACCAGGCGTGAGTGAGACCAGTTTCATACATGTATTCAGCTATATAGTTTAGCTATGCTACTCAGCCCCCCTAAATACTAAGATTAGGAGTGAAAGAGGGCTATGGACAAATAGAAATCAGTGGGGGAAAGCAGTTTGACAGCTTCGACTAGCGATCCTATTTATTGAAAATTTCTATCTTATTCGCTTTATGAAGAGCTAGCTCTATCTATCGACGATGACAATAGATGAAATAAATAGTTGGAAAGCTTTAAAGGCCTTTCCTACTAAGTCAAACGGATTTAACCTTAGTTTCACTCATGCGGCGGCTAGAGATCTTGCAACCGCCTATCTCTAATAAAACTTCTCTCTAAGATAGTATCTAATTTCACAACTGAATACCACGGTGTCAGTTTTTGGATATCTGTCGTGAAAGCTGCATAAAAACAGACCGGCCGTCCACAACTTGATGTCTTGGCGTCGAGCACAGACCTGAGAACGAGTGATCACGCATGATTTACCAGCACCTTTTTTTTGTTTAATTCATATGATTTACCAGCATAGTTAGCACACCTATTTTTTCTTTTTACTCTACGGAGTCATATTCTTGTTCTGGAGATGCGGAGTGAGGAAAACTTGCTTCTGCCTAGTTTATGGGGTCAGGGGGTGGAGGAGAGCGGCAGATTTTCTGTCTCAATCCATTTACAGGATTTATCCTTCACCGGAGGGGGCCAAGAATCGGCTACACGGATTGATGACTCAGTGATGAGATAATCTCCATCATTAGTTATCACTCGAATATTATTAGTCATTATATCACGCTAACATGGATTGATAATAGATGACTCAGCGCAGAACCACCTCATGTTGTCCGACACAGAAGGAAATATGGGCGATGATCCGGTGCAAATTCTTATTTTCCCGCCATAAGTGCCTGATATTCTTATGTTTTGAATTATGAATGGCAAGGATCAACTATCTACGGCACTCTATTCTTTAATTTCAGCATGTCCTTCTCCGGATAGTTCCGGTTTCGTGGGCCAGCCGATGCATCAATCGTTCCTTCAGCCCTTGTTACCACAGTATTGCGCGGCAAACTAGCGTGAAGTGTAGGGGCGGGACGAGATTCGTATCGAATGCCACTGCATTTTCGCTCTAATCGTTTACTCTTTTCATTCCAAAAGTTAGAAGGTGTAAATTAATTAGTTTGATCATGAGATATCACTCGTACTGGCGTCTCGGTAGCCCACTGCTAGTAGGTGCACAGCCGAAAGTCATCCGTACCTTAGGGTGTATATTATCGCTGAAGAATTCGGGAGACAGTACACCGGGATCCTCAAAATTTAACTCGGGGAGACAACCGACGGTCCCACAGAAAAAACCTAAAGAAACCTGCAGTCTATCCTTTTGGTGAAAATTCTGCATTTGAAACAAGCTGGAGCCAATAAGAAGATGCGCCTTGCCCGATCATCCCATTACATGCACAGACGTGGCACAGGTATAAACTCATTCACTAATCTGTTAGAATTGTGTTGGCATGTTAAACTAGGCATTGTATTTGAGTCCAAACTTGTTAACATAATATATATGCTTATGAGTGAAATAAATTGTGTTGCTTCATGCTCATATATTCATATGGTGCGTATAATAAGTCATTACTGTTAGCACCTGCAGTAATCGAATCCATACCTATCTAGAACTCGCTTGCAAGATGACGTTACCCGAACAAAAGAAAAGATTAAACCTAAAAGACTTCAAAAAAATAAAGATTAAGAGAAATAATACCCAAAAATAAACTCCAAAATTTTCACGTGACCCAGCACAACACACCCTGAGACAGGTTCAATATTTCCGTTTTGAAATAATTTTCTTCGCACCTGGTTTCTTCCCCCAAGATGTTCGCACACCTTTGGCTTTCCACAGCTTCTGGAGGGCTTGCTTTATTAAAGGGTCATCTGCGCTAATGTCACTGTGCCGACCCTTCACGTGTCTGCAGTATTCCGTCAGCTTCCATGCGCAACTCCCCGACAATTTTCACTAGGTTGAAGGAAGAGACGAATGCCTACCTCTGGAAGTTATCGCTTCGGTTGAATCTTTTCCCGTTCCAGTTACCGGCTTCCAAGCAGTATGGACATGATACACTGGCTTTCTCATCGTGTATTGACGATATATGCCTTAGAAGCGCATTCTCTCGTGGAAAGACTTTCCTGCAACCTTCGTGCGGACATGATAAGTCCATGCCAATCATGCCTCCCACAGCAGCGGTAGGTGACTCTATCTCAGGATCAGGTGTTTGTTCAGGGGTGGGTACTTCTGACGGAACAGATAGCGGGATTTTGAAGGTGTCTTTCTCGGTTGCTAGGCTTTCGGGGATCGCAAATATCACTCCGACAACCCCCTCAACCGCGGAGGCGGGACACTCCATTTCACGGTCTGGTGTTTGTTCCGGGGTGAGGATATCCGACGGGGCCGATGTCGTCATTAGTGACTGCACTGACCGAAACTCCATTTCCATTGTATCGTACACAAAACCAAAACCAGGAATTTGCATTTGAGTGTTGAAATCAGGCGAGAAATCAGGCGAATCAACTGTCCACGATATTGTGGGTATATCAAGGTCTGGATCTGGACCAAGTAACAGATCTCTAGGATTGCAGGTCTCAGGGACTGGAACCGAGGTTTCTGATTTGAACTCGAGCTCTTGAAATGGAGGCATCGACGGTAATGATAGTAAGTGGTAATTATCATCAATACCGGGCGCTAGTGCGGGCGGCGAATGTATCGATATCGCATACGATCCAACAAGAATCTCGACGGCTATTCGGTCTGCAAGTTCCCAGGCTCCATAGGCCATTTTTAAATTTTCTAGTTGTTGGCCCCTGGGCGGGAAGCTGAAGCGTTGCCTCAGCAAAACTCCAATGATACAGAGAGAGCGGTCGCAACAAAAAGGACTTCAAACAAGGAAGGCAGCAACATAAAGGTAAAATCATGATCGCAAGGTACTTTAAAGAGTCACAGTAATGAGATAGTCGATTTAATTTCATACCTTGTGACTTGACAAAGACAGTCAATAATATACTGCACTGAGACAAGTAACCTCTTTGCAGCCTCTTGTCCAAGCCTCAATTGACAGGCATTCTCGGATCCGTAGCTGGGACCCAGCATCTTCCGATCAATTATGGCCCCAAGATTATAGTATTCGTTTTTGATATTTTCCCAACAGCCAATTTGAGACTGACAAGAGAGTGCAGACCCAGGGAGGGTTGTAATTTTTGCCCGCGAATATTCCCAAAGAAAGAGGGAGTGGTCCATTGTTCTTGATTCCAGCACAATTCAAATAATTGGTTTGGTTGCGTGGTTTGAGAATAATCAAGGAGTGTTTATTCAGTGGGGGAAGTATGGTGGAGAGTAGGAGGAGGTGGGTGGTAGCAAGAGGGTGGTGGGCATCCCTTATATACGTATGATTCTTGGCACTCCGAAGCCAACCCAACCCACACCACACCTCCCCCCCTCCCCACTCCACTCGTGACTACAGGGGTGACGACACAACTTCCAGCTATGATTGACCATAGATAAGGTCAAAAAACAATCTGGAGCGCTCTTTAGAACTCTTAAAACAGTCATTTATACTCCCGAACAATACAAATGTATGACCGAATGATATTTCATGATTCTAGTCTTTTAGGGGATATCATCTCGGGAGGTCGAATATGAGAGGAATAAAGTAGAGCTGTCTACGAAATGGCTAATAAGAAGAAACATTATAGTGTCCTAGCCGTCGGTAGAGGTCGATAGCTATTGGGTGGTTGATTATGTACTTATTGAGCCGCTTAGGGTTGTAAACTCACATGTCCCCAAATCCTCTTGTCTTGGTTTGTTCGCACTTCAGCGCGTATACCGTATACCAGGGGATATGATATAGTTAAGCATGTATCGCCGGCCATGTTTGTTTGTTCTATTATATGAGATGAGAATAGATGATTGCACCAAGAGGTATATGTTTGGGAATACGGAAGCTGGTGGGTCCTGCCCCCGTGAGGAGAATGTTTTCTTTTTTTCTTTCTGTGTGGGTCACTCTCATTATATATATATAGGAAGACTAGAGCCTCCCTCCGGCTCGAACTTTTACTTGGATCTTCATAGGGTCTTTCCCTGGGAATCGTTGGGACTCTGTAGGACAATTGCTGCAGTATTCGTCAAAACAGCGAGTCATGTTTACCTACAAGTCTGTTTGGTTTACCTTTCTCGGATGGCATCGGTCAACGATTCTTCCGTTATCTTTCTCTCTCGTTGTCTCCTTCCAGGCTGTTGCACTACCTACATGTAGTTGATTAGCAGGGAGAAGCACGGTATTTTGCCAAGACTTGCGGTTGTCTGCCTGCGGAAGTCCTTGGCAACTTCCGGTACTGGGCTCTCCCCACAAAACAGACCTCGAGTGCAACTGGGACGATCATCCGCTCTTGAGGTGACAAGGACAATAGCGATTTCGAGAAGACCTCGAGCCTCAATGCTGTCTGAGAGCGTTCCTTCGTATTAGCGAGCTAGCGGCCTCGTTTGGACTGTGAGATGTGTGCAGAGCTAGGCTCGGGGTTCCAGCCAGGCTCGAGGAACTTTAGTAGGGGAGAGATAAATTCTTGCTCGTGGGGAAAAAAAAAATGGCGATCCTAACGCGGTGAGGGGCGGGATGGCTCCCTTATATGTAAGTGGGTTATTCGTCCATCCCAGCGGGGCGGTGATGCGAAGTGAGCCTCAGCAGTAGTAAGCCAAGGGTTAGGGGTACACAATAAGGGTTAGGTTTAATGCATATGGGTTAGGGCTTGAATCCTGTCTTATGACTCACTGTAGCCGTTTCAGATGAAAGGACGATTGACAGAAATCGATGAATAATTGAGGTTAAGAAGAATAATTTGCGGTTTGAATATGATTCTGAGCTGCCATTGGTCAGCAGAACATTAACCGCCGGGAACTTCGAACAGTTAGAAAGTTACATGGGTTATGTGACAAGGTACATTTATGTGGTTGCAAGGCTGAAAGATGAGCGCGCCACATATTGTGGCATAGTCAGATCTATTTTTATCCAGCGTGATGACAAGCGTGACAACGCCTAAGAACTGGAGGTACCAACGTTTTAAAGGTATCCTTGCCTTGAGAGCATTCAGCTGGATCTTTGACTAAGTATGTGCGCGCAAGTATACATGTAACTTGATTCAGGCGAGTACATGTAATCTTAAGCTCTGAGATGTGGCTTTCGAGGATACATGTATGCAGTTACTAGAGTGTCTGAAGAGTACATGTCGTACTATATGCAATATGAAGAATCAAATCTCTTGTTCTATACGTACATATACGTTCGTGCCCCTATCCAACAAGAGATCCGTAAACGAGTGATAATTTGTGAAGGTACCATAGTTTGGAGCTCCAGCGATTCTGATTAAGCCCTAGAAATACTTGTATCAGTAATTTGGGTCCTTGTCATCGTCCGATAATAGAAGATTGTAGCTGAACATCGATCCTTTCGGTGTTGATATGGTCGGTTGGACGAGAGAGAAGACAAGTCGTCTCCCAATTTTCTTGGCAGATGGAACCTTGAACATTAGTCAGCGGGACTGTTAGACTTGAATCCAACCCATTATGAGTATCACAGGTCGATGCAGGTCGACGCATGAGCGACCCAGACGAAACGATGACTTCAGTATTCGAGGATATTTGGTTTTTGGTAAAACTAAAGTTTTGGGGTTTGTTTTGGTAGCGGATATTAGGTCTGTAATCCCCCAAGACTTGCGAACCTCATGTATCCACGCCTACAAAAAAAAAGAACAAAGCTGGAACAGGAAGTAGGTGTACCGCAGTAGGTATACGTGTCTCATGCTAGATCCCCCTAGTCAGTATTCTGTTGGTGCCGGTCACCAGAAGAAGAAGAAGCAGAACCTTAAGCGGTCAGCCGGCCAGCTCCTGTGTAACTTAATTCACATAGGAAAATACCGCCAAAACTCGAAAAATTGGCTATCTCCGTCCAGGGACTACCGCCTGAATAATTGATTGGATGGCATCGATCTACATCAGAAGTTTCCCATACAAGTAATTCTGATCTAGCCAATCTTTCGAGTTATGGCGGTACATACATACATGTATACCGCAAAATCTCAGTTTATTCGGACGGTTGCCAAGAGCGGTGTTGGCTTTTGTCCTGCTGTAAAAGGCTCTGATCTCTTCCTTTAAGGGTGATATTTTTCAGCTCCTCTGCAAAGCCGTGCTCTTGGCAACCGTCCGAATAAACTGAGATTTTGCGGTATAGCTGGGGACACCTACTCTACATGTATATCTGGAGCACAATTGACCCCCAACTTCCCAACATAACTCCACCACCACCACAATATTTCAATTGGTTTTCTTTCTATAAGACGACTCTATTGCTTCTGCTCTACAGCTGTATAGAGAGATAATTAATTTAAGTGTTGTGGTTGAGGCGTAGTTAATTTTAACACTAGGCATGTTTTTGCTGGAAGGCAATATCGCTCAATTTATTACCTAATCGGGTAACATGCCTCGCTACCCGATCGAGCGATTTCTTAGGCAGACTCGGCCAGAAAGAGCTAGATCAGCGCCGGGTGGGGAAATATCGCTCAATTTATTGCCTAATCGGGTAACATACTTGCTACCCGATTGAGCAATGACTCAGACAGAAAGGGCTAGATCAGCGCCGGTCGCGGACACTGTTTTTTTTTTATTTGATTCATTGATTGCATGTAACCAGGTATCCCCAGCTGTATAAACACCAGGTCAGTCCAGCACATGTCTTGGTAATTGGGACTAGTAGGAGAGTAGTGTAGCTGTTAGCTTAGAGACTAGACAGATCGTCTGATTTCCGCCGGTTCGATGGGACTCGGAGAGAAAATAATCTTGAACTCGAACGTCGATAAATGTACCGCTCCAAGCGCTCATTAGCACACCTGCTTTCTTATGACAGGAAAGGCCCTAGTTGAAATAGTAGGCACTGGTACATTTGAATATCAATCAAGATCTACTGACTGCGAAGATGTCCTGCTTGTATCAGAAAATAGTATAAGTGTTTATAGACGTTAACTCGTACGTTCTTCCGCGAAGGATATAGGCCCAGGGGCCGAAAAAGAAAGATAGGTTGTATGAAGGACCGTAGGAATAGAAACAATCTTCACTTAACGAAGGGCTCCAAATCACTTTTGGTGTAGTGTAGGGTACAACACTTTCCCACCGTAAAAACAACATTCCACAACCGTCTCCATGTCAATCCAGAGTCCATGTGACTTTATTTCCCTTAAGATATGGACTTTTGAGTGTATTAGTCGGGGATATAATTTTCTGTTGGAATGGCGAAGATGTTGCCCCTCCGCCTAGGTATATTTATAGACGAATATTTCCCTCCCATTCCATTTAGATCCTTATATTAGGACTCTGGAGTATCATTGCTGATCTTTCACCACACACATATGTGTGTTTTCCGACTTCTTTTCTTCAGGAGCTGGCGACTGTCTTGAAATTCTGGAAACAGCAATTGTTAAGAGAGAAGATATTGAGCCGCAGTTCAGGGTACAAGGGTAGTTTCAAAGAGACAATATTAGTTCGTTTTTTCCCTAGTGATAATTGTAAATCTAGAATATGGCTCAAGCCATATTAGGTTGTGATAAGGGGCTAGAGAAGGCTGGGGGTCATTCAATATCACCAAAAGAGGACAATATTTGCTGTTAAAAAAATTATTATTATTGGCCTTATTTATGACCTATCAAACCGAACAAGCTCAAAATTCAAATCAGCATTCCCGCGGTGAAAAGATGAAGATTGATTCCAGTGTCTGTGGTTTATCACTACTTTCCGGTGATGTTGAGTTCTGAGAAAGCAGTTTCCTCCGCATCTTCATTCTCTTCACCATGTTCCTCTACCCCCTCGTCATCATCATCACCTCCGCCACCCCCATTATCCCATCACTTCCATCACCATCCTCCTCTTCGGATGTTTCCTCAGTGGTATCCGACCAGCGTGATCCCAAGTAGGGTTGCTAAAGAAGATATTAGCTAAATACCTAATGTGCCTCAGGAATAAACTCACATCCTTGTGATGTCTCCACAACATCGAGAGCCATTCTCTCTTAGCCGCATTTCCAGTAAGACCATCTGGAATTTCTTGTCCGTCCTGGAGCTCCTGAATAAACTCCACCTCATCATCCCAGGAGTATGGTAACTTAGATGGGTGATTGATGCCACCGGGACCAGCGGGATCGTCAGGAAAGGTCATTCCTTCGACGTAGGCGTGAAACCTTGAAAGGAATTCTTTCCTGCGGACTTCAGCAAATGTAACAACGGTATTCTCGTCAGTGGAAGGAATGGAAACGTCGCTGGAACTGGTATCGGCGCTAGATACCTCACCAGGAAGGGTCTCTGCTTCATCCTTGTCAACTTCATGGGCTTTGTCGTTTTCGTCGGTTTTAGGAACAGCAGAACCATCGACGGGTAACTGTTCGGCCACCGGTGATTTTGGAGAGAAGGATTGGATAAGGCTGGCTACAGAGGGCGCCATGATGTTTGGCAGGAGGATGAAAGAGTGTGGTTTTTGTGGTTTTGGGGTGTTGTGGATTTAGTGGTTTTGGTGGGTGCGGGATGAAAAAAGAGGAACGGCCTGGAGGATATAGAGTTGGTAGAGTTTTTTCAACACATAGAAGGATAACACGATAATGAAACATCTAGCTTAATGACCCTTGGAATTTCCTGAAGGGCCGAGTGATTATAGCACAGGACTAAATTTGCATATAATCTTTTGATGAGCTTGATAGTGCGAATCTCGATCTCTTCTGTTCTTATTATCGTACACACGCTCTCTAGCAATGAGAATATCGTGGGTCAGAAGAAGAAAAATGGAACACTGCAAAGACACATGACTCAACGAGCACCGCGTTAGAGAAAATTTGTCCACACACAATACAAACTTGCTATGCGCGAAAACTGACATGACATCATAAGCCAAAAAAACCAGTAACGCAATAATCAGAACATCTATTTTCCCTCTAGATATCCCGCAAGATGTTTGTTTGGAAGATCTAGATGATATTGTCTTCTAAGCTAGTAAGTCATAGCCAGATCAGTTGTTAACATACATGTAATCGCCAAATTGAGAATACGTGTCATTCAAGTGTTCATTTTGCGCAATTTTAAATGCATGTAGCTTCCAGCATTAAAAAGTAGACGAACCGGGCCCGCTTCCATCATTCAATGGATTTATCCTGCTTTCCTAAGCAATTCACAGCACCCGCGTACCCTCTGCTCCATCTTGCAAAATTATCACCTTCATCGCCAAAGCAAGAGAGAAACGATAAGATGACAGAACACGATCAACAGAAAGGGGTATTGTGCATGAAGGACCCTAACACAGGGGTCCCGGAAATCCTCCGTGCAAAGAAACCCGGCGCTGTGGGGGCCGCTGCTTCCATCAAGAGAAAGTACACCCAAAAGGTACCCTCACCAAAGTATCGTGATCCTGGGGTCCTAGAGTTTGAAAATATTTGCTAACTCGTGGCAGAAGAAAATACCAAAAGAAGGAACCAGAAAGTACACAAAGAAGGAGGGTCCCAAAAGAGAAACGAAAAAGGAAATTTTTGACAGACGCATTAAGAGCCGTCATATGTATACCAAGGAGGAACAACGATTCATCTATTTCTATAGATATATTCTCGACATAAAGCCCGGGGATTGCCACAAGTTCTTCAACGAATATTTTGGCCATAATCTAGGACCGGTGGCACTCAACCAACTTGCAGGCCGGATGAAAAATCTCCAACCTGATGATGTAGTAAATTGGAAGCACACCGAAGATTGGGCTGTTGGTGTGCATAGCACTGTAAGTGTGGTTGTGTGCTTGCGTGCTTATTAACCGAGACTGATTATAGTGTAGGTTGATAGCGATGATAGTATAGACAGCGATGGGGAGTCCACGGATGGGGACTCGACCGACCTGCACGAGGAGGATAACGATTTGTAGTTCAGAATTTGCTAAAATATGACGTAATTGGATGTTTGCTGCAATTGTTACATGCAATTACATGTATTTAACAGAGCGATAGTGATTGACGGCCCCGGGATAACATCACATACATGTAGCATATAAAATATAGTTTTTTAACCAGATATTTTAAACCTATCTCTTGGGGGTTTTTTCCCCTACAAAAATGTGTATTTATGTATTACATACAAGTATGTAGTATTAGAGCGTATTTGACAACTGTCGATTCCGACAATTGACAGTTCGCCGGCTGCAATAGCGGTTTGCCGAACCGTCAATTTTGATTGATGAGGGTATCGGCACAGGGTACCGGAACTTGGAGCTGGACTCTATCAATGCGCAAAAGGCCTTATGTCTCGATCTCGTCACCACTGATAATGGTAAATAATTTGAGAGTTCGTGAAGTATAATGTCAATTTTGCGACCCGCAACTGTCAAAACCGAACTGTCAATTGTCGAAATCGACAGTTGTCAAATACGCTCTATTCCATGCAATATTAGTATCTCGCAATGTTCCCGGAGATGTACATGTATGTGGCGGGGCCGTACATGTATGTATTACATGTATGTATGTATGGAGTGCAAGTAGGTGAATATACATGTAGCCATTATCTTCTTGTTCTACATATTCAGGTGCCCAAATCTACTAGAAGTGTAAGTTAGAGAAAAAGATAAATAGCGAAAAAAACACTCAGCTGTAATTAGTGACTGCGCTTGTAGTTCAATCACGTGTATCTCTGTTGAATTACGTGAATCGCGTGGATTTGAACCTCGTTGCTATGCGAACCATCGATCATGCAACTTGGTGCAACACAGTACTAATGGGGTTGAATATGTTCCATTCTTGGTTTAGCGTCCTCTCTAATGACAAAGAAATTATTAGAGAATGTGAAGTTTGAACAGCAAAAAAAGAAAATCCCCTTTCGAAACCAAGAAACATAGTCGGGTCTCTCATAGAAGAGAGCCTTTGGAATGAATGAAACTCCTTAAGCGCGAGAACCTCAATGTGCTACGTGTGGCAATTTGACAAGTGGGGGAATATTATTGTACATGGTAGTGGTCATATGAGTAGGGGGAAGAGAAAAGAGTCTCATGGTTAAGCTTAGTTCCTGGCTTAGTTTTGTACGTGTTTACATGCCTCAGGTAAACAAGGAGCTAAGCAGAAGTCTCCCGTAATGAATGTAGTCGACGTTGGATGAGGCTGGCGGAGAATTCACCTTAAGTCTTTAGACTTGGAGTAAATACTACCTCTTAGATGGAGCTGTAATTTTTGATGTCCAGATACCCGTTCAAGTTGTTTTTCTCCCGCGAGTGTGTGTTTGAGCGGGGCTTTTCAGGCCGATTCTTAGCATTTTCCCTCCACTGTGCAGTGTGCACCCAGAATGGTGTGCGTGAAATATTTTTATTGGCTTCACAATGTTGATAGTCAATAGATAATAGCAGAGCGACCTCACGGTTCTCTAAGACGATAAGAGTAGATGGGTTATCTCTTTTTGATACTTTTGATAGGTTTATTGCGCCGAGAGGGTGGGGAAATGTGACTTGTGGTAGCCCAACCCCCCAACCCCCCAATTGACCCTAGGCCCGTAGCTGGATGGTAAATACCAATGTAGTAGGTCTGCTTTTCAGTACACACCAAAACAACCTCGTCTTTCATCAACCAGCTCTAACCACACACCCTTCTCTTCCTATCCATCATCAATTCCATCCCCCTCCACGGTTTCCATCAACCCACTTTCACATCATCATCTTCATTCTTCTCATCTCGAATCTCACAGCCTATATTTCCCTAGACCCCCGATTTCTCTTCCCACAATCCCTCCCCTCGAAGGGTGCCTTCTCGTTGAATATTTCCAAGGCTTGGTCAATTTCTCTAACGCCACTATCCCACCATATCTGACAAAGCTTTGCCTGAGAGGATGGCTCCCTTGAACATGCGCTTTCACGCACCGCTATCATCAACCAATGATTATTTGTTTGAAGACTACCTCACCTCAAGCAATCATCAGGAGGGTATCTGTATTGGAGGTGCTCCAAAGAACTCGAACCTAGATCTGTTAGTGATTGAAAACAATTGTTTAACGTGAGAATGAGCCAAAGATTCCCTCATCTCATTCAGGAAGCAAGGTAAAACTATAGTACTAACCGGCATCGTCCATTCATCCTTAACAGCACTATTGCAAAAGGAAACTCTACACTATTGTCTGAGGAATCAAAACTTAAAGTCCTGTATGGTGTGTATAGAGATCTTACTATCCTCGAATATTGTTAGTGATTCAAAGGGGAAAAGGTTAACGTCAAGACAGATGCAGTCTGGGAGTACAGATCGGATGCTTGGTGCCATAACGCTCAGACCGCTGAAGCCCCCCTGAATAAGAGGTTAGCTTAAAAATACATACATGTATATACATGTATATTTCCCGATTACTAACAGGATATAAAGTGCATATCGTAGGAGCAGTCAGCAGTATTATTTCGGTAACAATCCACCGTCAAGCGGTAAGGAACTTTCCTCCCTCTTGTGTGGTATTATTTTAACTCTGCTGATAAAAGTTTCTAGAATTCGGCGACCCGAGAGAAAAGTTCGACTGGTTCTCAGGATCGATTGATCCTTTACTCTTATCAGACCCACCATTGTCGGCTCTAGGGTTTGCTGGAGAATCTGATACTGGTGAGTTTGATATTTCGATATTCTCTCCACCCAGAGTTTCCCCCTGCCTCGTTCGCTAAAGTTTTATTTCATTCTTGGGTTGATGGTTTTATTGTTTCAGATATTAAGGATACTGTCCGTGATGCGACCGGGAGTAATGATCTTCAGGAAAACTCCGAACTCCCTCTCTCACCCGAAAATATGGGATACATCACATCCAATAATATGGAAACAAGTAAGCGGATGCCAGTGGAAGACTTCTCTACCATGCTCGTAGACTCTTATCAGTTCCCGCACGTTCTCGAACATAAGAACGGTCTTTCTTTCAAAGAGGAGCCTTTAACGTCTTCTGGAGGCACCCAGAGAGGTTTGTTCCATCTTTCCTTATGCTGAAAATTTTAATAAGTCAGCTAACGATCTTTCTGGTTAAATTTTATCGATTTAGTTTCACTAGAGACCAAAGCTCCTAATATCAATGAGGATAGGAGAATTGAGTGCCAATTCCCAGACTGCGATAAAAAGAAGGGATTTAAGAGCATGCAAACCTATATAATTCATATGAGGAAGCATCAAGAGTGTTCTACCAAAGATCCACTTGCATATCCTTCGCAAGTATCTGATATTGACTTAGCTAATCCGGGCATACCTTTGCCCTACGTTATACCCCAACCGGTCAATATGGAGGATAAAGTTTTCCGATGCCCATATGCCGGTTGTAAATTGACACCGTTCAAGTCGATAAATACATTCAGACGTCATTGTGATTCGGTCCACAGCGGGAAAGAAGCGGAATGTCCCTTTTGTGTGCTTGAGAGATCCGACCGAAAGGATGAAGATAACCCGAAGAAGGTTCATTTATTCACCAGAGCCGATGCACTGCAAAAGTAAGTTTATATCCAGTTATCGCAGAGCCAACGCTTAACTTTCCAAGTGTTTTGATGTTGATATTTATGGTTTTCTTTCAGGCATATTAAACGCATGCACCCACTTATAGAAAAAAATGATCACAGGATGCTTGAAGTCATGAGAATCTTGCGGCGTGGGGACGGAAAGGGAGTAATTTGGGACAAAACAACTGAGCCCGCTGGTAAAGGTTTTGAAGGACGAGATGAGAACGGCATGCTCGTTGTAGACTCAATAACCCAAAAACGGAAACGCACCAAGGCCTGTAACGACCACTCTCAGAAGTTGAAGAAGGCCAAACCTCAGAAAGGCCCGAGTAAGGCAGAAGCATTTGGAAAAGTAAAGGAAGAAGAAACGATCTCTTCCCAGTTCACCATATCCTTATCTGGCCATTATTCCCCCAGCTTCAGCTCCTCTGGTAGCTTTTCTTGCTTCCAGCTTGATTCACCACCCTCGCCCTTCCCATCTACCAATGGAACCACTGAGGTCGTGGCTATGGTACCATTGCGCAAAAGGGAACGAACCTCGACCGCTGCGTCAGGGAAAGGAAAAATGAGAGCCAAGGTGTCCAAAATTAAACGAGAGGCAGATTCAGACGAAGAGACAGCATCGATGTCTGTGGAAGGATCAAAATATTTCCATGCTAGCGATATGCTTTTCGGGAGAACAGGGGTTGCTGGTCTTGGAGAAGCTGCGGAAAAGGAAAATGTGCCAGGGTTCCTGAGCTTAGGTAAGGAGGTAGCTGGTCAAAATATGGCCCTAAAATTTAAGGTTCTAGAAAGTGCGACAGCGAGCTCTGCGTCATCATTTGGTAAGTTTCTACCTTAGACGATGGATCTTTTGTTTACGATGAATTGACTGACAGGTGTTAGGATACTGTTTTTCCTGGCCTAATAATGGAGCGTCTTTCTATTATAACGCCGGGGACCACCAGATTCAAAGCTCTGATACCCCAGCCAGTGCTGCAGTGTATCCTACGAGTCTTTGGGGTAGCTGGGCAACGAAGAATGTGATTGATACCGACACCTGGCGCCCTGATTACCCCCAGCAAATCTCCCAAAGGGGAACCAACCTTTCCGTCTCAACACAAAGTGCTGAAGTACGAGAATTCACTGGAAATCATGTCGAAAATTCAGCTGCTGTTACTGAAGAGCATGGCATGCTCGTGATGGAAGAGGAAAATTATATCAACATCAACAATTCGGGCGTCTCCTTGGGCGCTTCGGGCTCATCAATGATCTCACAGAATGACGTTTCTGGAGCTTATGGTCAACCCCATCAAGTTCACCTGTTTGGTCTTCCTGCTGAGCCGATACCCGAGCCACAATATACTGATTGGCTGTACTCATATATGCTAAATGATTCGTTAGTTCCTATGGAATAACTACATGTGTACATAAGCATTATCTAGCCCCTCTTTCTTTTAAAGCCCCCTTTATTTTTTTTCTATTCTGCATATATGCATACAGACACTCACCATCACCCATTACTATGTATCTCTTCATTCTTCCTTAACTTCAACTATTATTTGTATTTCATCTTCCTTCTTTCATGTTGTACTCAAAGCCTTTCTTTTCTCTCGTAACTGTACTTTTCGCGCAAACGGCAGCCTTGATTTTTGTTAAAAATATTATGGCTTGAGCTGTATATACATAGAGGGCTGGAATTTTGAAAGCGGGTATTAAAAATGTGGTATTTAAGATGGTTTAGGCTTGTATATTTTTCTTTTGGAACTATTATTTCTGTTAAGTCCGTATACGTACAAATATACAAAGATCCGGAGTATATGTATATCTTACCAAGTACTGCAATATCTACTTTGTGGAGTCCGGCGATGGCTAGCATAATGTTTGCTGCGCAAGTGATTGATCATGATTCGAATCCTAAAGCGCCGGTTTTACACACATCAAGATAGCACTGGCACGATAGAGGATCGGGCCTCATGTTATATCCATCTCCATGCCGGTTATTATACTCGCGATTACTGGACTCTTGCTCCTGATGGAGAAAGCAAATAAAAAGATTGTTCCAAGAACAGAAAGTAAAATTCACTAACAACCTTAGCTCCCAGAGGGTTTCTTGCATTGTCAAAGACATGAGATATTACGTTTAAATATTTGATCCCGGTTTTCTTGACTTGCTTATTAGTAGGAAAGAGGAAAGGCTCAGTAGGCCTGGTTGGGTCGGCTCTTATATCGCGTAACTTAACTGAGAGTAGTTTGCACGCAAGATTTCTTGAAACTACAAACTAGACAGGGTACACAAGTACAAAGGAGCGAATTAAATAAAAATAAAAAGAGAAGTGCCCTGACTCGGAATTGAACCGAGGATCTTCGCATATCAACACTTTTTACGAGTGCGACGCCTTACCACTTGGCCACCAGGGCTACGATGTCCCATGCAACCTTTGAAATACTAAAACTAAACTTTAGTCAATATCTTAATCGGTCATAGTTCTTCTTGGCTTCAACACCCCAACGACATATAATCTCTTCTACATACTTGAGCAGACCATCGAGACTTTGACGGTGATATCCACATGCGCATAAATATAGTGGGGTTATGCACAGGAAAATAACAACTATAAGAGAAACCTAGGAGATCCTAGTACATAGATAATAGGAAATCTAAGAGGTGTGTATTTTGTTTCTAGTATCCTCTGCTCGCCGCTTAAATATGCGACAACTTGATCTGATCGAAGATTTAAATTCTTAGCGGGGTTTAGTTGGTTTTGTTGATCTTGGCTAAATCCTGTCCAAGGCTTTTCTTGTCGCATACAACATCTTGAATAGTGACCATGGGCTGCAAGGAAAGCGCCCGCTGGGGAGGCTTTACTCTTCTTTTCCATTTCATAAATAAGATGGATAAAACCCAAATCCGTAATGTTATCAATATTTTTAATCAAGCGGCGTTTTGAGTCATTTCCCGAGCCTGCTGTAGACCATTGGGGCTCTGTAGCTAACACCAGAAGCAGATATTCCACTCCTAACAGCCGACAGGGTTACTCCTCGCTCTGTATTATATCAATTTTGGTGCATATATACGAGGATTTTTGTTTACGGAAGTAGCCTATATCTTTGCGTACCAAACACAATTAGATAGCTGCAATGACAGAAATATGAGTGAAATTCCTACTGTATATACCGCAGTCTTTGACAATGCCATGGAACCGCGATAACACTATATTGCCGCATACTCCGTGAAAGTATGAAACAAAGAGGATGTAGGCTCTCGTATCCCATGGTATCAACTTCGCCCGTTTCTAGTACTAGTTATACATTCGTTGACATTCGCACAGAGTACTACGAATAATAAAGCTATAAAATATATTGACAAGAGACCAACCGCCTAAAGTCGACAGTGTTGATTCTGGCGAGCTCATATTATTATTAGCTAATATTCGTGACCAGGCCAGTGCTTGTTTCATTGCAGCAACGCTGAATGTCTGTGACTCAATGAAATCTTCCCCTCAGAGTTTCTAGAATCGTAGGGAAGAATAGGTAGAGGGGTTTACCTCGGGCTGTAAAGAAGGAATTAAGGGACCAGGGCTGGCTTCGAGACATCAAAGAGCTGAAAGGTAAGAGAATGATGGAGACGACCCTCATGGAACGTCTCTAACAGCTTAGGGTCATTCTGGAAGCTGAAGAGGAGCTTCTGGACGACCATAGCCAGCCACTGCACCAGAGCATGCAGTGTACAATGGGATGTCTACCACGCAATGCGTTCATCACGACTGCACCCCAGGAAGATGTAATATAGGAGCGCTTACCACACAACCCCCACATAGCCGGGAAAACTTCAATCCCACTCGCACCAACGCTTACAATTGACTCTATCTGTTGAGCTGCTAGCTTTGTCACTTGTCATCTCCTGCCTACGTATATTCCGAGTTGCGGGCACATACCTCATATCCGGCATCTCCTGTGCCACTAACATGGATCTCTCAGAAAAGAAATCTACCCTACTTCTAGACGAAAAGAAAATTAACACCAGATTTTATAAGTCAGCTCCTTATAAAATCGAAGTTGGTACATTCCACTGGTGTAATGATATGGGCTGCCATACAACACCTACTCATACCCTTCACTTGGGTGGCCGTGTCACTAAGAATAAAAATAGAGAGCGGAGACCTCTCTACATTCTTAAGATATGTGAAGATGAGCGGATTCTAGTCTTGTAAGCTTCTCCGCGTTTCCTCTCAAGTATATGGGTGTCTTCTAATGTAAACATATTAGGTCTTCAACAACTCGTTCGAGTCGAGGTTGGGAAGGAATGCAAGAACAGTATCGTCAATACTTCCTTCCTATCGCACCAACGCCAATGATAGGTGACAGACGGTTGATAACTCTTGAGGAAGACCCAGAAGCGATATTCTTAGGGAAATCACTTCTATACCTGGAGTTGAATGTGGTCATATTTCCGCGAAAGCTCATGGGATACATCGGAAGAGTTACGACCGAAGGACAGAAGCTCATCCACCGTGAATTTTATGACCTATGCAATCGGATTCGGCAAACCCAACAGCCCCCCCAAAACCAACCATCCCAAGCAGCGAAAGAAGCTTGTGATCTCAAGGCCAAGGGGGCACAAAATCGTGAAGCCACTGTCAAAAGCCCTGCCAGTCTCGAAAGTCCTGCCAGGGTCAAAAGCCCTGCTAGGGTCAATAGTCCTTGCAAGGTCGAAAAAAGTCCTGCCAGTGTCAAAAGCCTTGGTGTATCTTCAAGTCCGGATACAGACTCTCCAGCTGATATCAACCACCCAGTGAGGGACTCCTATAGTCCACGTCGTCGGGGAGGGCGGAGAGGCAAGACCTCAAAACACAATGGGGGATTGTCCACAAACCCACAGAGGCGGGATATTCCTGTGAATGGTAGGCAATACCTAAGGTCCGAATATCGCTGAAGAATATCGGTGAGACTGACACTCAGCCAGAATCACCTCTCAAAGGAGATGATCTTAGTACAGCTTTATCCGGTCTAGAGCTTATTAGCACCAGCAGCAGTGATCCCTCCAATTCGCCGCAAATTGTTAGCAACGATTATATCATACTCGAAACTCGGGTGGATAATAGGCAACACCAATCACTTCAGCCTGGCCCCTCTATCAGAAAGAGAACTCGTAGGCCACGCAGAGACGACGCCCAATGGCGTAGTACGGATATGACCAAATCCTCAAGATGATGCTCCTGCACGCCTAAAATCCAATTCCCAACCAGCAGGATTGATAATCATGTCGCAGCCATTATCTGACAGATAAAATGCAATTAATTGTAAATTGGATCTTAACAGGTAACTGTCCCTTAGAAAAGCTTCAGTATTTGGGAATATTTATGCGGATATGCTCACCAGGAATGCTCGATAGATAACACAGTCATACTATACCTCACCCGAATCCTCACCCGTTTTTGTTTTCGCCCATCACGTACCGAGTACATATAATTTGGCAATTAATTTGAGGATAGGGCGATCTTTTGTTGATTCCTGTTTTTGGAGGTACATATACGTACGACGCAATGATGGAAATCTATCATAGTCTTAGTCTCATGTATTGTACCAATAAAAAAAGAAATTTGCAAGCTAGTTTTACCTTTGTATAAGTTACTGCAGTTAACTTTGTAGGCCGTTGCTTTTGGAAATATCGATCAGTCATGGGGGCTGAGGTACATGTAGTTTTAATACGCACGTCACAAACCTGGGACCAAGTACATATGATTATTCTAGCGAAGTTAACAGCAGCAGAAGTACAGGGAGAAGAGTATTCCTGCTAAAGATTGAGATGAAAAGGAACACGTATACGTGTTGTATTATGAAGCATGTACGTATGTGGAAGCGCAATGTTGTGTACGTACTAGATCGATTCACACAAATTTAAACTTTATTGAGTTGGAACCCATGGAGCGTTTCCCTTAGAAATACATGTACGTACGTACATACGTCCACAGCGGAATCCAGTGCTACATGTAGTTTACTCTTAAATATGCACTAATGGGCTTTGAATATATACATGCACGTATATACATGTACTAGGGATACTTGACGTGTCTATATGTACGTACATAATGAAGTCCGCTCTATCGAGGTGTCGGTGATTGCCGGTTGGTCCCAGGAGTACACGTACTTATAACTTATACTTAGCATCATATAACCATCTAGATCTCACTAAGCTGATATATATCTTTCGCCGGCCGAGGAGCAGCGCCGCTTATTCGAGTGATATATCATGATTCAATGTGATGCATATATAATAGCAACCAGGAGAATCCCTTTGACTCCATAACTAACTCGCAGGCCTAAGGCTAATAAGTTCTTTAACCCCAGACAAGAGAACTCCAGAAGGCTACATGATATCATTACCTAATCAAATGCTTCTAGTATACAACCTTCAATATGCCAAGTCCAGTGAAAAGTAAAAGGACAGCAAACGATACTCGCCAGCCACCAAAACACAAGGAAAAGAATCGGAAAGAGAATTAGAACTAAATACAGATATATCACTACAATCATATCAAGCAAGAAGGAAAGGTCAAGAAATAGCTATTCTAAAATAATTAACTTTTGTGCTTTATATCCCCCTAAAGAGTTAAAAAAAAATACATAGCACTCACAAACGAAATGGATTTTACGAGGCCTTTTACCTTTCATCAAGTGTAGACAAAATAATAGAAAAGTGCACACACTAGCGCAAACTTTATCTCATCCCTCCCTAATACAATCCGCGGCAGTGTATCTCCGCCTACTATCGGGTTTAGATAACGGAGCCTGTCCGTCCCATGAGGTTGATCGCGATCGATGAACACGAGTAGAAACTACATGTACTGGTGTTACGCTAGTGGCAGAAGGGTTTTTACACCCCACTGAGAGGAGAACCTCTGCCGCAGTGTATTCGCTTTGGAGCGCAAATCCCGGCGGAAACAAGAATGGGGCCGGCGGCGGACCGCCGAATGTAGTCCGCTTGTTGGTAGCAACCGCAGTGCTAGCATGAGCATTTCTAGCAGGAGGCTTCTTATGATGGGGAGCCTGTCTGTCGGTAGTGGTCTTCTCATCAGCTGAAATTTTCATATCACTAATATCAATAGAAGACTCTTCCATGGCCGCGGTAGAAGCCCTTTGTCTTGGTTGGACCGCGCTATCAATGCGTGTTAGTATGAATCAATGGACGACGGAAAGATATGTAACGGGCACGTACGAGAGGGAGGCCCGTGCCTTGAATGGGGCCAATGCGATCCGAGAGACTGGAGTTTCATGGGGGAGAAGTCCATTAATATCATAGGCACACTGGTTCTTAGATTTGTTCCTAAGACTTGTTTTAACTAAGTATTTCCAATGATAGATTTATAGGCACAATTGTACAATATGACTCACCTGTCCCGAGATATCTTGCCGTCTGGCCCGTTGATAATATCATTATTGCTGATGAGATCTTGTTAGTCGAACATAAGGTTGGCTTTCAAAGGAGGAGACACTTACGTGCTATCACTTACTTCAGTCCTAAGCGCGAAGGCGGATTTATCAATATGAGCTCTATTTTCTCTGAGGTTTGGGTTAGGCAGATATCAATGAGTGTAACTTTCGGGTTGTCTGGCTTACCTCTCTAGTCTACTCTTATGAGTAGCTTTAAAACCATTCCCGAGAGTATGATTCGTTCTGAAATCTACTTTTTAGTCTTCAATCTTTAAGCAGTATATAGGTAACTTACTCATTAGTGATATCAATACTTTCCGGAATACTGAAATCGGATCTATATCTATCCGAGCGCTGACTATGGTTAGTGGCTCTGGAATTTATGTTAGCTGGTCTCATTTGATGCAACATCAGAGCGATAGAGATTACCTGCTGGCAGGAGCACCATACTCATAGCCAGGCTTATGTCCATAATCACAGCTAGAATTGAGATTTATGTTAATAAGGTTTTTATTTTCAGGAGATCCACAATGACTTACCTTTTAGTATCGCGATAAGGGGCGACGGCACCCCCTCTAGCTCTGTTCTCACGAATGGCGCCAGTGCTGAGATACTCATTAGACACCAAAGATATTTGTTCTTCATGAAGCAATAACTTACCGGCTGGTTTCTGCCACAGAATACGGCTGATGTGTTAAGGGCCGATTATTGGCAGCGCAGTTGTATAAGCGGGTTTTTTTGGGGTATAAAGATGTCTTGTTGAAGCGGTTCCCCTCATCACTGAAGAACCTGTAAGCTGAGAACTTTACCTTGAACTCATTAGGAAGACGACTCACATTCTATTTTGCGGCATAAACATTGCACTCGCAGTTTGTGGGCCACTAATACGATTTATGTTATTTAGGCCATACGAAAACAAAGGCATTGGGGAGGGATCTTACTGCTGAGGCAAATTATCACCCACTTCTTGGCCTCTATCCCCATCCTCGATCGCGAGCTGGCTTCTCCTATATATAAATGAGCCAAAATCTAAAAAGAAGTCAGGAGACGACCTACCTCTTAGCCACCAATAGGTTAACTCTACTAGCTGGAGAGATAGCAAGGTTCTCGATCTCACCAGCGGGAGGTAGCGGCTTTCTCATTGAGCTAGCATTATGATTAGTGCTCGAAAGCTCGAAAAAGAGAATTGATAGAACTGCTCACAATTGAAACTGATGGTATTCAATTAAGCCATCGTCATCGTCATCACTGCCGTGGTCAGATGCAGGATTGAAGCGTGTATTGCGGACTTCAAGTGCTGAGTGATGAATTTGAGAATTCCGTGGTTTATGACAATTGTCATATGGGCCTTTACAATTCTGAGTTGGCAGGTCTTGTAAAATAGCCATAGGAACTAAGTCCACCATCTCTATACCCTCTCTTTCGGAGAAATCAACCTCAACACTAAGACCGCAGTCATCTTTTTCACTAATTTTCGAAGATGTTAGTGGATTTGATTTTAAAAGATAGATTATTCATCAAATAATCAACTAGTGAAAAAGAAAAAACGAAAATAACTTACTCATGATCAAAAAACTTTTTAACAGCGCTTGATGTAGTCATATCAAGCCAATTAAACTCAAAGCTCCGAGCAGGAGCGGGGACATTAGGAATAGACAAATCCCCTTCAGCAGTATCTAGTGGTATGGTTACCATTGGAGGGGAATTAACTCTTTCATTATCTCGTTTTGCTAGAGAAGATGCAAGACTTTCACGGCTATAGGAAGCTGACTTAGGAGGGGTTGGCGGAGGGGAGCGAGGATTCAAAAATGTTGACGCTCTCAGCTTCAAGTTTTTAGGCACATTGAGGTCTGGATAGTACGCAACATGCTCGATGGGAAGAATCTCTTGGTGAGACGTGGTTCCTGCCATGTTCGATAGAAAAAAATGGGAGAAAAAATGACTCTTTGTGATTTTTTTTTGAGTTGAAAGTTCAGGAAAACGTGATGATGATGCTGATGAGAAAGAAAGAAAGAGAAGAAGTAGAAGTAAGGACAGAAATGGTGGGTGACTGTTCAAATAACATCCGCTGCTCAATGTGGGGGATTTTCTACAAGGATTTATCCGGCACTAATCAGATAGCGGGGAATTGTTAGCGGGAAGTTTAAGAGAAGAAGGGGGTTTACCTGCCGCTATTTCGTCATATGTTGGTTGTGGGAAACCTGAGAGTGAGCTTGAGCTGAGTAAATTCCACATGAGCTCGAACCTGAGTATTTAGTGTAATAGGGAGATATGTAATTATATGGGAGTTACAGGTGATTCCTTTGGTACCTATGACTTCTGAAGACTTGAGTAGTCGATATATAGAATTTAAATGTAACTTGACATGTATATATGTAGAACACAAGTACTGTTAAATCTATACTAGAGAGCCAACGTCAACCACACGACTAACCTACCACTTCACACCTACATCTCCTAAAGACATGTTCCTGTCATCACCAGTCGTTACTTTCTTTAAGTTGTTACTAGTTGATATGAAACTATCTGTTAAACACTCTATTATCTCTGCCTATATCAACACACTCAGTTCAATGCAGGATCACTTATCGATGCAGATATCCGGAATCATTGCCCGAGAATTGCACGGCATTGGGAATAGAAAAGGACTGATATTTCTTGACTTTCGAGCAGCTATGTACCTGAACAGCCGCCAGCTTGGTAGCGGCAGTGACCTACCCTTACACTCCTATATGTACAGCGGTGGGTAATTATAAGTGATGGAACACAGTAATACCTGTTTTGGTAAAACGCCACCAACATTTGGTGTTTATACTCTCAAGGCATTCCATCACTTATTACCTGTCGCTGTACTAACGTCTTCTGTAGGCAGTGTTTACGTTCAACGACGATGTGTGCGTGTAAGTGCATCTACGAACCTCGCTCGAACCAAACTGCAAAATAAGCCGTATATGAACACGGTCGTCGAGCTACACTACCTAGCTAAGGGCATATCAGTATGGAAGCAGACCACCACCGGCCCTACCTAAGTTGATGCGCGTTCCTAGCTATATACTAAGTATACTACTCAATCGAGGCATAGCTATATAGACCAAGAATCACGATCAATAGATATATCAAGAAGATACAAACAAGCACAGGTCCCCCGCCTCCGATAAGCGCACCTTGATCTACCATCTTTCCTAGGCTCTGGTTGGCTACTGGCTCTGTGTGTACACACATATGCAACTAAACTAGTTACGCATATGCGTAGTACCCATCGCGCCAGCTAATAAATTTTCACCAGCTACCGTGCTACTATTTACTTCCATACTGGACTGGGCCCAGTACAACCATTACTAATCTACTATTTAAGAAACACTCCAAGTCGCTTCGAGGGACACAAGTCTTACCCCACAAGGCCTGCAACCCTATCATTGGCCACCGTAAAACTCTTCACACACCTCCACCCTTCACCGAACCGATCGGAAGCAAAAGATATGCGACAAACCCGGATTGAACGGGTGACCTCCAGATGGCACCCCGGATAAAGAGACTTCAGTCTGGCGCTCTCCCAACTGAGCTATTATCGCGTCGCATGGAAGATGAGGGGAGTTTTGCGATTCTCGCGTGTTTCCGGAGCGTTGTGGCTTCAATTTGGGGGGCCAAGAGACGGGTTAGGGCTAGGGACGACAGGCATTCGTAAGGCTAGAGGAAACTACATGTACTCTATTATAAACAACCTCCAGGGGTACGCGGGGGAGAGTCGTTAGGCGCGAGGGCGTACTCTACTTTTTGGATTAGGATATATGATTACTGACACGAAGGATTGAACACAACTGGGGTTTTAACAACTTTAGCTTTGGATCCTGCGTGCAAACAGATCGAGCGAAAGGTATACATACGTATCAGACTACTACTACTCTTCTACTGAGCGCAAGACTGCCAGAACCCCGATAAATTTATAAACTCAATTTAGCTTCCAGTCGCGATAAAGAAGCATATATTCCTCATAACCACAAGTTTCTTATTTAATACGCTAATTTGCTCGACTACGCAAGTTCGCGAATTCAAGTGATCCGTAGACCTCTTTGTCACTTGAGGTTTCAGAGCATACAGGCTGGGTGCTCTGCAATACGGCATTTCAAGTATCCGAGCACAAGATACATCGTAAGAAATACGAATAAAACGCCTATATGTCCACTCGAAATTAATACTAGCAGTTCCACATTGCACCGACAGATGGGTTAGTAGAGTGGGCTGTGTATTGGTGTGTTAGTTGGTTCTTCCTCTTGCGTTGGGGTTCTTACGTCAAAGAACATCGAGTTTCTGGCTGCATACGAGGATTCGAGGTTGTGATTGATGTATTTTTGAGTTTTTATGGTTTGTCGCTCTCGGACTTTTGAGGTGGAAAGTGATCTGGTTAATATAAGCTGGCCATGAAAGTTGATGTGTTCTACGAGTCTTGAAATTGATAAGTATTTTGGTAAATAGAGATTATGTAGGGTGAGATATGAGTTTTTCTAGTGAATAAAGTAATAACCTCTTCCCAATGCCTTATTAAACGGTCCGACTTAACCAGTGCAACCACATTTCGACTGATTATCTAACACAGGAGAGTTAAAAAAGCTCCTGGACTCATTTCACGAGGCGGGTGATCTGTACCGTTCGGGGTCGGCGATCAACGGAAGGCCGTGAATTAATGGGACCCAACTGTTTTTCCTTCCAGGGTTTCTTTTGTAAACTATTATTTAGTTCTCTCTATAATTCTTCTAATATTAATATTAAACAAAAGTAAGGTGCGGGTTCTATACAGAAAAGTCTATAAACTTATACAACACATGAGACGCCGCCGCGCTGGGACAAAACAAAACAGAAGGAAAAGAAACCAAGAAAAATCAAAAACTGCGGACCCGCCTTGATGCGCCCAACTCCTAAACATTAATATTAACTGTCGCACGCACTATTATTGCTTTCCGGGCAGTGCGCGCACAGTACTCAATACCACGCTCGGCTGCCCGGTCAAGGGTCAATGATAGCGCGTGCCAGAATCAAACTGCCGACTACCAGCCAATAGCCCGTAAATTACGACCCGAACCTAGACTCAGGCATAGGCGCCGACCATACTTCTCCCAGAGCCCAGCTTTAGATATAATTCTCCCTATCATACCTCTCGAGCCCATCGCGCTGCTGCGGCGTACCAGCCCTCGACTCGTGGTGCGGCCCGGAACCGACCGAATGATGAATCACCATCGGCGGACGTACATCCTCCCTCGACTGTCCCCTACATCCAAACATGCTCTTGCCGAGCTCAAAATCCTTCATCCGGCCGCTCTCCTGCCGGTGTGAATTGTTCCCCCCGGTCACCAGAAGCAGCACGACGCCGGCCATGCCGAGGCCCGCAAATAGTACTGCGGCCCATGCGAGCGCGATGCCGTTCCCGCCCTTGAACGGGACAACGGTCGGGTGTGTGCTGAGCGTGCCGTAGACGATCGAGGACGCGGACTGGAAGAGGATCGCGGTGATGAACGAGAGACTGAACGCCGAGAATGCGAGCAGAGCAAGCAGTTGCCCGAGCTTTGTGGTAAGGTTTGTGACGCCCGGCCTGCAGGCGGTGAAGATGGAGAGGAGCATGAGTACGCCCTGTATTGTGAGCGCAACGATAGGCGGGTATGGGGAGAGCGCGCCCTGGATTGAGGCGCCGAGTCTGAACATTTCGAGGGTGGAGGGGTCAAGCTTCTTGGGGTCGGTGCGCGATTTGACGCATGTTAGTGAGCTGGTGCGGTTGCGGGAGCAGATGCCGAAGTAGCTTATGAGCACTGTAGTGCCCTCGCTGGTCTGGGTCTGTAAGGCTCGGGGGGTTACTTTCGCATTACTCGGAGCATTCGGGGCGCTGGTCGTCGTTCTGGCCCGCGACGACTGGGTGGTAGATACCCGTACCCTAGAGAAAGTGCTCAGGGTAGGTGCTGCTAGAGAACTTGTGGTTGTTGTGGGTCTTAGAAGAGTGAGCGCTGGCGGTAGAGAGAATCCGGACGCCGAGCTTTCGGTTGATGAGCTTTCGACCAGCGAAGTTTCGGCCAAGGCGGAGGTGCTAGGGAAAGCTGCCTCCCTCGTAGAGTTTAATACTATCTTGACGACATGCAGGCCACTTATGGCGGGTGCTGTCGATGTTGTTCCCGATAGTAGGAAAGCTGATGAATGATTTGTTAGCCAGAGTACTATATCCTCAGAATGCAGAAGAGGTTGCGGATCACCTGTCAATATTACCGCCAATAGTAAACATAAGTTTGTCGCCGGTCGTGCAATCCCGAAATTCCACATATTACAAAACATTTTGTCCTTTTCTTGTTAAATTAATATATGTGTGTAGTTTGCGCTTGATGGTAAATTGAAATCGTTGTTTGGATTTTGTGTATATCGAGTCCATTTGACCATAAATGGGGTTATATATGTGAGTTCACCTAAAAGCGTTTTCAAATATTCTGTCCAAGATGAAACCGAAACCGAATCTGCTCGTTTCAAGAACTTATAATTAGATCTCTAGAACGTGACTCGCTGAAGCCGCAGTCTCGTGTTTATTTTTCAAGTGTAGTGCAAGTAGTCGGTCGACTCTTGCTGGTACCTTGTTAATGAAACCGGACGGGCAGAAAATGACTTGAAAGGCAGCTACAGTATCAAACAAGGGGATATAATGGCACTGGAGTAATATGGGATTATGAAGAGACTTCTGAATCAAATCGGGGTCCTGATCGTTATACCGTATCAATACCATAGCAATATCGTAACCTCGCGGTATTATATAATTATGCCAGATATTAAGGTACTGAGTTCATTCGCTTTTCGGTATTGTAGTCCTTTGAACAATTGCAAGATATAATTTCCCTTATCTTGACCGTAGAGAAGCGCATATAATACATCTATCTTGCCTTATACTCCAGGTGTCCAAGATCGTTGCCGATGGTTTGTTCTCATATATGAGTATTAAATTATACCCCTCGCTATAATGCATCTCCTTACAGTTTCCGATAGAATTATTGCGAAAGCGGGTTTTCCGCGATCGAATAGTCCCATGGCCCTTGAAAGATTTTTTCTGCGAGTACAGACCAACAAACTCATTCTTTTATCTTTCGCTTTCACCAGAAATTGCAATTATTCAAGATGCCCAAATAGCGAAGCACTCGAGAGTGATCCCCCATGATGCCAACGCCCAAACAAACCCAAACCCCAAACCACGCCATCTTAGAAACAATTCCCATTCTAAAGTCTCAACCCCGTAAATTCAAACCCAATCCCGTCTCCCAAAGGATGACGTTGTCTTCTGTGCATGCTAGTAACGGTTGGGCCTAGAGAAATTTAGCCAGGCCCCCGGGGAAGATGCGATGCACCGGGATTAAGACGCTTGGCACTTGGTCCGGTCACCAGGTCAGTTCGATAATTAACTGCAAATATGCAACAATTCAATTTTCGCGATATCAAAATTTACTCTTAAACTCGGGCCCAGAGCTCGGACCTTTCTCGGGTAATTCTTCGGTTCAGACATCATCCGAAAATGCCTTGCGACCTCGTCTTTCTCGCCAATCGTTTATATGGGCTTTTTTGTTGAGATAGGCCCGCGGGTGGTACGATGTTGGCGGTCTTGGAGGTCTTGGAAAACTCTTGGACGCTGGCAAATCCGGTTCTTTGGGGGCCCAATCTCAAGGGAGGGAGTATGTGTTAGGTATTTTATGTAGTTCTGTTGGAAATATTTCCGTGTATGTTGCTTTGCATAATAAATTATGTAGATTGGGTGTCATATCCAAAGTAAGTAGGTAGAGCGCCCTTCATCCCTCTGCTTTCATGTATGTATCTCAGAATATCCCCTATTCATAATATGTATCGCCTTGACAGCGGCCGCTGATTCACAAAAAGTCAAACTTAAAACCCGGGTCCTTAGTCCATCGTTTAGGGGCTCAATTCGTTCTGCAATTTCTTCGGATCCCATACCCATACATATATTACATACCTATGCGATTATCGCAAACCCACCGTCCATGCACCAATATTACCGTAGGACGATCCACCATGAACGTATGCGCCAATCCCTCAACGGCACTACAATTTTTCCAAGAAGACGCCTTCACCATGACCCCACATTTCAAATAAACGGCGAAGTAAAGCCAACATCCCACTGGACGCCGGTTTGCACAGCCCATACACTACCAAACCTCGTGTCAGGTGCATGCATTTCATAGTGATTGGCGGGGCGGCCAAGATTAATCTATGTAGCAAACAGCTCGTGATATCGAAGAGTTTGTCTGCTAAAATGAATTACAATGTTAGTAGCTTATCGGATTGCAGCGCCCATTAATGTAGATTCGTGGCTGTGCACTCAGCTCGAGTGAGAGACCATGATTGATTTTCGCCACTTTGGCTACCGGTACTGGTGGCGGTGACGGCATTGATGTTTCGGCTGTTGAGATTTAGTTACCGAGATGCTCTTCGAAGATTCGGGAAATCGGAGGCCAATCCGTGACCCTGAGGATTGTACTAAGGGACTTATTTGTCAGTCCATTCTCCACTGGGATGGGGGGGGTGTGGGGGTGTTGCGTGGCGGCTGTTGGCAAAGATATTCTTAAAATGATACCACATCCAGCTACAAAAAGGTTTTTCCAAGGGCTGGGCGAGCTGTTAGTTTTCCAGGATCTTTGCAACCTGGAACACTGTCTTGGAGTTGAAAGGTCAAAGAATGAGTGATCTCCCCCTCCCAGAGGTGCTTCAGACGACACATGTAAGTACCGGAGATGTGTACTTTATGTAAACATTAATTTTCAAAATGCGTTCTCCTAAAACTCCCGCGAACCATTTTGTAAGCCTTATTATTTATCCTGAGGAGAGACAGCGTCGATATTGCCTTGATCTGGTGACACGGCGTTCTGTTTCAGAACCATGGTTCGCCCAAGAAACGACTGCCAAGGGCAATAGTGAACGACCCGACTAAACTCAAAGCGGCATTGGCGGTCAGGATCTCCCCGATACGGGGGGGGTGGAATCTGTACTTTATCGACCCAACTTTCACAGACCGCCGGCTGAAGAGGGGAAGATGGTCAAAAAAACGCAGACACCTGTCGAATGGTATCTGTGCGATAATTGTTCAGAATGAATCAAACGCTGTCAGCATGATTAGAGTGTAGCTGTATGTATCCCTGGGTCTTAACTTCCAAGGCGGGGGGCAGGCCGTCACCCCTGCCTTTAGTCGTCATGTCGACAAAAAGATGTAGTTATTCATTTGAACGATGAGGGTCAGGAAGGAGCTACTTAGGAGCTCCAATAAAGGTCTAGACAGGGGCCACGAAGATGTTTTGTTCCTAGATCTTCTCGAAGGAAATATCCTAAGAACTTGTTACTTTAAAAGGGCCAGCATGCCGACAAGTAACCTCGTCGAGTTTGTGATCGGGTTCTGCAGTTCAAGGAAGACCGACCAAACGGTTTAATTCGGATCACGCGACCGCAGCTTATCGCAGGGACCACACGAACACAGGATGTTTATCCGTTGGCTGGAGTCCAACCAAGCCCGATGTTTAATGCGTCATTGAGGCTCGGCGGAGGCGGAGGCGGAGGCGGGACACGTTGCACACACCCAGGTGTGGCCAAGCCAAGGTCAACCCGACCCAGGGGGTGAACGGGGTCTGTGCGAGCTGTAGATAGCTTCAACTTACGCTTGTTGTGATGCTATGCGCAAGTCGCGTTTGTATGCGAATTTCTCCTTGGGCAAACAGACACACAACTGAAGGGAGATCCCATCCATCAAGGAGCAAACAGCGGACCCGTGCACATCATGCAGTGTAAGGGCGTGGGATGGCACACTCGTACTCGTCGTTGGCTGGGGACGATAGGCGTAGGTTTGGGAAGGAGTCCATAAGCTAAGCAGATGAAGGATGGATGAGATGGCAGATGGCAGATGGACGCACATGTCCGTGTGTGTGTATGTATGTGTGAGTCTTCTTTCTCGTAGTTGTTAGCTGGACGTCTGCTGCGATTTCCCCCTAGAGAAGCCGAGAGAATGTTGAGATGTTGAGAGGGAGCGCGGTATCTTTCAGCAGCGTCTGCTTGCAGCAAGAAGAAAAAACACAGTTTAGAGTTTGCATCTCGGTTGGATCAACGGGGAGACTTGGGGTTCCAAGAGAATGATGTAGTTTGGGACATCTCGATAATAATAATTACAGAGATCACATCATAGACTCACAGATTCGAGTAATATGCTCTATCCTTACACATGCTGTCCATACATGGAAGTGATATAGAATATGCACAGTGAAGTAGAGTAGCAGGCATGCATCCTCGGGTGACACCTTTGTTCAATTAAGCCGGCTTGTATCCTGCAGCCGAGCGGACCAATGATTTTTGTTGAAACTGCGCAGATAGGTAGCAACCCTACATGATTCTGTTGGTTGGTACCCACTTGTACTCTAGTGAACTAAAAGCTCCATTTGAATATAAACCCTCCTGTGCACCCCCCTCAGGCACCTTTCTCTCCTCCCTTACTACGCGGCTCCACCTCTGCTTCACCTTACACATCTCGCACTCTAGTGTTCACATCACCACCACTCCCAACTTCAAACCCCCATAACCAAATTTTTATCGTAGGTTTTATTGAATGGTCAACCCCACTTCCCTTTCCGCCTCCCCCGCCGCCTCCCCCTCCACCCTCCAGCACAGCTCTGGCGTCAACCATACTTCGATTGCGGACGAAGGCTGTAACGATGATCCCCCGCCTATACTTTCGCCTCCTGTCGGTAACTCGGCAGGAGGCGTCCCTTCAAACCTGCCAGATGACCGTTCTGGCTCGAGCTCAAATACTATTCCGAATACCTCATACTTGACTCCCGGAGGTAGCAATGGTAGCAACAACACCACCACCTCTGTTGGTGGTCACCCAGGAAGCAGGGTTTACGATTATGGCTTCTCGGGTAAACCTTTGCCTGCGACTGCCGCGTCTAGCCCTATCTACGATTCGACCCCGAGTGGACAGAGCTCCACAACAGCTGTAAATACAATTACAGCTAACTCTACAGTCGGTTCGTTCGATGGGGTAGCCCCACACGCGGCCAGCGTCGAAGCGGTTTCTTCGCTTCTCAAGGTCGATCTGAAGAACGGATTGACGACCCAGGACGCAAAGGCAAGGTTAGAAAAAGATGGAATGAATAGCCTTACCAGCGACAAGGGAGTCACTTGGTACAGTGTACTACTCAGACAGGTCTCAAACAGTTTGACATTGGTATGTAAAACCGCGGTTTTTCTTAACTGAACCCCTTTTTGTGTTTGTCTTTATGAAGTCCCAATACACTCTGCGTCGTTATTGCGCCATCGATTCAACTCGATTGCACAATCGGAGAAGAGACTAATCCGATCCCCAAACCCCCCTTTCCCTATACCCTCAAAACCAAGCAGCTTTACAATATTGTCAAGCGGATGTACGAGAGAGAGAGAGAAGCTCCTCGTTTTCCTGCAAGGTGGAAGAAGCAAATCAATTCCTGTATCACTTCATGTTTAAGCCACGGAGGTCTACCCCCGAGTTGGCAGATTTTTGTCAAGCGGTTTGATTTGCTCCAGGACGTGGGAATTGAGAACATCAGCGACGCAAAGATCCTTGATTTTGCGTCGAGCAATGTATCATTTATCGTCATTTTTTTCTTTCATTTTTCGTTAGAGAGAGGACCCAAATCCAAACTCATAAATCACTGTCTGTTGTCTCGATGTCACCTCGTATGGAGGGTTTCATTCTTGATCTAAAATGTGCAAAACGAAACTTTCTCTACAAGATATGCTAACAGCACATCGCCATGTAGGTTCTGTTGATTGCTATGGCTGCATCATACGGAATGTTCGACTTCATTGAGGGTTCAGTTATCACTGCTGTCATTGTCCTGAACATTGTCATTGGTTTTGTTCAGGACTGGAAGGCGGAAAAGACCATGCAATCTTTGCAGTCTCTCTCTGCTCCCATCGCGTCTGTCATCCGTAACAACGGCCATGTTGAAAAGATCAAAGCCGAAGAAATCGTTCCGGGTGACATTGTCAAAATTGTTGTTGGCGATGTTGTCCCTGCAGATCTTAGGCTCTTTGAGGGCATGAACTTTGAGACCAACGAAGCTTTGCTTACCGGTGAGAGTTTGCCGGTCGCCAAAACTCCTCTCATGACCTTACCGCATGCCGACTTTCCCCTTGGAGATCGTACCAATATGGCTTACGCCTCATCCACCGTCTCCAAGGGACGTGCTGTTGGTATTGCGGTTGCTACTGGTATGAATTCCGAAGTTGGAAAGATCGCCGAACTCTTGAGAGGAAAGCGTGACGAGGACGCTGGAAAGGGCTTCTTCGGAAAAGCTTTTGGAAAGTTCAAGCGTGGAGGAAAGAATATCCTTGGTCTTGTTGGGACCCCCCTTCAAGTCAAGTTGAGCAAGTTCGCCCTTCTTTTGTTTGGATTTGCCATCTTACTGGCTATCATTGTGTTCTCTGCGGCTAAGGTAGGCCTCTACACCTTCTCTTCTAAGTTGAAAGTTTAAACTAATCACTATCATAGTGGAAAATCACCGATGAGGTTCTTATCTACGGTATCTGTGTCGCTGTTGCTGTCATCCCTGAATCTCTTATCGCTGTCTTGACGATCACTATGGCTGTCGGCACAAAGACCATGGCGAAAGGCCATGTCATTGTACGCAAGATGCAAGCTCTTGAGGCAGTCGGTGGTGTAACCAACATCTGTTCAGACAAGACCGGAACCCTGACCCAAGGAAAGATGATTGCTCGCAAGGCTTATATTCCTGGTCTTGACGGCATGTTGACTGTCAACGGTGCATCTTCTCCATTCGACCCCAATTCTGGAAACTGCACCATCGGCGACACAGTCATCGATGGAGGTTTTGTCGCAAAGGCACCTGCATTGGAGAAATTCCTTGATGCTATTGCCCTTTGTAATCTTTCGGTCGTCAGGCAAAACGAGGATACATCAATCTCTTCCGAGAAGCCTGCTGGTACCTGGAGCGCTGATGGTGAACCCACTGAAATCTCTCTGCAAGTCCTTGCCATGAGATTCAACCATGGGAAGCCAGATCTTATTGCAAGTGGCAATTGGGAGCAGCTTGCTGAACATCCCTTTGACTCCACCATTAAGCGTATGAGCGTTGTCTACAAGAACACCGGCAGCAACACCGTCGAAGCTTTCATGAAGGGAGCTGGCGAGGTTGTTATCCCTACCTTGAACCTCCCTGAATCTGAAAAGGCCGAGATCATGAACTTGGTCGAGCGTCTTGCCGGTGAAGGTCTCCGTGTTCTCTGTACCGCTCACAAGACTCTACCTTCCAGCGAGAAGAGCGTGATTGATAACCGCGCTTCTGTTGAAAGTGGCATGAGCTTTGTTGGACTTGTTGGACTCTATGACCCTCCTCGTTTGGAGACCTTCGATGCTGTTCGCAAGTGCAAGGTCGCTGGTGTCAAGGTTCACATGTTGACCGGAGACCATATCAGAACTGCCACTGCTATTGCTCACGAAGTTGGAATTTTGTCTCCTGCTATCCCGGCTTCGCAAGCCAACACGATTGTTATGACTGCTGGACAATTTGACGCGATGAGCGAAGAGGATATCGACAGACTCGAGGCTTTGCCATTGGTTATCGCCCGTTGCTCTCCTGCCACCAAGGTCCGCATGGTTGAGGCGCTTCACAGACGTGGTGCCTTCTGTGTGATGACTGGTGACGGTGTCAATGATTCACCCGCTTTGAAGAGAGCAGATGTCGGTATCGCCATGGGTCTCAGCGGCAGTGATGTCGCAAAGGATGCTTCGGACCTTGTATTGACTGACGACAACTTTGCCTCCATCGTCCGCGCTGTTGAGGAAGGGAGACGTCTGTTTGATAACATCCAGAAGTTCATCATGCATCTTCTCATCTCTAACATCTCCCAAGTTGTCCTTCTTCTCATTGGTCTCGCCTTTGCCGACTCATCAGGTGTCTCCGTCTTCCCTCTGTCACCTCTTGAGATTCTCTGGGTCAACATGATCACGTCTTCGTTCCTTGCCCTCGGATTAGGTCTCGAAGAGGCTCAGCCCGACATCATGACCCGCCCCCCTCACGATCTACGCGCCGGAGTGTTCACATGGGAGGTCATCATCGATAAGATGATCTACGGTGTCTTCATGGGCGTCCTCTGCCTCGTCTCCTTCGTCATCGTCATCTACGGCTACGGAAACGGCAATCTCGGCCACGGCTGCAACCACGCCTTCAACGACACCTGCGTCGACGTGTTCCGCGCTCGTGCCACCGTCTTTGCCGTCCTCTCGTTCCTCCTGCTCCTGACCGCCTGGGAGGTGAAGCACTTCTCGCGCTCGCTCTTCAACCTCGACCCGGCGCGCCACCGCGGCCCCTTCAGCATCATCCACACGCTATGGTACAACCAGTTCCTCTTTTGGGCCGTTTTTGCCGGCTTCGTCATCACGTTCCCTGTCATCTACATCCCGACCTTTAACACCGTGGTGTTCAAGCATATGGCTATCACCTGGGAGTGGGGTGTCGTCGTGGGATGCTCCGCCACATATCTCGCCCTCGTGGAGAGCTGGAAGGCGATCAAGAGGTGGAAGAAGATTGGCTCGGCAAAGTTTCTCAACAGGGTACAGGCCGATCTCGAGGAGGGCCTTGAGAGCGGTGTTGCCAGTGGGAGGAGCAGCAGGAGTGGCACAATCGTGGAGGATCAGACAAAAATGTAAAAAATTGCATGTTTCGCAGTAACGAATGTCATGATGGGTTACGGGGGGCACTCCTTGGGTTGGTTGGGTTTGGGTTGGGTTTGGTTGGGTGGATGGGGGTTTTCTTTTTTCTTGCAATAAATGGGTCTGTCTGGGTTGGTGATTTGTCCCGGCAAACAAAAAATGTCCTTTTTTTTATGTAGCTTTCTTCTTAACTCTTATCTTACGGGGTACATGTTGTATTTACATGATGATTGTAACGAATCATACTTGATGCTTGAGATAGAATATACATGTTACGACTATATTACTACTACATACCACTACTTGATATCATCCTATTATCTGTGAACAAGAAGTTTTTAACGTGATATTAGGTTAATTCACCTTAGTATAAGCCTTAGTCAAATCCCAAATCTACACATCCCACCTCTAGCCCAGATTGTAAATACAAATCCCACGTAGCAGTAGCACCAGAACATTCCGAAATCCTTCCTTCCACCACCACCACCGCCGGGTTGAAACCAAAAACCAAAAACCAAACCGCAGCCACCCATGTCACAAGACAAGACAAAAAAACAAGACCAACCCTAAGCCAGATCTCAAACCCGAAAAGCTTAAATCCAACCGTACCCGGACGCCACACAGATAAACTTTCCGCGCAGGGAAAGGGGAGTGAGGGAGGGTGGGTGGGTGACGACTGACACTGACTGAGTACGCACACGCTCCCTCCCTCCGGATCCTTTCGACTACGCAAACTAGACTAGAGTATGGATCTTACTCAGGGGAGGGGTGTCATATCTTGACTTGCCTTGCTGTTGAGATCTACTCCATCTAAAGCAGGTCCACTCCCTTAGGTGGCATGTACTAGACTAGAGGCTCCTCCCCTCTCCACTGGCTAGAGTTCTCTACCTGTCGAGATGTAGGTACCTGTCTGACGCGCGTACTCCCTCCACCTCGAAACATCTGCTGTCTTCCCCGGCGGAGGGGTTGGGGGGGGGGGGTCGATCACCAAGTCTTACCACGGACAGTCACTACCCGATTCGGGGGGCACCAAAACCAAACATCCGGCTGTACCTGAAACTTACAGCAGATATCAATCTTTTTTTTTTTTTTTTTTTTTTTTTTTTTTGGTCTTGTCTACTTGGCTGATATGATGGATACGTAGCCGGCCGGCGTGGAGGAAGGAGGAAGGCAGAATGGAAAGGCTGCAAGTGAGGAGTTGTTCCAACCAATAGTACCTACTTACCTACATGTAGCTACGAAATATGTGATGTCTACTTGTAGTACATACATGTACTTGTCTCGGCCGGCGGGTTAAGCTTTAGTGGCTTGCTGGCTGGCGCAAGAGTTTTGCAGTATGTGTGGATATGCGGCAAACAAGCTTTTCACGATGTGATATACTCTTCTATGTATGTACGGCCGCTGCTCTAGCCCGCCGTCTCGGAAAACCAGTGATCCGGTGGTTATTATCTCCAATACATGTACTCTACAAAAACGCCGGCGTGATAGGTGGATGAGTAACTGCTATATACATATGTATGTAGAGTACATAACTTCTGCTGTGTATCCATCCACCAATAAGCTAATCCTGATGGAACTTCCGGGTCTGGAGCCGTTAGGGTACATGTAGATATGCTGATTACTGCGAATAAGAGCTCACCAGTTTCGGTGGGGGCCAAAGATGTTCGTGATCACAAGGAGATATTTCCCAGATTGAAAACGATGGGGTTAGGGCTGCGCGGCCTACACGAAATTACGTCTTCGGGTTTGAAAGCAAGCACATCAAGCTTTAAACACGCCCTTGAGATACATGCATCTCTACTCGAAATCGTTTTGAAAACAGGTTGACGGTACGGTATTCAACATCGTACAAATCCTTGTCTGCCCACAGAGATACATGTACATCTAGGTTCATCTAGGTACATATACTCTGCTCTATGCTGCCTGACCCAATAGTTACGCAAATCACAGAGGTGATACTCGCTTCAGGTGACATCCTCGCATTCATACGGAATCATGTTTACTCTGCCTCGAGATGCTGTTCATTCCTCTTTGGGCAACCGGAAGCAAGGAACCACTTCCCCGGACCGGCCGCCTTCCCGGTTTGGTGCGTAATTAGTAGCATCAACACGCTTGTTTTTTCGGCTAAATGTCTTGGGACCTCGTCGTAGTTATAAATCTGTTAGAGGAAGTGAAAAACCTGCATGTTTGAAGACGTCCGTAAGGCCCTGGCCCGGATGGTAGGTCATGTAATTTGTATAATGGTGCAATGCATATCATTTCATGTTCCCCCCGCAATCGCAACGATGTCTGCTCCAATTAATTAATTACGCAAAGAAGCTTTCGGCCCCCAGATACAGATTATATTAGCCTAGCTACCAGGCAGTCAAGATTTCATTTCCCGGATACCGCAGCTGGGTTAGAAACCTGGGAGTAGATATGAAATAAAAACATACTTAACTTAACCTTGAGCAATTCCCCGTCGTTTCCTCTTCTTCTGGATCAAAGAATCTCACCAGTCTATCCGTGATCGATCACCATGGCCACTCTACCCCATCCTTCCGCCGACGACGTCGACGACAAAATCTCCACTTCTGAAGCCGACAATAATGCTACTACAACCCATCGCCTACCACCTATCGGGATCAGGAACCTTTCCCCCGAAGAAAGTTTAGCCCTCGAAAACAAGTTGCGTAGAAAAATTGATCTGCGACTGATGCCGATGTTAATCTTGATGTATATCCTAAATTACTTGGACCGAAATAACATTGCCGCGGCAAGATTGGCGGGATTGGAGGATGAGTTAAAGTTAACAAGCACGCAGTACCAGGTGTGTATTCTTTTTTCTCCGCCCAGGGTGGTGGAACAGAGGCTAACGGGGGTGTTGATTAGACTTGTGTGAGTATTCTGTTTGTGGGGTATATCCTGATGCAGGGTAGGTACATGTAGCTATACGTAGTTATGTTTCCTCAAATAATGATGTTAGTTCATGCGATTTCTAACTGAGAACGTAAATAGTACCTTCAAATATGTATCTCGACAAGATCGGAAGACCATCGATATATCTACCTACTTGCATGGTAATCTGGGGTGTCATTTCTGGGGCCACAGGCGGAGTGCATAACTTTGCGGGATTGGTGACTTGCAGGTAATGTACTATGAAGCTCTGGCCGGCCTCACCACTGAGAATCCACGCTGATTGTGGCGATTGATAGGTTTGTGCTGGGATTCGTGGAAGCTGCTTACTTTGTATGTGATCGTGAATTACTAGTCTTGAATTTGTCCATAATTTTTGACTGATGCTAACCTGACCTTTAGCCTGGGTGCCTGTTTTATCTCTCATCCTGGTACATCCCCAAAGATGGGCTATTTCGCCGTATTTTAACCAATTAAACATCTAATGCGATGTGGAAACAGGTATACTCGTAAAGAGCTTGGCTTCCGAACAGCACTCCTGTACTCCGGTTCCCTGATATCCGGAGCCTTCTCCGGCCTTCTCACAGCTGGAATAACAGATGGAATGGACGGCGTTCGCGGAATCCTCGCGTGGCGATGGCTCTTTATTCTTGAGGGTTCTATCACTGTAAGTTTAATCCTCCCTACGTTCTTCATATAATTTTCAGGGTGACTAACACACAATAGGTCGTTGTTGCAGCCGCTGCATTCTTTATAATTCCGGATTTTCCGAGCACGACGAAATGGCTTAGCCCGGAGGAGAGAGATATGGCTATGTGGAGGCTGGAGGTGGATATCGGAGAGAGTGATTTGACAGGTTCGGAGAAGCCGGACTTACTTCATGGGTTGAAGTTAGCTATGGTGTAGGTTTTGGCCAGCTTGGTTCTTGTGTGATGTCCAGTGCTTCGTTGGCTAACAAGGGAATTAACAATACGTAGTGATATTAAAACATACCTTTTGGTAAGACGAAATTTTAGACTGGTATCAGCAAAGAGAATACGTGTCTAACAAAAGACCTCCACCAGATGTTATGTATTTTTACCATGGTCGCCGCCGCTTCAGTCACCAACTTCTTCCCAACGTAACCAACGACCCTTTCCTTGGTTTATCTCCAGTACGTACACCGTAACTGACGCTTTATATTATAACCCAATTAGCGTCGTAGCGACACTTGGTTATAGCCGCACAATCTCACTTCTTCTCACTGCACCGCCATATGTGAGCAGATATCATTCCCCCAGTTTATGAATCATGAATTCTCACTCGATCACCTTTACAGGTTTTATGCATGTTCACAGCCTTTTCAAATGCTCTACACGCGGACAAGACCGGCGAGAGGTACTGGCACATAACACTGCCACTATGGGTAACCAGCACTCTTCCAATCTGAACCCTTCCTGGAAACTCTGGTGATAATTGGATAAAAAGGTTGCTTTAGTTGCCTTCATCATCGCCGCCAGCACTACAGCTCTTGGCCCGCGTTACCGTAAGTCATGATTCAATAAGCTTTACTTGTAGGAAAGAAAGGTACTAACATTCTCCCTGAAGTCTCCATGATGCTCATGGTTCCCGGAATCTACACGGTATGCACGCACACGCACACTCCAGCTTCCACCCACCCCCCAACTTAAGTTAACTTGATATGATATCTAGTCCTACGTGGTCAGCTTGTCTTGGATCTCAAACATCCTCCCCCGCCCACCTGCGAAGCGTGCCGCCTCAATCGCCGCAATCAACGCCGTCTCCAACTCGAGCCAGATCTGGTCCGCATACATGTACCCAAGTATGTTTTTTCTCGTCCCCTCCCACCCCTGCCCCTCTTCCACCCCCACCTCTTGTTCTTTTACAGGTACCTAACAACCGAACAGAATCTGCTGGGCCTAGATACGTCGTCGCAATGAGCGTCAACACCGCAATGACCTTCATCAGCATCTTGACAGCGACAATCCTGAGGATCCACTTAACGAGACTGAATAAGAGGCTTGATGAGGGCCTCCCCGTGCCAGATGTGGTACCGGACTCCGAGCAGCCCGAGTCGGCGGAAGAGGTAGGGAGGAGGAGGAAGGGGTTCAGATTCCTGGTCTAATGGAAGGGGAATGAAAATAGTGGACTACATACATCTTTCTAGGGGGTTATTTGCGAGATACCATCTACTCTCTCGTACGGGAAAGAGCTGGACTGCCAAATAAAAGAACTCTGTGGTATTATAAGTCACTATATGTCGCGGCGCGACCTTATCTGGCCGCAACTTAGTAAAAATATGTAGCCATAAGGGCAAAGATTTTAGGCATATTTGGTTATGCCACAATAAATGTGATACAAATAGTTTGACTCCAATACGGAAGAGAACGAAATGGGGGTGTAACGCAGGATTGGGTATGTACTACTACATGTCCTGTTTTAAATTCCTTGGCAACCCTCAGCCCGCATACGCATCACCCTGCATCCTCAATCATTGACTTTCCTAAAACCTCATAAATTCTCTAGCTAGATGTTAGACTGTAAGCGTATAAATTTGGTTTTAGATTATGAGCTACACGTACCTACGCATCTACATGTTCGTTCCAAGATAATGGATGTTTTCTAAATTATACAATTAACCAATATTAATCTAAATACTTTAGGCTGGTGACATCGACGACGAGGATGACTACGTCAGGTATGCTATTTAGATCAGATGTGTTAAGCTTATTATTATATAAACTGATGTATTAGACATATTGATTTCGTGATGAGTAGAGTGTTTAGGTAAGTATTGTACATCTACCTATAGCTAGGCTGCGTTACGATAATATTAAAAATTAGGAAAAGGTGACCATGATTCCGCCTGATAAATTCTGTACATATATCCGAGCTCAAATAAAGAAAAATGAAATGGACAAAATATAAAAAAGGATTGAAGCTACCAACTAGGCATATATAGGAAGTGAATATGTACCTCATGAAACTGCTCGTAACCATTCGTCCCTGAAACTTGAAACTCATACTCCGAGGGTAGTCCATTGTTGAGTGCCTCCCCAATCTAGGACAAAACAACTACGCAAGTCCTCTAGAAAATAAGTCCTGCCTTAGTTGAACTTGTATCTCCACTAAGGGACTAGTCATGAACCCAATGCTGGCGGCAATATCATTTTCCGCTTGCCGAAGCGGTTCTTCGTTGGCTGAAAAATCATGAATAACACCGAAGGATCGAGGTCCTTCAAGAACGTGGTCGTTAGGGTCTAATGTTGAATAAACCTCACCGGTAGAAGTACCAATAGATTGAGATTGCGTGGTAGATGAAACTGGAGGAGATGATGTCTGAACGGGCGCAGGGGACGGAGGCACAGATAGTGGTAAATGGGGCACAGGAACACGCAATGTCTTTCCTGTTATATTCTTGAGGGCTCTTATACATCGTTTATTAATATTTTTGTATCTTGGTAGAAGATTCTTTGACGATTTTGCCCTGCCTGTGGAAAGATTCTTTCCGCTGATCTTGCCGCCTAAGCCTTCCTTGTCTGCCACTGTTGTTGGTGATGGCTCATCTCGGTGGGTTGACGTTTTATCTGAACGCACGATCGGGACTTGATCAGTGCTTCGTGATAAGCTTCCTCGGAGTCCGGGGGAATTATATAATGGAGAATAAGTTTCATCGAGTTGGTCATCTTGAGAGTCACTCTCTGGTTCTTCTTTCACTGGCCTTGGAAGGGGCTGCAATGAAAGAAGTGACAAGCTTCTTGTGTGAGGATTATTGTATCCCAGTTTCTCCCAATTCGCCTGTGCTCGAAGGATATTTCGGGCCCATTGGATGAGAATATGGTCCTCGCGGCCATTTGGTGGTTTTCTTCCCTGTGACTCGTTCCAAATTTCTCGTGCTCTTCGAACCTCTTCCTCAGTTGGCACTACTTCAAAATCGGAATTTAAACTATTCCTTCTTTTAGCGTTAATAATTTCAGCTTCGTGCTGCTGCTCCTGCTCATCCTGCTGCTCCTAATTCATTCCATGAGATCAGCAAAAATATTCGCATAGCACATCCACAAATCCTCCTCGCAGCAGAATTAAAAATACATACAATTTTCTGGTTATGACTCCGAGAAAGGGCTGTTCGATGCATTGAGTTGCGCTTTCCAAGGTGTTTATCCGAGCTGCTGTTGCGGATGCTCTTTTCTGAATCAGAAACCAGTATTGGCCCTGGGTGCCTTTCAATCTCAAGCTCTACCATGGATGAATTTAGATGAGCCGAGTGATTGCTGCGTCTTCTCGGCTCGAATCTTCCGGATATTAGATCAGTGGAGCTTGTACTCCCCCGATAACCCAACATAGGAGTTGTCTGCCCATTTTCCACCTTGCCTAAACCAACTGGGACTGAATGTTTATTCTCTTTTAACGTTTTCTCTTCGACAGAGTATGAATCGCTTATGGATAGTGGGCGTTGTTCTATGTGTGAAAGTCCAGATAATGATGTATTATATACCCAGTTTGAACAGCTTGCCAAAGAGCTCGATGTGCGTGACCCTCCACTCGCTCCATAGCACAGGTCTAACCTATAATCTGTGGGTGACAATGAAGGTTTCCGGACCGGGCCGTAAGAACTCCTAATACTCCTATTGCTGTATTGTCCAACATTTGAGCACTGATCTTCGGAATAATCGTTTGTACCATCATTAGATGATGTCGAGTTCCGATCTCCATAAGATGCTCGAGGACTTTCATTATATCTTTTTTCTGACGACTCCCCCTCGGACCTCGATGTCGATTGGAATTGTGATTGTGTCTTATCAGCCTGATTATTCGAAGATGCATACGATGCCGGACGTCCACCGTCTCCTCCGTAACTCCAATGCTCTCTCCTGCCATCATTTTGAGAATTCATGATCTGCTGAAGTTATCAATAAGCTACTAAACCCCGTGAAAAAAAATGAGGGGGGAGGGTAAATATACTGTTTTAAGAGATGGTGATTTCGGTGGCTTTGGGCTATCCCCCTCAGTTGTTGTCCCCGTTAACGGATCGGCGGTAGAGCAAGCGACCCTCTGACATCCAGCACACTTTATTTCCTGTGTGACAAGTAACCTCATCACGATGCGTATTTTTATGTCAACAGTATTGTTGCATGCCGGGCAAATAATCGATTTCTTGTTGCAAGTTTTGATGCCTTTGCGTATTCCACCCACGGATTTCCGTATGAATAGTACAAGTTTAGCCATTTTAACTTGCTGGAGTTGTTCGATTTGAGTACTTTGAGGTGTCAGATCCGTTTTTCTCTTATCGGTATATAGTGACTGCAGCGATGTAGTGAATTATGACTAACTTGCAGGCTGTAGTTGGTAGTCAACTTGTCGTGTCAACTTGTACTAGATTTGGCTTATATCATTCGCAATAGGTCTCATTCGAAGGAGGCAGAGCACTATTTGTACTGGGTGGGTAGCCAGGAAGTCCCACCCCATCATTCTTCAGCAAGGCCCCAATGGAGATTTGTTTCATCCACTTAACATGTACCGCCGGTACTACGCGGCTGTGCAGAAAGGTTGTTGCCTAGTCCTCCGAGAAAATTAAAATGGGTTTTCATGCTATGCAACCGTTCATTAGGCACCAGAGCGCCAAGCTCTCGCTTCAACAGAAAAGAGATATCTCGAGTATGGAAGAATATGTAATTAGTTTACCAAGGGACCCTCCATTTCCATAACAAGATCGAAGATATCATGGTCGATTTTGGCGGAATAAAGCTCAAAGATTGTGTAGGTAGGACCTCGTACCAGCCTAATATTTGGTGTTACACAGCCCTTTCTAGATCTATGCAAGTTAGCAGCCCATACCAACATTTGAGAGCCAGCATTGGGGCCGGGGACGAACTATGTGTTTCAGCAGCCAGATTCCGCTGCGAAAGGGGTTTACTCTATCTTTACCATAGTGATCATTTTCCCACCAAAATCCGCTCAATCAACGTTGTCAAATTAACGGACCCTCAGATGTCACGGAGGCACGTGTATATATTGCAGCACTATAGTATTGTCTACTTTACTTGATGCATGTGCATATATACATGTATGTATTAACTGAGATGTACATACTTCGGAGAGTGCAGCCTCCACAGCGAGGTGCCTTCTCACTTACCCCTGCACAAGCACATGTACATCTATTTCCTAAATTTCCTCAATATATGTACATAAGTTATAGAAGAGCTAGCAGATGCAGGATGGCTCTTATTACTTTAGAATTGATGCTCATTCACAGGCTGCTCGCTTTCCAAACACACATAGGCACAGGTACATACATACCTGTGGATATGTGTAGTATTTCTGGGTTAGTAATGTAGTAAGAATACGGGGTGGTATTGATATGGTATTCTTTTTGAAATGCCGGTTTGATTCCGTATTATGCTTTAAATTCCGCAGTCCTGTGATAATGGGTTCGCCTCGTTTTTCATACTGTACCTATCACCATTATCAGATTTCAATCATATAAGTACATGTACATAGGTCCTTATCTCAAGAAACATAGCAGCTGGTTGCAAGGGTACCAGTATATCTAAATGTAGCTAGAACACGTAGTTGTTTCGGGGATTACGCAGAGTATGTGGTACGAAAGTGTGGAGATATGCATGCCTCATCGCCCTCTAGCTGCAGCTGCGGTAACAGTTAGCGCTTTGGATTTTAGAAAAATCCCCTTTCCCAGTGATTTATAGCCACAGAATATGGTTGTTTCACTTCCTGGCATCGTAAATCCTCTGTTACGTGCTTAATGCACATATATACATCATATTACTCCAGGTGAATTCGAAGTCAGTACTTGTAACCGCGTTGACCTCCTGATAAGGACTGGTAATAGCCTTTAGATATCCCTCCCTAATCCTTTCCTTTATAATTATGTATCCTGCAATGACATGCATACGATGTACATCAATAACCAAATCTTATCGTTCCTCTCACCGATATCAAGTACGTAAAGATATCTTGATAGTATTGTCAAACGTGACTACTAACCAGACCACGCACTGGACCAACTACATGAAGCTGAAGGTAACCATATAGTGCATTGGTTCTTAGATGTATTTAATTGTGTTCGTTTAGTCTAATTTCATCAACTACCGCACTCAGAGGGCCCTTGCGCTGGCATTAGGATACATGTAGTGATCTTATACACGCAAGCGGCAAGCCTCATGTGAAATCTCCGGTACATAAGATGTTGTATCTATATGTATGTATGTATAGATAAGTATAGATTGTACTCGTATTTCTCTGACGTTTGTGGACGCGACTGATATTGCATGCCATACAAAAATACGCCAAGCTCATGATTTTGGGTGTATGCAATAATGGCCCAGTTCAAAAACGTCAGCGAAATACTAGTAGAATACTGTGGCGTAATAAATCCTGCGCACAATTCATCCTTGCAGCATTTACATGTAGTACAGTCACTAAGCTACATGTAACTCCAACCCTAGTAATGCTACCTCTGGATCCTCTGCATCCGGCTGCAGTAATACGCTGCTGCAAAATGATTGTCAATGAATGAGATCCAAATGATTTTATCCGACCAGTGTCTATCTATATGGTATCATTCCAACATCAGCGACGTACGTGTTTCGCATCATTATTTATAATTTGAATGTTAGATATGTGCATACATTTAAACCGCCAACGCTTTCGATTGAGCTCCAGAGACGTCCCAGGTGACTGCACACGTGTAGGCTGAAAGAAACTGCGCGGGACGTTCCTTGGCCACTCAGGCCAATATTGGAATCTGTGATGATAGGTTAATGTAAATCCCTCACGCATCATTAATCACCACTAAGCTTTAATGATGGCTATATTTTAGACATTACGAGGCCTATGTTCTCTCCCAGCGACGAACACGCCCCATTCGGGAAGGGTCGTGTATGGGGTATCCTATTCATGAATGAGGTATCAATTTAGCGCTCCGTTTGGGAACACACTGTTATATCGGAAAAGTGTTCCAATTACAAGCTGCATTAATTATGAACTTTAGGAACTATATAAATTCAACTAAATGTTCACTGGGGGACCTTATAAATAGAGCCTTTGCGCAAATAGAGCCAGTTCCGTTTCTGGCAACCTGATTGGTGCTGATCTACCATCAGCCAATTAGATACATAATCTGAATTTAAAGCTGGAATCTTTTGCGCGAAGGCTCAATTATATGAGCGACTAGTGATGAGAGCTTGGAGGTATTCTGCTATAGGTCATTAAATAATAGATTGAAGATTATCCACTAACTACGTTCACTGACTGCCAACTATGTTCAATGACTGTCAGTTAGGTTCAATGACTGGCAGTTACATGTAGACTCAAGAACTAGATCAATTATATATCGAAACCTGGTGTTCTTGTAGGGGAAGCCCCATTTTGAACGCCCCGGTATACTAATGCGTTCCTGAATATAGTGCGTTCGTCGCTAGGAGAGAACATCAGTGCTGTCAAAATATACACTTGTTCCATCTTATGGCCTCCACAAAGGACCAAACCAGGTCATTGCTATTCAGATCATAGATGAGGCTATAAAGCCCTAAGACCGATACTGTAAGTCAACGTACATTAATTCAAATCGGCTGTCGACTGCCAATATCTCTATATGAATAGATACTTAAAAGATTGCTAGATGTGGAGTAACTATTCTCGAAGCGCTTGATATAAAGTCAGAACTATCTCTTCATGGTGTGCGAGTGACTCCTCGTAGCATAATTAATGCCGTCATATTTTGGACCCTTGTCTCGACCTTCTCCTCCAGCATTTTTGCCTCAGAATTATACCTTTCTGCAAGCCCTTAGAGTTGTATTTTCAGGGGAGTGACCTTTATGGCAACGGTCCCCTGACTTCAAATAACCTATAAGAACCCGATATTATGTGCGGAGGCTGGATAGGTGTCCTAGTACACCGATAAGAGGCGCGTATGGTAGCCCCAACTGATAAACAATTCTAACAGCGGAGGGGAGATGTATGAAATCAGCCAGTCCATTTCATAGACTATTATACACAGCTCTCCCCAGGGTGATATAGGTGCAACCAGATATACCCCATATTCATCGGCCATAGAGCTGGCAAGTTCTAGGGTCCTTGTAAACCGAGTCACCACTATTTATAGGACCAACCCCTCACTTCTAACAACTACCACCATCCCGCCCTGTGAGATATCTCCAAATATCTTGCGGTGAGTCCTCAGACGAGCAAAATGAAGATCCCTTCGATAAAAAGTTCAAGGCGACGAAGTAGTTGAGGAAGCTGGCAATGGGGACGACGAGAACGATGACGACGATGGCGGTGACATAGAGAGTGATGAGGGTAGCGAATATCGCGATTGTAATATATGATCCGAAGGTCAATTAATGGAAGTGTTTGAAACAACAGCGAAGGCCCATACTGCCTGCGGGATAAGGATGACGGAGAAAGCCCGGATAGTATAGTGTATAGGTCAATTGATGATTGGTGTGGAGATGAACTGGAGGATTGGGTTGCATTTGATCTTTCAATGATGCAGCTGCGCAGGTGGACGTATAAAATTCTTTACACCTGAGGCTCGAGCCGAGAGCCTAGATGGTTTAAAGATTTTTATCAACCTTTTGGTATGTTTGTTTCTTATCGCTTCCTTTTTTCATTGAGAAATAGAAATGTATGGTTTCCGTAATGCATGGTATTTCAGTTAGTCGAGATCTCTACTCCTACATTAATTGCAACTGAGTGACACCGCCGATCAGACATAACAATCCGTAACCCATAGATCATCTCTAGACTCACCCGGTAAAATATAATGGTGATACCATTATTCGTACCGGAAATACTGGAATAAGAATATGTGTCTGGCTAGCATCAGCCCTGAGTCTAGTATGTGCTCTATAGCTCTAGATGGTTGAAACCACCGAGCCTAAACTATCAAAATTGTCCCTGTATATCAGTACATGTACCTTTCCCATATATGTCGGCTTATATAACTCCTAAACACCTTCACCAATATTAGGTTTGTTCATAGATATTTCGGTATGTTTTTCTCCTGGTTCTCGTGAGCTTTCTTTATCTTTCCAACAGCGCTAAGGCCCAACACCTCATATACGTATACATGTAGTTACGTATACTCTATGTCAAATACAATAAATGATACCTTTTCTACCTGCAGTACCTATTATATCGAGTCTGATCTGTACTCATACCATACATGTATGGTGCGATAAGTCGTAGACCCATGCCAGCTAGCAGGAGTAAGTTAATTTTGTAACCACAACTGAAGATTTAGTTCTGATGGAATTGTAGATGCCCTGGCCGTCGAAACAAAAATGATCTTAGTTGATGCTCGGTGCTTTTTTGTGGTGTGGGCATACCATAAATTTCATCCTTCGGAGGGGTGTCGTTTATAAGTCTTTTCGCCACATCCAATATTAATCTATGACGAAATAATGATTCTAGCAACATGCAACCGCGGAATTTGTTTAATCCGATGACCATTTGAGTTAGCTTCTAAGACTACGATTATGACCAGGTCACTGGTAAGCACATGCGAAAGACCAACATCGTCTAGCTATACAGTGGACTCTCGATAATAGCATATGGTCGGGAACGGATTTTCGTGTGCCACTATCGGGGATATGCGTATCGGGAACAACTTTGCCCGTACCGACTCGTTTGGGATTGCCCAACTATATGCTACTATCGAGGATATGCTATTATCGAGGTTGCTACTATCGGGACTCCACTGTATAACTGCGCAGCGCACATCGTGGTCGACTCTTGTACCCCGAACTCGCTCCTTTACAAACACTCCAGAGTATTTCTTATTATCTAATCATCTCTCATTCACGAATTAAGCACATGGATATTACGTCTCCTTGTTCCTGAGCATCAATACTTACGGGTGTTCTGATGTTAGTATCCCCACAGGAAGAGAATTCCGACGGAATTCCTTCGTTACATACCTCCGGGATACGTTCAACTATATGTATGGCTTTATCCCCAGAGAATAATTGTTCCACTTGTCAGAGAATTTTCTGACCGAGATCGAGAATCAGTACGTACTATGACCTTACAAAGCATTGCATTATTCAACAGACATGCTCCCAGCTTCAGAGTGGAAACGGGCTCGAGCACAGCCAAAATCAAACACATCCTGTAATTTAGTCTCAGCATATAAATAAATGGATCCTCTTGATCGGCGGTCTTCAAGTAACATTTATCTACGTACGTGTTTAATAATAATGCTTCAGGAAGCTCCAGCACTGCCGATATATACTTCCCATCGATATCAAATCTTTTGGATGCATGCATGTAGGTACATGTACATAGTGTGAGCCATCATACATGTAGTTGTTGAGATCGGCCAGCTTGATTAGTTCGGGGGACATTAATTAATCTAATATTATGATACATCTAATGTAACTAATATTGTACCCCAGCCACTACATGTACCTACATGTAGGTATGTAACATGGCGCACGCAGTCTTGAGAGTGACTCCTCATGAGCTATAAGGAGAGATAGAGCTCCACCACGACCGTACCAGGCCCTGCATACAGTATTTCTTGGTTCAATGGAGACTTTGTGGCGAGCACTCTGGACGGACGACCTTTAAAGCAGAGGAAGTTTTAAACAAATACAACCATGCCACTGGCAGCGTTATTGCCAACTTCACTCCCGAACGGCACACACAGTTTTATTCTCCATTTTCTCCCTACTAACGGGGGTCAAGCAAACGTTGCTTCCTACAACGGTCGACTCTCAAATAAGCTCTGGGTCTTTCGGCCTACAGAGAATAGGTTACATGTATCTAAAGTATTTACACACTTGATATCGGTGCTCATATGTACTGTGTTTATGCGCATACTGTGGTATAATAACTAGGCTCAAATAGATACGTCACCACCCCTTTCACTACCCTTCTAACTCGAGGTGTTGACTACAGTACTGTACTCAAAGACCCCCAACCCTTTCAGTTTCTCCTATCCTCGTACTAAACATACCCTCTATGGATCGCTTTAAGTCTATCTCAAAATCCGGTTGGCACCCTAATTCATCTTCCGAGCCTTCCTATGCCGGTGCCGCAGAATCAAAATCTTCCACATCCAGTAGTGGTGGTGTCACTTCACGATTAACAAAGAACTTTAAAGGGCTTGATCAAGTGGTATATACACGTCTCTTCGTCCTAGACCTATCGAATTCAATCTAATTAACAAGGCGGGATGGGTGGGTAAAGGTGGATCAGAGAACGACAGCACAGTCAATGTACGCCCAGTCTCCACACTTCGTGATCCCGCAAGTTTTGGGCCTCCACCGAAAAGGGTCACAAACACGCCAATTGCAAGCCATAGGGAGGATTACCAGTTGAATGGTGAAGCTTCTTTACCGACAAAACGACCTCCGCCTGTTCCGCCTCGACTGCCACCACGAGATGAATCTGTGCTACCACAACCACGGGACGTAACAGACATGAGTACCGGTAGCATAAGCACATCTGCAGTGGAACGGCTTAGTAAGGCTGGGATTTCGGTACCTGGATTTAATATGGCCTCGGATTCATCATTGGCTAAGAAACCGCCTCTTCCAAGCGGTCCAAGGCCTTCTGCGAGCACAGGTCTACTTAGAGTAGCCCCTCAAAGCGTACCTACCGAAGGAACAACTTTTGCGGAGAAGCGGGCGGCCGTGACTACAGCCAGTGCATTCTACAGAAATCCAGCTTCGGTTTCATTAACAGATGCCAGTGCTGCTTTGAGGACTGGGAGAAATTTCCAGCAACGGCATGGGGATCAAGTTGCATCAGGGTACAAAAAAGCACAAGATATGGGATTAGACAAGAAAATACAGGGTTACGGAGAGCTTTATGCTTCAAGGACTGAGATTGAGAGTGGAAGTTCAGCAGTGTCGAGGAATTCCATTCCCTTTTTTCCGCCAGCTTTGCCCGCGAAAAAACAACCTTCCCCTGAGCTCCCTTCTCGGTCTCCAGTTATACAGGACGTCGTTCAGGATCTTTCTGGACTCGGAAAGAAAAGACCTCCGCCGCCTCCACCGCCCAAAAAAAAGCCAGCACCCCCGCTACCAATCAAACGAGCATCCACTGATTCGCTTCCTCACAATGTCACTGCACCGCCCCCAATAATCCCACGCGCAACCCGGCCATCTCACTTAATATCATGCTCTGTGCTCCAAAATAATGGTCTCCCAACTCAAATATTCCCTGAATTGCCAAGAGACCTCGATCTTTGCCTCGAAAAAGCATGGTTTTCAAAAAGTCCAATTGAGCTCCCACCAATTATAAAGAGTATAGATGAAAAAATGTATTCATATTCCTGTTCATGGGAACGTAGCCCTTCTGGGAGAACTAAGCATACTGCTATATTGGCTATACGATGGACACTCAATCTTTCTACTACCAAAATCAAAGTCACTTGGGATGCTTCCGCACCAAGTGTTACTGCTAAAGCAGAACAAAGACATTTCTCTCCTCCGTCTTCTCCTCCGCCGTCGAAAGAATGGGGAGCCCGGATCATTGGATGGGTCAGATCCAGAATTGGTCAGCAGGTAGGTAATGGTGAATGTTGGACACTCGCTGCCGATTGTTTTGATAGTCTTCGATCGGAGGACGAAGTTGCTGGAGAGCAGAAAATAATGTCTGCACAAGGAACAAGTTTTGGTATCTGCATATTTTCCCATTATCCTTCTCTGCAAAACCAGCCTTCGGCATTGCCCGGTACAAGCTTGCAGCCAGGTGATGTTTTACAATTCCGTTCTGCTAGATGGGTTCGGAAGGATTCTACCGGAAGGATTATTTTCGAAATGCGAGCAGGAGTGCCGGAAGGCGCAAATGGGTGCAAGGATCATACTGCTGTTGTTGAGACTGTACTGTATGATCCTCAGGGTGGAATCAAAGTTGGTGTTTTGCAACAGAATTCAAATGGCGTGAAAACAGTTGGGAGGGGAGAATATATACTGGGTACTGATATGGTTGAAGGAGGCGTTAGAGTATTTAGAGCTGTGGCGGATGAGTGGGCAAAGTTCGAAGCTGTCTGGTGAGGTAACTGCCGATTTCTCTAGATTATTGCATGGCAAGAAAAGAAAAGAAGGAGGGGAAAGGAAAGATGTCCCGCTATTCTACCAAGGACCTGATACAATGAGGCTTTTTTTTTATCCTATTACCTGGAAGCTTGATCCCAGAACCCTTTTATGCCATGAAACCAACAGACAGGGAAACGCGGGAAGATTATCGTTTGTGAAGTCATGTGCTCGTTGTATTTTTGTTTGAGGGATTCTAGACGACACTCGCCAATAGTTGAATTTGATAATCAAGTAACGAACGGCACATAATAAACCGTTCGTTTTTGAAGTATTGTACACGCACAAGCCTTGCTTATCAAGACCATCACGTTCTCTTTATCTCGTCAGACACTTGTATTATAATTGCTTAATATGCAATTCTCTATCACTTTAGGGCCTGTTCGGTTGATACTGAATTGGTTGTAATCCATGGATTTTTGTGTCAACCGAACAGATCCTTAATAACTGCATACATATACGTATGCAAAGTGTATGGATAGAGAAAACTCATTGGTGCTTGCAGCGGGGTATTAAAGTCATATCATATGTTACACGGACAGACAGCGTAAACCCTGCGCATGTTTCTTGTGCGAATCTAAATTCAATACATGTACCGTTATTTCTCGAGCAATCCACTATATCCGTAGAGGCAGATGGTAAATCCGGACCAAAGAGAGAAAGGCTCGGCGCATATGCAGATAGGTGCAGGACAAGGTATGCGTTGGAGAGTAATGAGTCCGCGGCCATGATACATAGGTAGATCTGTCCGTAGTTATTGTAGTTAGGAACAATCATGGCGAGACTTACTCAACTTTCAGCAAGTGAACAGAATGCCGTTAAACATCATGTCCGGGTCCGTCCAGGACCAAAACCTAAGTCAATCAAGGACCGGGTCCTTAAATCAAATGGAATCCAACCAATTCGGAAACAAGAGCGTTCATGGAGCCAGAAGCAGAAGATACGGGCTTTGGTGTTCCTCTATCATCATCGCATACCTCTAGCTACTAGTGGTAAATTTCGTCCACCAACACAGGCGGAGGCATCACTTCTGTTCGGTATTCCTCAACGTACGTTGAGTGACTGGGTGAGAAAGCAAGACCAAATAGAATTGGTAGCTAAAGGTAGTTCAGCACGCACTGTACACTTACAACATACGATCTGTAAATGGCCTGAGCTAGAACGACAATTGTACTGCTTGTTTTTGGAGTGCAGAGAAAAAGGTCAAGCTGTTCGTCGTGGTTGGTTTAGATTGCATTCAGATGAGATTTTTCGAAAGCTATTCCCTTCCGTTGGTACTCAGCTATCACTTTTCCGCTTTTCCAATGGCTGGTTTGCTCGTTTTTTGGGACGGTACCGTATCAGTCTTCGATGTATCACCAAAACTGCTCAGAAAATTCCCGAGGATTACCGTAATTTGATTATCAGCTGGCTACAATTTAATCGCCGCAATTCCCAATTTGATCCTTACGCCTTTTACTCACACCGTGTACCTGTTGGTGGAGGTTTTATTCGACGTCAAAACCGATATGATCTCGCGAACATCTGCAATCTTGATGAAACACCAATCCCTTTCGAGTACTTATCCGGTAGAACCTATAATCTAATAGGAGACAAAACTATATGGGTTAAAGAAACAAGAAGCGGCTGGGATAAGAGACAGGCAAGTCTCGTACTGTGCATCTTTGCGGATGGGGTCAATAGAATACCGCCTATGATTATATTCCATAGACAAGGCAAAAGATTAGGCAAAGAACAAGCCAAATACCATCCGGGTGTTCTTGTTGAGTTCAACGATACTGCATACATGACCGAGGTTCTGTTCATCAAATATATTGAAATGTATTTGATTCCGGCATTGAATGGCAAACCTTCACTATTTGCTATGGACCTCTGTACATCCCATAAGACTCCTGCCGTCCTTGAAATCTTACGATCAAAACAAATTACACCAACTCTGATCCCCGCTGGATGCACTAGCTTAGTGCAGCCTCTCGATGTCTCAATTAACAAACCTCTTAAAGAATATATACGTACATTGACAGAAGAAGCAATCAGGGACTGTGAGAGTTTGGAGAAGGTTGAAAAATGGACTGTTAGTGATCGACGGATACTTACTACATGGAGTGTTGGGGACGCTTGGTATCTCTTTGCAGTTGAAAAGGATGAATTGATTAGAAGGGTCTTCCGTAAAGTGGGTCTTTCTCTCGCTGCAGATGGCAGCCAGGATGAAGAGTTGGATATTAAGGGGTTCAAAAGTATAGAAATTGGCGACTGGAAACTATCTGGATCACTACCCGCAACTCTACCCGTTTCTCTTGATTTTGCAGATGTAGATATAGAACATGATGAGAACGAGTCTGTAGAATTTATAGCATATGGAGAATAATTATATATATACATGCATGCACCTATCTGCATATGCGCCGAGCCTTTCTCTCTTTGGCCCGGATTTACCATCTGCCTCTACGGATATAGTGGATTGCTCGAGAAATAACGGTATGTATGGCTCGAGAAGCTATGGTGGGTAGGTGTGTAAACTTCGGCGTTTGCAGCCAATCAATCTATAGAAATTGGGAGATCTACCCCCATAATGGTACTAGCGCCTAGCCTGATGGTGGAATTTTCTCTAATTCCCATACAAAAAAAGTTCCTCTGAAGTTGACACACCCACCCCCTATGCCTTCTCGCGCCATAGGTACCCTAAGAAAGATCATTCACTTCTGTTTCAAATTGCATACATAGCCCGAATTTGTTTAAATTCCCTCTGTACATGTAGGTACTGGATTTCGTTCAGCCGTGACGTAGTTGCAGCGCGATGATGTTCTCAGTGGGTACATGTGTTGATGTAATAGGTGGATCTTGATTCCTGCCACGTACCGCCACCTCATCTCATCTACAATAAACTCAGTAGTTGAAGCTATATCTAATATCCAACGTTTTTTCTCTACCCCTGGACTCGATTGATCTGAAACAATTCTTGGGCTGAACCTTATGTACCACACATAACGTGTTGTATGTATCCACCTGTAACACATCATACATAATTCATCACTCGCTTCTACAAGGAGTGCGAAACTTGTTCACAGATATATTAGTGTTTTAAATAAATTATAATAGAGTTAAGCAAAACTAAAGAAGCTCATTCCGCTCTCATGGTCGGCTCAAGTAATCCTCGATCTTGACTATACATTTAAGTAAGCCCCGCGCTCAACGATCAACCCTTCTACTGGCGCGTTAATGTGAATTTATAACTTGGATTTGTTGTCTTGGGGTCTGACATACCGCCATAACTCGAAAAATTGGCTAGATCAGAATTACTTGTATGGGAAACTTCTGATGTAGATCGATGCCATCCAACCAATTATTCAAGCGGTAGTCCCTGGACGGAGATAGCCAATTTTTCGAGCTTTGGCGGTATATCCAGGTCGAAAATCGGTAGTTGTTTTTAATATAAGTCCCGTAGTTTTTGCTTTTCTTCGACTATGTATACACCGATATCCATGTCCATCTGTTAAGTTGTAAATATACCGCATGAGCTAGAAAACATCGAGTACTGTATCAACGGCTTACGTAGAGCATGTAACTTACCAGGCATTTCAATTTCTCCTCATCACGCACCATGCAGGTTATATCAGATATTCCGCCACTTTTGGAGGTGCGGAAACCTTAGACACCTGCGCTTAACCTTCCCAATGCGGTCTTCTCTACCATTATTCCCGTGCTTTTCGGTAGGGTTTGTAACTATTAACATGTATGTACGTTAGCGTTGTTGATTGTCGCTAAATTCCAGGCTACGGTGCTGTACTTACCAATAACATCAACAACATGCAGTATCAGCAGCAAGGGCAGGGTCGTGTTGTCACGATTCAGTTCTCAGTCATAGCCTCGTATGGGAGGGAAGCTGCTTGTCATCTCTTCATTCAAAATGAGGGTTTCCCCCTCCCAGACAATGACTGTTAAATAATCTGCTGCATCACACACAGACACATAGGTACACACACACATACACACATACACACATACACACACACACACACCTTTTTTGTGTTTTCATATCCTGCTGGCTTTCGCGCAGCCGAAACAGTATTATCTTGCCGATAGCCACCTCATATGGTGGTCACCGACCCCACCTATACCCCATATAAACGGCCGTGCCCACTCCAATATCAAATAATCGGCCACTTGGGCCAACTGATATGACGGTTTAATGGGATCCGAGCAGCCCATACCCCGGCTCGGCATATGACGAAGATGATTGTTCCAACTCCTTGATGGTGTTTTGACCTCCCTTCACAGGCTAGCTCATCGGGTACTATTCGAGTCCAGGTAGCAACATCCGTATGTGGAATATAAATAAAGCCGATTCCCCTCCGCAGAAAATGGCGATGTGGAGGAGATATTTCAACAATATATTCAACCAACACCCTGTGGTATAACAACAGATGAATGACGAAGGATATCGGATGGAATGGCAGATGAGAGGACGGGCAAGAAAAACATTAACGGACAGTGGGTGGTTGGGATCATTGGATCATGTTAGAGAGGTGTCGGATACACCCCCCCAGAAAATGAAATAGTAAAGGTATTCATATATATTTCTCTTGAGGATTATAGGGATTGAGTCTTTAGGAAGGTCCTTTCTGACATTGTTTCAGGGCCACCCGTTAGGGGGTCTCTGGGGCATTCCTTCCGATATATTGCTCTTTCCCGGTGTATAGGTATTCCGCGTTTCGCTTTCCGGCTACATCAAGGTGTTTTAGGGTGTTCCAGAGCATGCTATTGGCCGAGGAGGCTTTCCGAACCAGCAGCGCCACCAGTGCTTGAATGCTGAATTTTTTGTGGACGTTAATCGGCGGGAAATCCGGGAAACTGATGGCTTGTGAGGCGGATTTGGTGCCTCTATGCATCTCTAATGGCCTCTTTAATAAAAGCCAAATCCTAGGGGCGATATTTCTTTGCACCTACCTGCGATTCATGGCCATTAGAGATTATACTCGATACACCATCAGCATTTTCGTGGCGGTGGTGGCGGTCGCCCACCACTGCGCGATGACGAGCCATCACTCAAGCTGAGAACCGTGGCGGACAGGGCGAAAAGACTTTCGCCGATTTGTACTTTTCGCGGTTTATATATCGATCTATCCTGAGCGTCGAATTTTTCACGGCGCAGTATTGCGGTGGAAGTATCGGGAAACATTCTTGTACTGGAGTGTAAGGTTTGGAGCCGTTTTTGAACTAAGGATATATATTTATCTGTCACACAACATTTTCGATTTTGTTTTTCTTTTTTGCCCGTTTCGTCCATTCGCATAGCGGGGTAAAACCACACAAGGAATTTTTTTATTGATTTACAAGAATGCCTGGCGAGATCGAAAGGAAGCGCTGCATGCCTACTACTTACTCACAGTGACCAGAAAGACAGAAAGATATGAGACAAAGAAAGGCAGGAGAGAAACTCAACAAGTTCAACTTATAAAACGAAGACAAATGGAGACTGGCGGCGTTTCGCTAACGGAAAGAAAAGCAGGACATTCCCACGACAAAAAGCAGAAAACAAAATGATGGACTGAAAAATGTCTTTGTGGTTTCCATTTACACAATGGAAGCTTTGGCTTTTGACGGTGACGAATCGACCTCAAAGCCCCAACGCAGCGAGTTTATCAAAATCATCCCGAAATTTGGCTTCACGTTCCGATCCGATAGGTCTTTGGAGTTCTGGAGACCATGGTTGCTCTACTTGAATAGATCTTCCAAGATGGGGTGTAGGCGGTTGGAAAAGCGGCCTGTATGGTTGGTTTGCATGGGATACTAGCGAGGGCTCAGGCGATGGTCCAGGGGAGCCATCTGGCATACTGCTAGCGAGGACTGTGGTAGGAGAATTCCGGGTGTATCCCTCATTCATAGGCCAAGTCTCAGTGACTATATCGCCTCTGCTGGCGCCACCACTGTCGGACCTCATCGTGTGAGGATATTCTAGAGAATCTTCTCCATACTCAACGCTCCCGGATAGGTTCCTACGATTATGATCGAGAGTCCTTGTAGGCACCTGAATTTCAGTTGACCCCAACGATGGAACAGTGGTTACATCATCATCCAACTCGTTCACTGCACGAACAACGGGGGCACAATTCCATTGGGTGTGTAATGGTGGGCTCGCTGTGGCGGAATGGGTTTCACGGATAGTCGAGGCGGTAGCCATTGGTTGTCGATTGGGCGGGTTGGGTAAAGGAAGTGAATTTCTAGCTGCTATTGTCCTCAGAGGGTCCTCTAAGCTCGATGGGTGAACAATCTCTAACGGCTCCTCGGCTTGCGAAGTTGAGGATGCGCGATCGACCCGGTTTACAATATCTTCGGCAGTGGGTCTGGGAGATGCTAAAGTAGACACAGCAGAGGACTGGGTTGTGGTTTCCACCACCACTTGCACCTGGAAGACATATATGTCAAGAGGCAGAATGGAGGCAAGTGTCTGAAGTTTGGCCATATTCTCAAGTCCTTTTGTGCTGAGAGTAACGAAGCCTGGTTTATTCATCCTGTCATTCTCATCGGATCCTATGACATCCCTCACCGCCGCTACTTCGAGAACTTTGGACACCCTCGTCGACTCCGACTCTTTAGAACTCGATGGACTAGTCCGTGCTGAATTGGTACAATGTAGCGGGGGAATCGAATGCATGTTAAGCTTTTGTGTAAGCTTAGCCGATTTGTCGAATTCCTGTTCCGCCGTCTTTTGTTGGCGAGCAGACTCAAGCGCTACCGTTAGTCGCGCAAACACAGGGAACATCATTTTTTTCATCTATATTTCACATCAGCTATAGATTCCTCGGTACTTTCATGGGGAACTTACCCAGTATGTCAGATATATATAAGATACCGTCCTCTCAACTCGGATTCCAAATACCCAGTCCCGAGACCGCAGAGTTAGTCCCACCATATAGGGCCTGATTTGGAAGAAAAAATGGGAGGGAAAGGGCCCCCCGTTGAGCATTTCCACAAGATATCCGAGAGAGAATAGTACAACTACTCCCAACAACAGGACGGCAAAAACCATCGACTGATAGCTCTTAGTCATTATTCCGCTCTTGTCCTTTGATTTGATCAGTCTATAATATCGTCAAGCCTGATAGGGTGACTCACTTAGTCGAGCCTCGTTTCCCTGGGCAAAGGCCTAGATAGAATAGTCTCTTAGGACAAACGTAGAACTGGAACAATCGTAATGGCTAAGGGGGTGGTATAATCAACGGTTGTTGTGATTGTCGTTGACGGGTCAGTTAGACACAACCTATGGTGGTGGTGGTGGTGATGGTAGTGATGGTGATGGATGAACAGGGTGTGATGAAAGGTGTTTGAGTCTGCGTCAAGCAAAGTGCGGACGGGGGAGCTCTTTAAGACTTCAAATGATGGTTGAGGCTTTGAGTGTTTGATGAGGAAGGGCCGATTATTGAAATCCCCCGAAGAACTTGTGGTGTAGCGTCTTCTTCCTTTTTTTTTTCCTTTGCGTTTTGATTTTGTCTTGTGATGGATGTAGACCAGCCTAGTATCTCAAGCTTGTTCTTACTGGAGTATGGCCGGTAAGGATATAGCTGTTGATTCCTGGGACGGTTCTAGCCGTATAGCATCGATTGGTGGGATCGTGTGGATGGTTGTGCTAAATCTCTCTTTTCATGAAGATCTATAATCCATTCTAGAATTCGAGCTCAGGGGTTGTGCACGTTGGGTGTTGCTTAGTTTTTGCGCCTTGTTTCAACCAATACTCCGGTTCTCTCGGAAGTTGTTCTTCTTTCTGGAGTTGATTCTCGATCGAAAAGACAGGAATTTGTCTTTTCACTTTCCGCAGAAGAGACTATCCGTTCGGGGTATACTGTGCTCCCGAAGGGCAGCAGCGGGCTCACAAAACTACCCATGGACAAACCCTTCAACCATGTGGGATTGGCTTCACCTATAGGAATGCAGGCACTAGAATGGCATGAGGGCGTTTGAAAAGAGTAGTCTGGGGAGTCTAGTGATAGTAATTAACCAGAATCGCCCCCCCCCCCCCCAAATCCCCCGGACACAGAAAAGGAAAGAAGAAAAAAGAAAGGAAGAAAAAAAGGAACAAGCTTGCCTTGTAATCGAAGGGATAGCCCAGTACTCCGATGCAGTGTTCCACTGGTAGACATGACACCTAGGTTGAAGGAAGAGTTACCTTTTATGTGTTACGGCCTCACTCGATCTGGGCTTCAGGAAACTCCATATACCGGACCTCAGTACGCCTATTCTTACTCTTGCTAAACATGGTCCAAGAAACGCTAGCGAGTAGAACGAGTAGAGCTCTGTGCTTAGATTAGGACACAGGTTTCCTCATGTCAAAAATAATTGCGACCACGTACCTATACAGTACCTACATTTGTTCTTGTTCTTGTTCTTGGCATCGGCCGGGATAGAGGGGACAACTAACGTTCTCTCTTACTAGCTGAGATTCTAACGGCCCGCGCCGGTACACACTCCTAAGACCTTCTAGAAACCGTCAGCTAGTGAGGGAGAGATACAGTTATCAAAAAAAAAACACTTGCAGTGAACGACTGGTGAATTTTAGTGTCTACTTATCCCACATTTACATGGTTTGGCTAGGTATATGTATTGGTCTACAAAGTATTAACCACATACATACTCCAGCTTTTCGATCACCGTTGTAAGTGCATGGAGGGGGGAGGGGGGGAGGGGGGGATGAGGTGGGCATGCTTCGTCGCGCCGTCCAGTCACACAGCCTTCGAGGCGCTGGCTGTATTGCAATGAGAGCGTAGCTCAAACGGTAAGACAAGGAACCGCATGTTTAACCCCCAGGCCACTACTAGTGGTGATAATACATACATGTATGTTATGGCATTACTACGCTCCCAGTATAGGAAGACCACAAAAAACTAGTTCAATGCGTAGTCTATGATCCGCTTCCTTGGTGTTAATTGTGAAGGCAGTGGTGCACCTGACACAAGCCGTTGCTTTTTTCCCATATTTTCTCAATTCCCCCCCTCGGGAGGTAGAAGTGCTAAAAGCCCTGAAGAGACGAATTTTAACAGCTAGCTCTGAATCGCATTGACTGAAAACTCCTGGGGAGAAGAGGGTGTGGGAGGGATGGGGAAGGGATGAGGTGAGCATGGGGGGGAAGGGGGGGGAGGGGGCGGGAGGGGGGGGGAGGTAGGAAGAGCCTCAATTGCATCACACCCTCTTTTTAGCTTTGGCTAGCTGTTTCTTTCCTGTGATAGGTGATTCACTAGCATGCCTTCCTATGCGTAGAAGCTCTAGATGCATTTACACGTCCCGCTACAATCCCTTGTATATGATGGTGCCTCGATGATATTGCTGAAGCCTTCCAGCTTCTCAGAAATATGCTGCAGAGCCTCATACATACATGTATCCAGCATGCACGTCCTTCCCCCACTGGTTTAACCTGATCTGATCCCAGTCCTCATTTGAATCCCAAGGTTAGCTCATGCCACGCAACTCAAAGCTCATAGGCTCATACTCTCTGCACCTCTTTTCTTCTCTAATTTCTTTTCATCAGCGCTACTACATCGGTGACATGACAACGCTTGCAAGCTGGCCGGTTAACCATGTTCCAATGGCTCCAGGAATTACGCATATATTATTAATCTTTATTATTAGGATTCCCAGAGATGAGGTTCATCCCCCGCGAGTACACTTTCCGGTCTAGGGTTTTATAATTTATATGATGATCATAAATGCATGATACGTAATTCATACATGGTATATCACTCGCAGCCTCAGGGGATGGTCGATCATTCAATCAAATCGACCAACTGCAGGATATAGTTCCAGGGAAAGACATCACACTGTAGGCTCGGAGTTCATATGCGATGATATGGACTACTGATATAATCCAACCGAAAGTGAATTATCAATACTGGGGGGGAAGGGTCAAGTGCAAATAGATGTTGGGGTACTGGAGCTCAGTTCACGGCTGAGAAGGCACGCGCTGCTCCATCACTATCATCCGCCACATCTCTGGTGGGCTAGAACCCTATCGCAACACACCTAATAACAGTTCATAAAGGTAATATATATACACAGAACGATTTTATTTGAAGATATGGCTCGAAAGGTATTGGGGGTATACAAGGCACTGGCCTAGAGCACGTCTTGTCATTAGAAATTGTACGTAGGTATGTTTTACACATAACCTGGAGGCTAGACAAGAGTAATAACAATTCAATACCCGGCCCGATCTCTATCTAAGACTAAGCTAGGAAAGTATGGATACATGTAAGTGATCATCCTCTTCCGCATTTCTACTACATGTAGTTAAGAATTATCCGGATTTCATATCTCTCCCTCTCCAGTAAGCATACCTCGCATCATAGTGCTCTTCATTTGTTCGAGCGAGCAAATTTATGATTCAAATGTTCAAGCCTAGACATCAGCTCATTTTCTTAACAGGGGAAACTGAACACGGCATATGTGCCGTCAATACAAAAAAATACCGAAAAACCCATGTCTTGACTACTGGGAGAGGTTAACGCCTAGCACGCGTAAAAAAAGATACCTACATTTATATTCTTGATCATAAATATAGTTGAATTGCACAGTCAAACAACATCATCATTATATCCGTGCGCTGTACTATCTAGCTAGCTGCCTTAGTGCTCACGTAAGATGCACGATGGACGTGCGGTGTGTTAAACTAAGCAGCGGGACACTGAAGTAGCAGGAACCGGAGCAGCAGGATATTGAAGTTGCGATCTTTACATAATGATTGCTACTGAAACACTATCTAAAGGGAACAGAGACTCCGGGCCAAGGAGAGAGAGGTAGGATCCTAGGATACAATCTACCGTAAGTAATTATAATTAACCAAGTAATAATCCCTAAATTCCCCACAACTTCCAACCGACCCGGTTATGAGATACGTACGGAAAAACATCCTCGCCTCTTGCACAGGTTTAAATTTATGTAGTGCGCTTATCGGCGCGGGGTAAGAGGGAGAGAGAGGGGCGGTAGTATCCAGAGCCAGGAGAGGTACAAATCTAGACAGCGAACATGAAGAAAAAGCTAGGCGCACACTACAAATTATGATTCGTTTTGGGTGTCAATCAAGTAGAGCAAGCCTGACTACTTCACTAGTACTTTGAATATTGTACATGTGACAATTTGGAGATTGACACTAGAGCCCCGGAGAGCACGGCGGTGAATTGAGATAGTTGTTAACTAAATTGGGCTGCTTGGGCTACAATCATGATAGCCCACACGTTCGCCAGTCCAGTACTGGTATTGCACCACTGTAATTATAGACAGTTGAGCGTAACACACTAGCCCAAAGCCAACTTTTTGTCTCGATTTCAAAAGTCTAGTGGCAATAGACCACAGATTCACTACTTGACCAGTCGATGCGTCTATGCTTGTACCTACGTTACAGAGTTGGTGTTCACTTGAGTCTGGTGCAGGGGTATGTGTGTGAAAACAAACACAATTGACAAGGTTTTTATCAGGCATGCCGTACGGGGGTGTCGAACCAACGATCTCCCATAAAGAGGAAAAACAAAACTGAGACTTTTGTCTGCTTTTTTTATTTCCAAGCTCACATGTAATGACAGAGAACATTCCAGCATCTACATATACCTACATACATGTATCATAAAATAAAAGCATTGAATGTCTCTGCACGCCATGACCTCTTTGGATGAACATGGACATGTAGTTTTCACACCGCTCGTTTTTCATGTATGTGTAGAGTACATTTCGGATTCGTAGGACGAGTTGTATGTAATACACCAACTTAGGCATTCAGTAAATAAAAATGCTCTGTTGCAACGACTGCTCTCACGACCTATGTAGCATTACTGAACACCTAAGCTGTATATCGCTTTTGAAACTACTAGTGCGACTAGTTTAATTAATCCCTGCTTGCCTAGCTTCTTCTCTCCAACCCCGAGTACTCCT